GGACCTTATGCATTCTAACTAAGAGCAATTTTCGACAGCCTATTATACAAGGTATGTAAGCTTTAGATACCCAACCTTCTTCAGTATACCTATATGATTTTACAGAAAGGGAAAATATGCCGAAAATATACCTTCCTAACGTCACGGATGATATCATCTGCGCCACGGAGGATAACATCATAACATATACGAAACGGGGGATAACATATGCGCTACGGAAGATAAATTCTACACCAAAGAGGATAACATCTACGCCACGGAGAGTAACATTTGTGCCACGAAGGATAACGTCTACGCAACATGGCATAACATCTGCGCCACGAAGAATAACATCTACGCCACGGAGGATAACATCTACGCCACGGAGGATAGCATCTGCGCCACGGAGGATAACAAATACGCCAAGGAGGATAGCATCTGCGCCGCGGAGGATAACATATACGCCAAGGAAGATAAAATTCTACGCCAGGGAAGATAAAACATATACGCCACGGAGGATAGCATCTGTGCCACGGAGGATAACATCTACGACACGAAGAATAACATCTACGACACGGGTGATAACATCTACGCCACGGAGGATAATTTCTACGGCGCCACGAAGTTCGCTACGTGAATGAGGCTTTCAACTGTTTTTGCGCGTATTACAAGTAAAAGTGCAATAATCCCAGGTATCAATCTAATTGTGAGAGATTAACAGGCAATCTAGAGTAACAGCGTCTCATTAAAATACGGAAATGAGATGTTAGAAGTTTCATTAGTCTGCAGCTTCTGTTTCCTATAAAACAATGAATGTTCTGCGCAGCGAAATAATACTGAAACTGCATCCGCATGTGCAACTTTAACATTTGGCAATAATTACTCTTTAACAACAATTACTAATGAGCCGCTTCATGACAAAACCAACATAATGGGTTTGCGACCAGCATGGATCCAGACCAGCCTGCGCATCCGCGCAGTCTGATCAGGATCCATGCTGTTCGCTATCAGTTTCTCTACTTGTAATAGACTTGGTAAGCGAACAGCATGGATCCTGATCAGACTGCGCGGATGCGCAGGCTGGTCTGGATCCATGCTGGTCGCAAACCCATTATGTTGGTTTTGTCGTGACACGGCTCAAATGTTAAGTGTGATAGATAAATTACCAATTTTAAACAGTGTTAAAGAGTGAGAAATGACTTTATAAGTTTACCAGGAAAAGTTGTTATATCTTCTTAATCGGAAGATTAGCGAATTTTTCGCGAACTAATCGTTTACTAATCGTTTACGAAAACATAAGTCATGTTTTTGAGCGTCAGTTCTCGTCATTTTTACTTAGTTGATAATGTTAAACATATTTCAAAATGCGTTATCATGACTAACGTTTTATGTTTTATAAAATGATGCAGCAACAACAACACCAACACCAACACCACCACCACCACCAACAACAACAACAACAACACAAGAAGTACTTTATTGTTAGTTAAAAACTAATCGGGTAGCATCCACAGCCGAAAGTTTCTATTTTTTTGTGTGAGAAGGCCAGGCTTACACAATTTTATGTAAAAGAATAATTAACATTGAGAAACACTCATTGAAGAAATATAATACAAAGTATCTTTTATTTTGTGTCCCGAATTATGATGTAAGGGAGGCAACTGTTATTTTACAAGCATTAATACCTATTGCAATTATTTCCCGTTAGAAAAAACTTTTAGTAAAATATTTTGATCAAAGCAATGTATTGAAATCTATGAAATACTAACTGAATATGTCTAATTCGAAAAAAAAATAAATAAAAATAAACGATGTATGGGAAACTGTGTTCCCTCTTACAGTTCAAGTAAAGTTAATCAGTTCTTACACAAGAAAAATATTACATACATTCGTATGTAATATAGGTACGATTGCATACTACTTTTTGTGAAGACTTTTTATGTTTGCTGCATTAAAGGTGTAATGTAAAATGAACAAACATGTCATGAGATATTTTATATCTTTAAACGTTTTCATGGAATGTAATTAATGTATCATCATATTAAAGTTGCATGCCTTCAGATGAGAAAAATGATTTCAAGGAAATCAAAATATGAAAAGAAAATTCACGGTCAATTGACTGCTTTGAAGCATAATCAGAATAAAATTACAGGAAATTAAAAACCTTTTTAATACACTAAAGGTAGAATTTCATTGTAAGTCATAGTCACAGATTTGAGATATGATTTTTTATTCATATTAACATCATTACTGGTTATATATTAATAAAAAAAACCCGAAAGAAACAGTTTGTAAATATTTATTACAATAAAATATGAAAAAGGTATTTTTCGCCGAGGTTAGCTATATTTATAATTCCCGCGCTAAGTCGCGGTGGTGCTTGGGATAATCACTTGATATTGTAAATGGCAGCCATTATACGATACGAAAATGCATGGCCCCCCTCGGACAGTTTATCCTGCCGAAAAGATATGAAAAAATACTTGCAATTCAAAGTTGGTTTGCTACATAAAGATTATCGATTTACTCTTTGCAAACTTTTTCTCTGCCTGATTGTAATAATATTGATGTGTTTTCATATGGCTTAAACCATCACGTTATCAATACACATAAAGGTGTTATAAACACACGACGCCAGTATTAGTGAGAATGCGTTTATTAACGTAATCGGGAAACGGGAAACGTGATACGTGAAACGTGAACGTTAATCGGGTAACGGGAAACGTGAAACGTGAAACGATTCTCTGTACAAAAGAGAATAAAAATAAATCATTACATAAAATACAAAGATAATTATATCAAAACATATACAAATAAACGTACGATCATCAATCAAAACATTTGTATTTACCTCTCACATAAATTAAAACATATTTTACTTAAATAGAGCTCTAATTACAGTACACTTAAATAATCTTATTTAAGATACATTCAATAAAATCCTAATATAAATTATCATTTTTAAACAAATAAATAAACATACCAACTATTGCGGCGTTTTAAATGCTTATAAACTGTATGAACGTTTTAAATTTGTTTTGATCATTGCATTTCCGCTCAGATAAAAATATGACGTAACGCGGCGTCTTAAAATAGATAAATACAGAATCCCTAAAGAAAGCCCAACACGACAAAATTGAAAATGTTGCAGGCTCGGTTTGATTGAGCCTGTTCATGGACGGTACTGGAAAGTGCAAGTTGCCGTCCACGCCCCCTAGCACCGGCTTAAGCAGAATTCAACATTTAAACACGAAATAGTAAAATTTTGAATTTAGAAACATCCGCAGATGTGTTCATACGGCGGTTATCATATTAAGCCGCGCCAAACGTTAACGTTAAATTTGGAAACAAAAATATCAGTAAATAAGAAAAAATTAATAGACGTAGGGAAGAGAAAAATGTAAACATATAACAAAAATAGAATGTTAAATCTTAATAAATTCAAAGAAGAATTTAATAGGTGTGAAGTAATTTCGTGTTCATTACAATTATTCCGTTAATAGACATATAACAATCTTATTTACAAATGAATTGATAAAACAACAATCCCAGAAGCATTTAAGATAATAACAATCATTGGAAGAAAATAAATGCACATAAATTGTAAATTTTTTGTGTATGACAACTCACCCCCTAAACAAAACATAATAGACTCAACCAAAACAAGCGCATGACCATGAATAGAAATAGCAAACCAAATGTAAGAGCTATAAAGCTATTGTAAAAATAATACTATGACCACATCAGATTTCGTACAGAAAACAGCCAGTTTTTTAATGGCACTGTGTATTCATATTGCGGCCACCTATAGTGTGTAGAATTTTAAACATAACATATTTATTGTGTGAAGTCAAAACATGTTTATGTTATATTTACTAACAGACTGTGTAGCATTTATAAATATTTTCAAATATCAACTTTCGACTTATATTTTAAAACCCTTTCCTCATATAATCGGGGGCAGTTTCCATTTTTCTGTAGGAAAAATTGACCCCAAAAGGGCTCTAAAAACGCAAAAAGAATCATAACACCGATATTGTATGGCATTTTACTTTTACAGTAGGGCTATTCTTCGGGTCGACAAAATTGGGGTAAACTTTGAAATGTATATCCTTTTACTGTATAGTATATTTTACGTGCCTGGAGCTATCACGTGACAGGGATGGGCATATGATTGAATTAGAGGGTTATCATTTGAAGTATGGACATATCACTTTGATCCACAGTATGGACATATGACGTTGACAGTATGGGCATATCACTTTGACAGTATGGGCATATCACGTGGACAGTATGGGCATATCACTTTGACAGTATGGGCATATCACTTTGACAGTATGGGCATATCACGTGGACAGTACGGGCATATCACGTGGACAGTGTGGGCATATCACGTGGACAGTATGGGCATATCGCGGGGACAGTAGGGTATATCACTTTGATTGATAGTATGGGCATATATATCACTTTGCTACTAAAACATATTACTTTGACAGAAATAAAACAATTACGTTTTGACTTATTGTCATTTAATACAAAATAAACTATACAAAACACATGAATATGCAAAATAAAAGCTTCTATCCATCTGGATTCGTTAGGACACCAAACATGCTTGTATCGAAGCATACATTTCTTTCAGTCAAATATTTCAAACTACAAAGTTATTACATAAATATTTATTCATTTTTGTATGACATCAAACATGCTTGCATCAAAATTTACATTTCATTCAGTCAAAGAATTGTAACTACAAAGTTATTACATAAATATCTATTCATGATCATGAATGAGTATGAAATGGTTACTGTTTGAGCAAGATCATTTCAAAAAATGAAATTGACCATAATAAGTCCCTGAGTCGATTGTGGTTTTAAAAATTGTAGATAAAATAGATCTATTTGAATCTTACATATATATTACACATATTTTTAACCTGAGGTAGAACAAAGCACATGTAAAAATGTATAAGTTTCACATCACCGGTATTTAATAAGGTCACTCCTCCAACCCCTCCCCCTGGCAATCGGCGCCCGTTCTTACTCCTTTGAGTCAATATTTCTACTACTGATCAAGTTTTGAACTGTCATTTTCATTCATAGGCGTCGGTTTCGTTTGCTCGATATTTTCATCGACACCAGAATCTTTACTGTCCGAAGATTTTACTTTTCCTTTGTAGTCTGCTGCAGTGATGCAGGTTTCCGATTTATTGGTTGCAGGCTTCTCTTCTAGTGACGTCATTTCCGTTATTAATTTTTCGTCTGCACCGTCATTAATATTCTCTGCCGCGAGTTCAGCATCATCATTTGTTGTTTTAGGCTTACCTTTGTTGTCAGCATTTCCTTTGCGCTTTTTCCAAGACTGGTATGACAGATAACATACTGTTACTATGAATGGAGGAAGTGGCGTCATTACAGCTGACGCCACCGGAGCAACTGCTGCTATGTCACCGGAAGGTGCTGGGAAAGAATTGATAAGCAAAATATAAGCAATACTTGTGTTTTGCATGCCCGTTTCTATGGAAATAGTTTTAATTTTCGTCCATGGTTGCCTAAATATGGCAGCGACAACTCCTCCGCAAAGGAATCCAACATATGGCAACAAACAAGCAGCTAATATGATTTTAGGGTTGAATAAACGAAATATATATAAGTTAGCTAAAACCCCAACAATAATTAGTACTAAAGCCATAATAACAATAAAAGGTTTGAGGATTTTCTGAAGTTTGTCGGCTGCTTTAGGAAATTTCTGCCTCAGCATCACGCCTCCAATTAGCGGTAAAATAAGCAAGGAAAGTGACACGGCGACCATTTCAAATGGGATACTCAAATCTTCCCCACCGGCTGTAAACGTCCTGCCCAGCGTATACAACCAAAACGGCAACATTGCTGAAATAAATATAAAATAAACAAATAAACATTTAAAATGAAATGTAAAAGTCACATTAATTATATTTTGAGAAGCACTGAATATAGTTCTAAAGATCTGTCGATTTGGAGCATTCTAAAGGAATAAAAAGGTTGATGTCTCGAAAGGCAGTCTTTTTTAATTGGACATTTTGCCTTGGTCTTTAGTGAAATAATTTCTGTACATGTAAAGTATCTGCTTTGAGGTAAAAAAAACATTTTAGCTAAGTGCATTGAAAAGAGAAAGTCGAAACTCACACAATAAAGAAATATTAGCAGACGGTCTAAAATGCGGTTCTAACCCGGCTGTCATAGTAAAAGGTATGTTGAACGAGTCATATTTTACTATAACTTTCCTGTGTGAACTTGAATCGGTTCACTATTGGTCAATTTGATCCTGAACTCTTTCTTCTGTACATACAATTCTATGGCATTGTTTCATTTCCCATACATGCACCAAATGGCCCTACAGAGTAAATACTAGTACTTTATTACCATTCTTCAATTTTATTGAATTATTTCGCTTTCCAAACACTCATCAATTAAAAAATACTTTACCCAATGCAGCTATGGTACTGAGAGCCGTCATTGTAATTGACAGTGAAAGATCCCCCTTTAGTAGATAGGTATATGTGTTACTAGCGCCACCACCCGGGCAACAGCCTGCAAGGAAGATCCCCAGTGCTACAGTTGGCATCTCCCCGGACACCGCCCTCGACGCTCCAAACGCTATCTACAAAACAGATCACATGACTCTAAATTGTACTCTAGAGTATATACATGTATAATGTTTGTTGTTTATCTAATGTCCTATTATAGCCGGGGATAATGTTCTAAGAGGTGATTATTATTGTTAAGCCGTCATATCACAGGGTCAACGTACTTAATTTATCTAATGAGAGCTTTTGACATTCGTCGCACTTTCAAAATGTTTAAACAAGGCATTAAAAGTGGAAATAACACGTTCCTTAGATCATAAGAAAAATGTTAATCAGCAATTTCGTAAAAATGAATTTAACAAACAAACAAAGAAAAGAAAGAAATAAAGAAAAAAAATAGAGATAAACCATACCATAGCAGTTTTAAGTTAATAGTCTTACATTGGAATTATTGCCTCTTAAGCAATTCATAGATAATAGAGCGGAATGCAAAATATGAACAAATTATCAGAGATTTTATACACGTATAACTTAATAATGTTTACCAAAGGCATAAGTAGATATTGGCATGTCAGCCCGATCCCTGGCGCCACTGGACGGAACAAGTTTTCCTTAACAACTTTTAAGTCTAGTTTTGCCCCGAACCCCGTCGCAACAAAAATCTGTACGGCGTAAACTACCACACGAAACAGTTTATCAAGTGGTCTCATTTTTCTAACAATAGTGACTTGATATGTCAGTGTTTCGTAGGAGCTCTTTGAATCATGAATCACTAAAGACGTGGAGTTGCTGGATGTGATTGGTTCATTGTGAGATGTGGTATCTTTGGTGTCATTCCCAACACTTTGTATTGAAAATATTACGTCACTGTATCCAATAATTCCACTTCTCATTTTGACATCTATCTGTCCGTCTGCTATGTAAACTGTTCTGAACTCGTCGTTTGGTTTTGATTGGTCAGTTTTATTCCAAGCTTGTCTCAATTTGTGTAAGCTAACCACTGTTTCTGTAGCATTTTCACAAGATATAATAAACTCCGATTTTTCAATAATTTCAAGATTCTGATCTTTGGTTACAGATACAGTTAGCAAAAATGACACATCTGTACTAACACAAACGACAGAATAATCGTATATTATTGTAAAGTCAGAATCCATTAGAACTTCTATTCTCGGTTTCAGCGAGGAATTAACCAGATAAAACATCAACAGAGGTTGATCCTCGTCGGATGTAACTTTCACAGGGTTAATGTTGAACGATGTCCCCGACTGGGTTAATTCTTCAAAAGCCGAAATGCCCGCCGATGTTTGAGCGGAAGAATACGCGATCATAACAGAAATTACAAAGACACTATACATGTTTAAATATGTTCCTCCCGTCATGTAATATCCTTAAACTATTTGGTTAATATCTTTATAAATAAAACTAAACAACCAATAATCCACCACGCGTTATTTTATCACCACCAAGTAACGCTCCAATTTCACAAATTAAACTTTTACAGATTTTAAATTTTACAATAACTAGCTATTAACCTAGAAATTTGATCCCGATCTAAAAATATGAACCATTTAATCGTTTTATTAGCTACAGTAAGGTCTTTTGACCCATTGACCCCGAAATGATGCGTGAAATATAACACGATTAACGTCAGCGTAGAAGCAAGTTATCAGCATGGTGAAGGTTAAATCCCTCTATATAATATCTAGCCAGTTATCGGTTGTTTTTGTAAGAGAAAAATGTGTATAGCTATTTGTCAGAAATCTCAGCTCAACATAAGACTATATTCACCACCTTCAAGTGACAGATGTTACTGTAATTAATAAAACATGTTTTATGTGTTTGGTGTCAGAAGATAAAACATATTTACATTTCTACATTTACAGAGAAAATACCCGGTATAAGATCTATGTTTGAGAATATGAACACTGTTCACGATAAACAATAGCATCTTGACATGAACAGTGTTACGAAAATCGTTCTATTCTTGCTTTTGTTTAACTATCCAGTAGATTTGGGGCGGATTTTTCTTGCTTTTGTTTAACTATCCAGTAGATTTGGGGCGGATTTTTCTTGCTTTTGTTTTACTATCCAATAGATTTGGGGTTGATTTTTCTTGCTTTTGTTTAATATCCTGTAGATTTGAGGACCTATAATATTAATTAAACCAATCATGAAAGCTGGTCATTTTCAGCTCAAAAAGTAATATGCATATCTCTTTCAATCTTAAGATTTTAATTATGATAAACTTTGCATTCAGGTCATTTGTACATAGACATAATGTAAATGATAATTTTCTCATTACAGATCGATTTCTACAAAAATATGAATAATGAAATGCATTGAAGTTACTGAAAGCTGTATACGATCTGGGAAAGCAAAATCGCCGTCCAAGACGTCTAAATCCCCGTTCAATAAGGCTAAACCCCCGTTCAATAAGGCTAAACCCCCGTTCAATAAGGCTAAACCCCCGTTCAATAAGGCTAAACCCCCGTTCAATAAGGCTAAACCCCCGTTCAATAAGGCTAAATCCACGTTCAATAAGACTAAACCCACGTTCAAGAACGCTCAATCCCCTTTTTCCAGCTTCTTTATAAAATGGGTCAAAGATATAGAAAAATGACCTTGACACACTGTATCCATCCATGAAATCAATCTGCCAGTCTTGTAGGCCCATAGAACTAATGACTGCTGATATGTGGTTGACAAATGGTCACATTCCTACAATAACATCATCTTAGACTTTCTATCAAAATTACCATAATGTCGTTATTTGAAATAATTAACTTTTAAATAAAGCAAAGATACACTGAAAGCAATTATATCTTTTTAATTATCAAAATTCGTTTTAACAAGCAGTCATTTGAAAAAATGATTTTTTCCATAAAAATTCAGTAACAAAAACAAATCAGATATAAAAAAAAACAAAAAACAAAACAAAACAAAAACCACAAAAAATGCCCAATCATTGAAAACTAATTATCATTGAAAACTAATTATAAACATGCAATAATACACATCTAGATACACTGGGATCTGCCTAAAATATATTCTCCCTTTATGTAAGTTTTAGTATCAATAGTAAATACAAATATCAATGCCCCTAAAACAATATCCTCAGTTTCTCACTAGGTAAGTTCATAAAACAATCAATAACAGAATCACCCTGCTTTTCCTTAGAAAGGCATGGATTTGTGCATAATTAAAAAAAAATCAAAAAACATTTTACCCCTTAAAATTCATTTAGTTACATGTATATCTTGCTAATTCCAAAGTATAAATTAGAGTATATTAAGGATTTTCAAGAATATAATATAGCTACAATTTAAATAAACAGATAATTCAAATGAGCAAGTTCAAATATAGTTAACAAAGAGAACTATACTTAAATTTAGACAATACAAGTACTGTGAAGTACCAGTTTTCCTTAGATTAGCATCAAATTCAAGAATTCTTAGCAGTATTCTGCATTCAAAATGAAATATATTTTTCATTTATGAAACTTTTGCAGAGTTTGCAAACGATAAATCCTTAAAAATGCATCAGATTCTTTTGATTTTTTTTTCTTTTCAAAAAGTTATTTTTTTTCACATAATTAACATAGGCATAACGACAGAATTATAATTTTTATATACTGATAAATGACATAGGTATAAAATCAGGATTTTGCTTTACATACAATGTATACTGATAAACAAACAACAAAACTACCTTGTAAAGTAATTAATCCACATGAAAAATGTTTTAACAAGTAACTTCATTGTATTAAAAAAAGAAGTTTGATACTGCAAAAACTAAATAATCACTAAAAGCATTTAGTGAAATGAAAAGTATAAAAATTATGTAGCAACATTTCTAAATTTCAGAAGTTCTTTAAATTGTAATTAAACATACAACAGTTGTTACAAGAACAGTCATTCAGAAATTAAATAATTATATATTTCATACAAGAGCACTGCATGCAGTGTTAACGCTCATCTGTTATTGTAAACAACAACTGTCAATCAGAAACTAAATATCATAAAATGAGGCACATCAACATCACAACCATTTCTTTAGATATTTCAATAATTTTCAATTGCAATAATGACTTAAATGCACTTAATAAACATTTGGAACTTTTGGTTATCGGATATATTCAAATCTTAAAAAGAATTGTTAACTAATACTGTGTATGGGAACAATACTTGCATAGACAAGTCAAAAATGATACACAGAGTATTTCTACACAAAAAACTACACAATTTAAATGCACATTATGCCTCAGAAATGATTTTTTTCTTATTTAGAAAAGTGGCAAACACAATTGTTAAAACATGTTTTAAAAAATAGTTTTACACCAAGTAAGATGCTCACCATCTAAAAAAATTACTGCTTAATGTGAAATTATTTGTAACAAAATTATAGAAAAAAATGTAAACAAAAGTAGAATTTTGACTTCCATACAAAATACTTAATCACACTAACTTTACTAACAGACGAAAGGCAACATAAGCAAATGATAAAAATAAAAAAACTTTAGAGAAATTATAATAAAAAGCATTTCTGGGGCATAATGACCCTTTAAGTTTTGACTAACAAAACATTTCTGTACAAATTTAAAATACCCTCTTATTAGAGATTCAAATCCCATTTTGTCTTTTTTTCTATTATACAATTAATATTTTAATTATCAAGAAAAATACTGGCACATATTAACGACTAATCTGTATTGCTGCAATTAATATTAAAGGGACTCCACTGAGGTTAAAAGCATTTGAATTGTTTACACAAATGTGCTGGGTCACTTTAAACAGAAATGTATGCAAAGATAGAAAAGAAATATACTTTGAAATAAATTGAAAATCATATTTTTATGCTTTTCTCAGCCTGATTTAAGTGAAAAGTGTTTAACGCTTTTCATTTTGGGTCATTTTTTTTTACAATTTGAATAATTATTCAGGAAAAACAAAGTGCACAAATGAACTGAAATTTTGCACATCTAAACCTACATCAAATGGTACATCTATCTGGAAAAAATATTTTCAGTCCTATCATGTAAAACAAGAGGGCCATGATGGCCCTAGATCGCTCACCTGAATTATCAAACTCATCCAAACAATTACCTAGACAAGCATTCTGACCAAGTCTCATGACAGGTGAGTCAAAAATGTGACCACTACAGTGTTAACAAGGATTATCCATATTTGAGCAGTGCGACCTAGTTTTTACCCAGGTGACACATATTCAAACTTGACCTAGAAATCATCAAAACAAACTTTCAGACCAATTTCCAGGATACTTGGATCAAAACAGTAGCAACTAGAGTGTTAACAAGATTTTTCTATTTTTAGCTCCGGTGACCTAGTTTCACATGCGATTTCGAACTAATCCAAGCAATTACCTAGACAAGCATCCTGACCAAGTTTGATGATAATCGAGTCGAAAATGTGACCACTAGAATGTTAACAAGGTTTTTTCCATATTTGGGCGGTGTGACCTAGTTTTTCATCCAAGATGACCATGTTTGATCTTGACTTAGAAATCATCAAAAAAAACTTTCAGACCAATTAACAGAATATTTGGATCACAACAGTAGCCACTAGAGTGTTAACAAGATTTTTCTATTTTTAGCTCATGTGACCTAGTTTTTCATCCGAGATGTCCCATGTTCGATTTATTCCCAGCAATGACCTAGTCAAGTTTCCTGACCAAGTTTAATGACAATTGAGTCAAAATTGTGACCACTAGAGTGTTAACAAGGTTTTCTATTTTTAGCTCCTGTGACCTAGTTTTTCATCCGAGATGACCCATGTTCGAACTCATCCGAGCTATTACCTAGACAAGCATCTTGATCAAGTTTGATGATGATTGGTGCAAAAATGTGACCGCTAGAGTGTTATCAAGGTTTTTCTATTTTTAGCTCCGGTGACCTAGTTTTTCATCCGAGATGACCCATATTCGAACTCATTCGAGCTATTATCTAAACAAGCATCCTGACAAAGTTTGATGATGATTGGGTTAAAAATGTGACCACTAGAGTGTTCACAAGGTTTTTCTATTTTTAGCTCCTGTGACCTAGTTTTTCATCCGAGATGACCCATGTTCGAACTCATCCAAGCAATTGACTAGACAAGCATTCTGACCAAGTTTGATGATGATTGGTTCAAAAATGTGACCACTAGAGTGTTCACAAGGTTTTTCTATTTATAGCTCCTGTGACCTACTTTTTCATCCGAGATGACCCATGTTCGAACTCATCCGAGCTATCACCTAGACAAACATCCTGACCAAGTTTGATGATGATTGGGTCAAAAATGTGACCTCTAGAGTGTTCACAAGGTTTTTCTATTTTTAGCTCTTGTGACCTAGTTTTTCATCCGAGATGACCCATGTTCGAACTCATCCGAGCTTTCAACTAGATAAGCATCCTGACCAAGTTTGATGATGATTGAGGCAAAAATGCGACCGCTAGAGTGTTCACAAGCAATTGTGGACGGCCAGACGGACGACGGACGACGGACATTCACCGATCCTAAAAGCTCACCCTGAGCAAGCTCAGGTGAGCTAAAAACCTCAGTGGAGTCCCTTTAACATTCAAGTTTATTCATTCTTATATCCAATTCCAGGGGATGGTTATTTCACCGTCTTTCATCACTGTATAATACGTGGAAACCTTCAGTCTCGACCCTTGTAAGAGATTGTTTATTATATGTCGATTATCTAGTAACCGTTGACAACATGTAGTCATCTGTTGTGGGGTTATGGCATCATCTCGTTGTATACAGGATACATTTAAAACATCATTGCACTGATTGAGGACTTGATCCATGTAAAATGTATGCCTGAAATAATTCCAGTTTTATGTAAATTACACATATCATTGTTTCTTCTGAAAACATGTCATGTAATCTCTATGCTCCATATCATGAAATAAATGTTAAATTGTAGTGTGCTATAGGCATTGTATTTATATACTTTATGCAATAAACTTTTAAACTGAATTGTAAAGTATCTAGATCCATGTAAAATGTATGTAAAATGAAATAAATCAAGTTTAATGTATACTATCTAATACCATGTAAAATGTATGTCTGAAATAATATTAAATATATGCTTAAAAATAATACATGTAAAATATATACAGTCGAAACTGTCTTAAGCAGCCAGCCAAGGGATGCAGTCATTTTGGCTGCTTAAGACAGGTGGCCGCTGAATGGAGGATCCAGTTTTTATCCAAATTAATTATTCATTTCTTTGTAAAATAAATCTGATTTAAGTATAAATAAACCAGTCTGATTCATCATCATCATCATCAGTTTTTAACCATTTGCAAACGTATGCTTTTAATGGTTTAACATGTACACAATCCTTCCAACATATAAAGCTTTACATGAATGTAACACAGATAAACAAATGCACTCACGATTTATTATGTCAATAATTGAAACTATTTATCCCATAAAAATATCTTCTTGCACAATAATTTAAAATGCGTAATATTTTTTTTTCCACAAAAAAAGTATGACAGTTTCTTTTTCTAACTTTTGATCAATAGAATATTGTGTGCACGTCATCTAAGTGTCGGCACTTCCTTTGATGTTTCGGATTGAAACAGCAGGGCTACAGGTTTGTAAACATCAAAGATTCCTTTGAAGAGACCGCTAGTTACCTCTTAGAGGTCATCTAGTGTGTAAACTTAATGGGTGTGATTTAACAGTGACCTCATTATATTCATGCAATTTAATTTTCACACATGGAGCAAATGTTTTTATGAATTTAATACTGAGGAATTTAGACAATCGGCGATGTAATTCATTTTCATTTCTTTGGTAAGTACCATGTACGCACAAAATTTATCTGAATCGGGATATACTGAAATTTCTTTCTGCCATCGACAATGCATTTTTTCTTCTTTCTTTTTTTCTTAAAAAGGTAAATTGAAAAATATAAAACTAGCGTACAGTAACTCAAAAGAACGAATTGCAAGTGCATTGAGACGTTCCAAACGTTTGTAATTACGACACGGATGAGCAATTATGCAAACTTCTTGAAATGTTGTGGTTTGTGTTAATATCTAGCACCTGACAAGTAGCTTTTGTTAATCCGTGACACGTGTCATCTTTGAAAATAAATGACAGAAGATTGCCTGGCCGTTTCACCTGGCTGACCGCAGAAGATTGCCTGGCCGTTTCACCTGGCTGACCGCTTAAGATGACCGACTTTAAGATTCAGGAAGCATTTTACGTGACCGTTGACCGCGGACAGCAGGTGACCGTTGAACAGATGTATAAAATAGAGTGGTTTTGGTCGGGAGCGTCACAAAATGGCCGTTAAGGTCAGGTGACCGCCGATAAGAGGTGACCGTTAGTACAGTTTCGACTGTAACTAAATTATACAAGTTTTTTAAAAAAAAATCATTTAGTTCCATGTCTGACTGAAAAAATACAATTTCACGTAAATCATCTTCTGAGTGCGTAAAATAACCCAGTTTTTTTTAAACATTGTGTTTTATTTCTGTACATTACTGTACATTTTGTAACCTTGTTAGATAAATAACATCTTCACACGGAAGACTCCAAAGTTTGTGGTAGGATTTGAACCAACAGTGGTGAGGGACAAGATGCTCTTAGACAGATACCAGGTACTTTTATCACTTGACCAATGAGGTCTGAACGATATTTACTTACAATTTTGCATCAATGATGAAAGTAGCTGCCCTATCAATGTTTTCAACAATAAACTGGAGCATGATAGTTCCTGGTATAGAAGCTGGTATCAAAAACTGTCCACAGTTTGACAAGGCTAGAGGTCCAGACTCACTGTAATAATTATGATGTATATTTATATAATCATGTTATTATGAGAATTCATGATAATACACATAGTAGTGTCATTATTATATGTTCTATATAGAAGCAGAATATTTTTTCAATATCAAAATGTAAAAACATCCCAAAATGTCAATACATGTATACACATATAATGTAATTGACTTAAAGGTTATGCAAGTTGTTGTAAAAACTGTTTACTGCAGAATTTAAACTACAAACCTTATTTTCATATAAATTTGATTAATTTTGATAAAATATCTGTCCAAATTATTAAGTATTTGTATGCTTGTAGTCTAGTAGTTTAGTTTAGTTTATTGTCTCATTCCAAGCTTGTCATATATACAATACATCACAATATTCAATCATACTAAAATACATGTTGGACCAATCTTGATAGATTTATAAGAGACATTTAAAAACATGATGATACTAGTATGTGCCTGTTTATAGTAATAGTTTGTTCATATACAAGCAGGTAATATTTAACTGAGACTTCCTTGATTCTGTATCAATACTATCATACAAATATATCATAATGATATAAATAACTTAAATATTTAAAGTGACTCATGATGGGACTGGAAATAATTTTCGAGATTAAAGCTCCAGTGTTGATGTAGGTCTAGACCAATAACTTTTGTGCAAAATTTCAGATCATTTGCTCACTCAGTTTTTCCAGAATAATTGTTTTAAATGTGACAAATGACCCAAAACTGAAAAATTTTGTGATGCTTTTCACTTAAATCGTGCAAAGAATAGCACACAAACATGATTTTCAATTATTTCCGAATATATCACCAGTGATTAATCTAGAAATTCCTTACAATGCGTCGGATGACGCACATGTTTGAAAACAATGAGTCCTGTAGCAAAATCAAAGAGTCATGTAGCAAAATAAATGCGTCTTAGCAGAATTTTTTTTTTTAATAGCAGATCCTTGACATGATTTGCATGTTATTATAACAAGCGATTAAGTAATTAAAGTGTATAAAAAAGTTATTTTTGGTATTAATATTAATAGCAGGCAAAACAATTTTTATTGGCTGCTCAAAAATCTAATTTGCATAATTTATATTTTCTTACTACTTATGTCTAATACTGTGCATTATCCATTCAAATTGTTCGTAATTTGCACACAATGTCCCTGTCACACTGTATACATGTAACTGACGACTTTTATTGCTCCTTGTATGCCTCTGTGTAGAAAGCATACACAGACAGACCTTTTGATCATGAAAAAAAGTCATGCACAATGTTTCCCTGATTGGTTAATCACCCTGTCAAATATTCTGATGACGTAATAGACATCTTCTTTTTTTTACACTCCGCATGAACTTGAGTGACCTTACACACCTGTAACTAACAGCATTTTTTAAAATAGCAAAACTTTTTTTCAGTTACCGATAATTATTTAAAATATTAAGTAGATTAATGATTTTTTGTTTGCTTTATTGGATTAAATTTACGGTAGTAGAAATGCGGTAGAAGGAATGCGTATCTGTGTGGGAAAGGGATAAGGTAAGTAGATAACTTGGAAAAATACTATAGGGAAATGGATAAACACAAGAATATGCGTAATTACAGGGGAATGGGTAACCTGTTGCTGTTGGTACCAGTTTTGTCTGGAAGACTAGATAACATACAATATAAGTCTGGCACAGATTTTAGATGCGCCTTTGGCCCTTTGCTGACATTTTCCTGTGCCTTTCTCATTTTTTAGCGGCAATGGCACAGGCAGATCTCTGCATATTTCACCATTGTAGGCGATTCGCTCTCACGCAAAATGGACGCTCTGATTGGCTAATGCCGATAATGGGCAGTCACCGATCACAAGCAACAATTGCTTTGGATTTTACGTTTCAAGCAAATGGGGGATTATCGGTCTTGCACCTGTTATCATCGGAAATTAAATTATTCAACTGAAGAAATTGAAAAATTATTCAACTAATGAAATTAAAGTAATCAAACGGTACATAGAAATCACTAGTCGTGATATTTTGGATTATAAACTACCTGATTTGCATGCGTCAAATTGAACGCACATATTTTGAAACTGTGCGTCTTTTTCGATTTTTATGCGTATTTTACGCAAGACGCACATCTAGATTAATCACTGTATCTCTTAATTATTTATTGCACACCATTCTGTTTAGTTTAAAGTCCCTCAGCTGATCATTAAAAGAAATTCAAAATTTATGTTTTTAAGTTTTTGGACCATAGTGGAGTTTCTTTAAATGCAACCATGAAGAGTATATCCTACCTACCATTCTACAACAAGATTAAGATGGGACAGATCTTGGTCTCCTAGTCCCCTCACAACCAGTTGTTGACAGCGACGGAGAGAATTCAACATTTTGTTTAATAAGACCTCGTAATTCTGGGCCATAACAAATTCTCGTTTCTGTCGCCTCATTATCTGCATATTGTTAAGAAGTCCCGAAAGTTCTTTCTCCATCAATGGCAGCCTTTCTATCATAGGATCATAGGCATGCACTGACTTTAGCAGCTAAAGTTTGAATTGAAAAAAAGTACATGTATAGGATACTGATATCTAGGTTACATGCAAACAAATTGTTTACAGATTACAAGATTTCTCTTTTTTTTTTCATAGACACTTTTATACTGTAACATTAACATTTAGCTTCATTTTTTTCTCGAGGTTTGCATAATAACTTCACTTCTAACTATGTGCACATCACTGGAATATCATACTCCTAGAGTCTCAAACACTGAGCAGACATGCTGATTAAAGCTTTTTGTTTTAACTGTGTTACAATTAATCATAAAACATGCTATTTATTGCTTATTGGGATTAGGTATCTTGACAACAGAAAAAAGCCACAAAATATATAATGTTATGAAACAAGAGCTGTCCGTAAGACAGCGCGCTCGACTTTTTTATTGCTTGCCAATAAAAAAAGTTTTTGCAGTAAAAGGCAATACAAGAATCTCTGTATTTTTAAAGTGAACTAGTTGTTTGATACCCTTGAATATTACAGCAATGTTTATATGACATAATTTATGGTAAAGTGAACAAGTGGATAGGAATGAATTTTTTTAGATTTTTTAAGTTTTTTAGTGCTTGCCTATAATACAAAACATTGACAGTTAAGGGCCATAATTCAAATAAAATCTTTGACAGAATTACCTTCTCCTGGACATGTTTGGGAATCATGATTGTAAACAAGTATTCCAACTTTCAAATTAATATCTCAAACAGTTCAGTCAAAAAGTGGACTGGTACTAAAAACTTAACCAAGATTCTAAGTCGATAAAGGCCTTAATTTTTAAAACAAATCCTTGACAGAGTTACCTTCTCTTGCGTACAGATGGGGGTAATGATGTGAAATAGCATTAAAAGTTTCAAAGCAATATCTCAAAGGGTTAAGGCAATAAGTGGATTTTACCCATATTCAATGTATTTTCTAAGTCAAAAAGGGGCATAATTCTGTCAAAAACCTTGACAGAGTTATGTCCTCTTGTCTGTTGATGAAGGTCGTGATGGTAAACAAGTATGGTCAGTTTCAAAGCAATACCTCCAATGGTTTTGAAATAAAGTGAGGTGGTACAAAAAACTTAACCAAGCTCAATACACTTTCTAAGTCAAAAAAGGGCCATAATTCTGTCAAAAACCTTGACAGAGTTATGTACTCTTGTCTGTAGATGGAGGTTATGATGGTGAACAAGTATGGTAAGTTTCAAAGCCATACTTGTAATACTTCTGAAATAAAGTGGGGTGGTACGAAAAACTTAACCAAGGTGTGACGCCAACGCCGACGCCAACGCCGACGCCGACCCGGGGCGAGTAGGATAGCTCCCCTTTTCATAGAAAAGTCGAGCTAAAAAGCCTAAGCACAAAATATTAAATTTGAAAATTATATAACATCATATGAAATAACTTTCTACCATTGTAATCATTTTATTATTTTTAGTTTGCTTGAGAACAATAATAATAATAACCAGTAGAACCAAAGCACGCAACACTACAAATGTAACTTAAAATATATGAGTCTAACAATGTTAAGCTCATAGTTTGTATTATGTTTAATCAATTCACCCTTTAAGTGCTGGACCCGAAAGCATTAAGTCTTTGCCACCAGTATAGAGCCAGGCCAGACTGCACATCCGTGCAGTCTGACCAGGCTCTATACTGTTGGCTGACAAATTTTAAATATTCAAATTGATATCCCTAAAATTGATAATGGACAGTCCCAAAAATGGAAGTGGGACAAGTGCATTTAAAATATTCAGCATGTTCAGGGTTAAGTACAAAGAGAATAATTACATTGATCCATTCAGTGACAACATCTTCACTTCCCAGTACAATTTCTCCATGTAAGTTAACTCCTGTCTCATTACCAAACACAAGGGTTCTATCTGATAAAACAATCAAGAAAATAAATCAATTATAATACTGTTGTCTTTTTGTTTTGTTTTGTTTGTTTTAATTTGCACCAACACAATATAGTTACTGGTGGAGGAAGACCTCAGATGCCACACATTATTTTAGGCACTTGAGTAGAACCACAGACATTCCGTAAGCCAGCTTGATAGCTTCCTAACATTTCAAAAGTTCAATGTGGAATTCAAACCCACCACAGTGGTTAGGGGTTTGAAGTCAACAACCTTAAGCACTTGGCCACAGAGGCATCCATCACATTGCAAGGTAAATAAACTGTTAAGTCATTATCATTTGCAAGAAACTCAATATAAATGAAATGTTTCAAATAAAATAAAATAATAAAATCTATATGAATATCAATTTCTCAATTGAGCTGAAGAATAAAACCAAACAAAATTCAAATTTTTGTTTCAAAAGTAATTTACATTTTCTCTCATATTAAAATTTCACAAACCTATTTATTATTGCAGTTATGATAAATTTACCTTACAATACCTCCTAAACATGAGTTACACCCCCCTCAAATCATGTGTTACCCCCCTTATTCAATAATATATTTTTTTGCAATTGTTTTCATTTACAATGCGTTACATAAATACATTCTGTAAAATTCCTATGAAACATCCCTCCCCTGATAAAGCCCCCCTCCACCTACAGATTTTTTAAAAGGAAAAAATCTACTCTCATGTGCTGAAGAGTAAATCCATAACTTTATTCAAATCCTTCAGAATCCATTTTATTTTAAAGTGAACACAAAAATGTAGTCATATAAATTTTAACACTTAAGTATTATTACAAAAACTTGTTTAACTCCAGGTATTTACAATGATTTTTGGATTTAGGAAAAACTGTGTTTTAAAAACGCCCCCCCCCCCCTGGAAAATGTTAGGCCCCCCGAGGTGTTTAATAAGAATTTTACGGTATCCTAAATATTAAATGCAATCAAATAAATCAAACCTTGTAATGTATTCCTCATTCTCTCAGGCTGACCCTCGGACAGCTGGTTGAATGTTCTGAGACATGCTATATAATGCCTGTTACCCCATATATTCTCCCAGCGGACCGACTCCACCCCTACCCTTCTTACAATCTTCTCACATAAACTGTCTATCTCAATCTGTGTCTCGAGACTCGCCTCCTGGTATCTCTTAACTCTATCATAATTCTCCTCTAACCATTTCCTTAAAGACATTTTTTTTTTTGCTCAGAATTAACACGCATGTATATCATGTAAAATTTACTAACATGCTCATACAGTAAAATCAAGAATATCTTGAATAGATGTTATTACAAAATTGAACAAGAACGTGTTTGTTAAACACAAATGCCCCTGGCTCAGATTCTTGTCAGTAGCAATACTTCATAAATGTTTACCCATTCACTCAGTTATGGACAGAAAAATCACCAAAAAATTGTAAACACAAGTTTTATAGCTTGACAAAGTCATGGCATTTTGTAATTGTGAAAAATATAAGTTGCCAAGTCATTGCTCTGACTTGTGAAGTTGAAAAATATTCAACTTCATGCAAGTTATCTTCCTACCAAATACGAAATACATCTGTCATTAAATAAAGGCTGTATGGGCAAAAGTGTAAAAATCTATTTTGAGCACTGGTGACCTTGACCAAACTGACCCCTCACTCTATCCAAAAGAAGAATACCATGTACACTCTATCCAAAAGAAGAATACCATGTAAGTTATCTTCCTACCAAATATGAAATACATCTGTCAATAAATAAAGGCTGTATGGGCAAAAGTGTAAAAATCTATTTTTAGCACTGGTGACCTTGACCCAACTGACCCCTTACTCCATCCAAAGGAAGAATACCATGCAATTTATCTTCCTACCAAATATGAAATACAACTGTCAATAAATAAAAGCTGTATGGGCAAAAGCGTAATACTCTATTTTTAGCACAAGTGACCTTGACCCACTGATCCCTACCCCAATCAAAAGGATGAATACCATGCAAGTTATTTTCCTACCAAATATAAAATATATCTGTCACTTAATAAAGGCTGTATGAGCAAATGTGTAAAAATCTATTTTTAGCACTGGTGACCTTGACCCAACTGACCACTAACTCCATCAAAGTTTATGTTTCTATCAATTATAAATAACATCTGTCTATAGAAAAAGGTCAATACACCTGTAAAAATGTAAAAATCTATTTTTAACATTGGTGACCTTGACATTGGTAACATTGACCTTGACCCAAATGACCCCATACTACACCCAAAGAAGGAGGTGTTTGTATTAAACTAAGACATCAACTAAAAAATAAAGGCTGTATGAGCAAAAAGGTTTATATTTATTTTTTAAACCAGTGACCTTGACCCTAGAGACCGCTTACTCTAAAAAAAAAAAAAAGGACCATCAAAGGTATCCACCTACTAAATATAAAAGATATCAGTAAAGAAATTAAGCAATTAGGAGAAATTTAAGATAAATCCAACTTGTCGAAATAGGTTAACCAGACAAGGCCCTATTTTCAAAGTGAAAAAAGAAAAAAAATAAGGAAATATGGATGACACAGTTATATAACTTATCAATATCATGTGCTTTGTATTGATAAGTAAGTGTGGAAATTATAAAGCCATTAGTATAGATAGAACTTAAGATATTTCCAACTTGCCGTTTTAGGTTAACCATTATTCATTTTCTAAGTGCTGAAAAGGGCAATAACTTGGTAAATATGAAAGCCAGAGTTATGAAACTTGCCCAGATCGTGTACTTTGTATTGATTAGTAAGTGTGTAAACTTAGAAGCCATTGGTACAGGTAGAACTTAAGAAAATTCCAACTTGCCGTTCTAGGTTAACCTCGTACGGACAGACGGACGGACGAACGGACGGTTCAATCACTATGTGCCCGGGGGCATAAAAATCATGTACTAGTATCCATTAAGCTGAAGACTATTTTTCTATTGCCAGACAAACTCATTACTTTCATAATGCAGAGCTAGGTATTGGGCGACAGTCAAGGTCATCCAAGGTCAAATAGTCTGAAAGTACACGTACATATTGAAGTGAACAATCTGGTAAGATTGAAGCTAAGAACATGAATGACTTGAACATCAAACTGGGCAGGTTGTTTGAAACAAAAGTGATCCAGGTGTGTCTATTATTCTCTGAAAGTAATTACTTCTGTTTTCTGATTTCATTATGTTCTAACCTAATTATTGTCATGAAATTATTTGCCAGCATTACTCATAGAGAGGAATTAATATAGTGCATCATTATGCATCTTTAATGGCACTAGCTGGAATCTCAGTAGCACCACTGTTCTCTAAAGAAGCTTAAAGCTGTGACAGGCCAGTTGTTAGTTACTTTAAGAGGCCAAAACATAAATCACTTCAAAGTATGCTAAGAATTGTTAATTCAAAGTTACCTCAAAGTTCTTTCCGCTGGGGCCTTATATTTTGCCTCAGATCTGCTTCCTAAGTCACCATCATAGAAAGTATACCATTTCACTCCTTGTTTGGTTCTCTGCTGAAAAGATGATTTCTGCTGGACTGGTACTGTGTTAATATAGTCTAGAGGTAGACCGCATGCCTGTAATATTGTAGACACAGTCTTCCGGATGTCAGGTGATTGTAAAGAGATTTTTATATCCTTGAAACCTTTCAGAAATGGAAAATAGAAATAGATTTATATCATCATGGCGACCTATCATGTGGTTTGTTATGTAATGGATTTGCTAGTGCGCAGACAAATAGATTAACAAAGCAGCAAATTTGAGGCTTATTTACATTTTTCTTGCATCAGGAGCATTCCTCTAAAAATAAACCTATCTGGTGCAAGTTCTTACATCAATATTGTTTCCTGGTTATATCACTTTAGTGTCCAACTATTGCAGTTTTCTTAGAAAACTGGACAAACCACAATAGCATTACTTTGATTTCTATGGTTAAAAGAAAAGAATCACCTTCGGGCAAATGGATTTTTTTTGTGTTTTGAAGTCAAAATTTTGTGTTCATACCCATTAAAATGTTTGAATAATGAGCTACATTAAAGTTCTTGCACAATGATCATTATAACAATGACAATGATGCAGCTATCATAATAATTAGACTATTTCCTAAAAACAAACAAACAAGCTTAAAATGTCTAGAAAATATCAAAAAACTATTCTCTCTTACTAACTTTTCTTGTTATTTGGATCACGTATATAAAAGATCACATCAATTGGTTTGGTAGAGTATGACTGTTGGGTCTTCAACTCTGCTACATACTCATGAAGTATCTTCAATGAATGCTCATTTACAGACTGAAATTACAAAACAATACTCATTCAAGTAAGGTCATATTTCAACACAAAATAAAATAATAAACAACCACCCTTGTCATTTTCATTATTATTTTAATAGTTGTATTATAACAATGACTAACTCATTCTTGCATGAAACTCCCACTATTTGGCATAACAATTGTCAGGCCATAATCTGCTTACATTGTACTTTAGGAAAAACTTTATGAAACATTTGAGGCATATCAGAGTTGTAAAGTATCCAAACTAGGAAAGATACATGCATTGACTGATAATTTCGTTATTAACATTGGTTTTTAGGTGTCACCAATGCAATTTAGATCACACAGTGACTTTCCAGCTTTACTGGTTGAAGAAGACCTCAGGTGCCTCTCTGAGCATTATTTCAGGCACAAGCGGGCACCTAAGTAGAACCACCAACATTCTATAAGCTAGCTGGATAGCTTCTCACATGAAAGAATCGATTCACATGAAAGAATCAGAAGACCCTTGCAAGGCTCGAATCAACAACCTTAACCCCATGGCCACAGATGCCCCTTGACTGATAAAATATGATACATAATATCTCTTTTGATAAATTTTGTTTGAATAAAAAGTTATTTACTGATATATGTAATTAGAAACACAAACAAAATATGCTTCAAGATTGACTTTTCTTATGATACAGGAAATAACTGTAACCACTTTCAAAGCAGCAGGTGTTTTCATTATGTGAATTTATGTTATGGAATGGAAAAAGGTTCTTTGTTTGCAAAAATATACCACTCCATAACTGTCATTAGTAACTGACATATAATTTGATAGGGTAAGGTTAAAAAGACCTGAACATAATCAGCAAGTACCCATTTTTGCTTGTTTCCACCTGAGTTTTTGAAGAGAAAAACAACACATTATTTAAAAAAAATTTCCTAGCCACAGTGACTGTATATTGGTCATTTTCATACAATTTGTTTCATAAATGTCTATCAGTATATAATTTCAATCATCCATTCCCAATGCAAATTTCTAAATCTTACTCTTTCTTTTGGATGTCTTCCAAACAGATCTGGATGAACAGCAAAGTAGAAAGGTCGGAGGGCAGTTGCTGTCTCACTACTGTTTAATGAACGTTTCAAAACTGATAAATCCTTCACTCTAAAACTTTTTAGCAGCAAACATCTACAAAAGAAAAGTTATTGATTTATACAGGGAAGTCAAAGGCCTGCCCGCAAAGCAGGTCCAGGCTTTGGCTTGCCCGGTTATAGACTACATGTTTAAAATGAAATCAACAAAAGAACAATTTAAAGTATATAGATTTCTATATCAATCAGTTTAAATTTTTAGTTTTTTTCAAAATTGGGTTTCCTCCAATTTTTAATTTTTTAATCATTGTAATTTCAAGGTTTTTCCAAAAGCCTTTTTTTATTTTATAAATTAAATTTTTTGAGGTGAAAGAAACTTTCATGAAAAAACCAAATGACACCTTTAAAACTAAAAAAGTAAAAAAAAACATAAACAATTTCTTTTATCCAACTTCCCTGACCATATTAACAAATATATGGTGACACTTCTTTATAAGGCAACATACTACAGTAGAAATGTTTTAACAAACTAAACAAATTTTTAAAGGACTTAATTTCTGTTAATACAAGTTTTAAGATAGTTCTGGCTTCCATAACTTTATATGTCGCTTTTATTTTGACATTGCGACAGTCTAGCAGTACTATAAAACCTGAAAACATGTTCGCTGAAGTCTCTTTAGCTAATTTTAAGACAGATATTAACAAATTATTTTACTTCATAATTATTCTTCGTTTAAACATCAAACAAAGTTATTAATTTTAGCTAATGGCGTAATTTTTATGACATTTCTGGGAGTTCTCAAAATATCGAAGGTAGGTGTCTTTTATTCTACAAAATTGAAGGCGCAGTTGCATGTTGTCCTCTCAGAAATTTTTTTATGTATGGAGTAAAGTGATTTGTCAACTCCAAAAAGATGTGTGCAGTTTTGTCTTTACTTAGTCCTACATTCTCAACAGATAGATAATCAGATTTAATACAAAACATTCAAAATGAAAATACTAGACTATACATTTTGTATTAGACATACATAATAGATATTTTGATAGCACTGAATTTCAATAAGCGCCTTTTAACACAGATGACATTTTTTTTTACATTGTTTTCATTTAACAAGTTTAAACAGAATATTATCATGCATAGCAGTCTCACCTTACGTGCCGTACCATATACATTTGTACTGAGGGTTTAAATTTTGTTGTCAAAAAACCGATGTGTGAATGACAGCTGCATTTTCAATCAAGTTGTAAACAATTCTCATCATTTAACACGTCTGCTAAACGCACATTAAAAACGTGGAACAAATCCAAAGGTCTCCGAAAATTTAAATAGACGGCTATCCGATTTTAGCAATTGGAGCGACAGGTGATAAAGAAAGCTCATTTATCGGGAACCATTCTAAAATTTATTTACAAAACAACCTTGCAACTAACAAGGTGGTTTTAACCAGTTTTACAGTCAGTTGGTATACATCTAGAGGGAGGCAAAATGCAAAACACAGTTAAGTTTACGAAACCATTTTTGGAGATTTGCAAAAAGGTAAATACCAGGAAGGGCCATCTTATTCAGCCATGCAGGACCAAAGTTCTGTCAGTACAAAACATGAACCCCCATGTCAAGAACATGGAATATGCTGTCAGGGGACCAATTGTCATTCGAGCTGGTGAGATTGAGCAAGAACTAGCAAAGGTAAGCAATGGCGCTATGTGTTTTGTTTTTTGTATGTTAATACCAGGCAGTGATATTTTTCACCTTATACATGTATATTTATATAACAGATACATATAAAAGGCCCCTTCCCAATTGAAATTTTCCTTTAAAATAAAATCATGCAGTTTTCTGAAAAATCTTTCATTGTTTTTTACCTCCCAAAATAGGAATTTTAGGGATAGCTTTTACCGAGAGGCTAAGGCCTCGGGTTTTTTCGTATTTATTAAAGCTTGATTGCGAAATAAGTATTTGCAACTGATATTTATCACTTTTAGTCCGCTTCCTAGAACCACACATTACTGGTGTCATATGAAGAAACATGGTCGGACATGACCCAAGTAGGGCTCACACTGATGATCCCTGGGTTGAGAGGCAGACATCTTAACCATTAGACCACCACTCCCCTTGGCCTCTTCCTAATTAAGTGGGAAAAACCACTGACAGGGTTAGAATTTCACATTTGTTCTTGACCTTAATTCATTCACAAAAAGTCACTATTTTAAAGGGGATGCAATTCAACCTGAGGAGCTTAAAGTACCCAACTGACAAAAATTAAGTAGGTTGAGATCTATTAGTCGTAATATTACGTGCACATTTTGACTTTTTGTAAATTGCTTGATATTTTTATGGCAGGGTGTAAAGAAACCATTTACTGAAGTCATCCGAGCCAACATTGGAGATTGTCATGCAACTGGACAGAAACCTATAACATTCTTACGACAGGTATTTCAATGTGACAAAAAAATCATGTATACATGTATTTACTAGTAACAATCTTGTATGATGATGGAAATTTCGCTTAATTATTGTAAACTACTAGTATTTGTGATAGTTTAATTGCTTCCATTAAATGTGGCACCCATAAAAGTATGCAATGGTGGATCATTGTATTGTTTAAGACTATCCAGGTTTGACTTCTTAACAAAATAGAAACAGAACCAGACTTAAAGTAGTCAAAATAAGTTGACGTGCCAAAGCTAAATTCTTAGATATTTTAGTTCTGGGTCAGAATCTCGCTTAGGTAGAGCACGGATTTATATTACAAGGATCGGACACTTTCGTTTTAGCTTAAAGTCTCGTCGCACGCATGCGCAGAATCGCACATCGGATAAAGGTGGACAGAATGAGAGATGGCGGAACGCCCTGAGTGCGAAATATGACAGATTTTCACAAGAGTGTGTGGTGTTATTGCAGCTTTGTGAAAATTTTTACACATATTAATGTATTGATACAGTATTATTTTGTGTCGCTAAAGTATTAATATATGAAAATATGCCGATAGAACGCTGCAACGCTGAGTTAAAAAAGTACCTAATTTAAAAAATATTCGCCCATTGTTAAGGCATACTCTCTACACTTTGACGCCCTTTTACTTCAAGCACAAATTATTACCGCGATTCAGATTAAGATAATTATTTTCTACATGGTTTAATGGTTGCAATGCAAAAAAATGTTTCTTGATTGTTTAAAAACTTTTAAAGAAATTCACGTTTGAAATTTGTCTTTTTTCTGTGAATTATTTCAAAATGATTTGAACATTTTTTATTTGATTACCTGAATATTAGTATAAATATAGTATTCTACTAATAAGTGTATTAAATATATTTTCAGATCATTGAAAAAAAGCGTTCATACATAGATGAATTCATTATATTGGCAAGGAAGAAACTTTTATTGGCATACAGAACAGCTGTTTTATAATATTATTTTTTATGTTTAAACAGATTTTTTTCATAGTTATCCTTCACAATTCACGTCAAATGATTTATTTGTCATACGTTTATTTTCATTATTTTTCAACGAAAGGACTATACAAATTTACTTGTATATATTCAATATATTCAATTTCATTTATAAATGTTAATAAAGAAAATAGATTTACATTGTATTTATATATATCCTCTTCAGAATCATTTTCTTATCACACATACCATGGATTGAAGTTAAAGACCGCACGTATACAAAATATACATTCAAATTCTATTTGTTTTTGACGATTGAGTGTTGCAATTATCACATGTAACCTGGTAATGAAAGTTTGAAAATAAAGTTTTTCAATTATCACTTGTTACCTGTTAATTAACCCCCTTCAAAAGTAATTAAACTTCAAAGAAATTTAAGCGATGTGTAAAAAATAATCAAAAGTTACTTTTATTTCGCATAATACTGACTCAAACTGTAAATACTTTATTGTTTTTCTAGCGTTACATTAAAAAATATCATAAATATCTTTCTACAGGCATTCAAATAAAAAGAATAATTAAAATATACGAGTGACATTGTAAAGCGCCCGCAATACATTACCCGTAAAACAATTGTGCGTTAATAAATTTGACTACATAACCCAATAAATCTTAAATATTGCATCTTTGATCATCTGTGAATAACTAACAACGGCTTCTTTTTTATTTTGAAATTGAATTAATTTTATTATGTTACCATAATAATAAATTTCAAATACCTGCTTTTTATATAAAAAAATGTAAATTTACCGCGGATTTCGTCAAGTTAATTTTTTAATCGTCGTTGCGGACAGATAAACTGTACCTTTAAAAAATAAATTAGATATTTGAATTAAACAAGTATTTTTCTTCAAAATAAACAAAATCGGATAATAAATGGAAAAGCTATATGGTATTTTGTAAAGTAGGTATCCGTTGCGAACGGGCATTTACGCTTAGCGCCGGTAAATTATCGATCGATGTACCTTTATCGGGTGCACGACAAGATATTTAAGCATTTATGTAGGGTTAACTGGGAGTGTCCGATCCCTGTAATATAAATCGTGGGTAGAGGTTAGATATTGCCTATACACAAAATAGCACAATATCTCAACAGGTAGTACATTGCACAATTAGACTTATAGTTATTCATAATTGTTAGAATATATGTACATGCATTAAGATATATACAGTAGATCATGTGAAAGCTTATAAACACAGTGCAACAGAATGAATAGGGAAAAGATTGAGCTGCAAATTGCCTTAAAAAATGTGCCCTACTTTTGACCTGCTACATGTACTTCAAAGGAGGTCACTTATCAGCTTGGCAGGTTCTAACGTGCTATCACCTGATTGCTGAAAAGTTAGTATCTTCCTTCATTCTCATGTCTGTTGCCTTATTATTTTCATCAATCCTGAAAAACACCCAATTGCAAAATGAAAAAAAAAATACATGTATGAGTTAAATTTATACCTTTTAGGTACAATACCTGTTTTTAATGTCTTCTACTTGCAGTATCTGCTCATTGTTGCAATCTGACTCCTTATATATATCATTGTTTTTAAGGGTCAAGAGTCATTTTCAGGTTGTTGCAATATGTACAGATCCAGAAAGGTTAATGAATGATCCCTCATACCCAGCAGATGCCAAAGACAGAGCTAGAAGGATACTTGACAGCTGTGCTGGACAAAGTGTTGGTAGGAACCTAGTAGTGACTGTTCATTTATTATTTTATTAAGACACTTTAAGACACTGTATCTTGAACTGTTTTTGGTGGAATAATTTAATTGTGACTGCTGCAAATATGGAAGTCCTGATTCTATTGTATCATGAAATTATAAACGAGTTTAAAAAAAAAAGTGTTGTTAGTTTTAAAACTAGTTTTGAATAATCAATTCATCTTGGTGTTAAGGCTGTTCATTATCTTTTATATGCCCGAAAGAATTTCGGGCATATTATGTTATACCCCTTGGCGTCCGTCGTCTGTCTGTCTATCCTGTCCGTCCGTCCGTCCTTTAGCAATTTGGTTTCCGGAGCATAACTTAAGTTCCATTTGGCCCACAATGTTCAAACTTCATAGGATGATTGTCCATATTGGGTAGAAGACCCCTATTGATTTTTGGGTCACAAGGTCAAAGGTCAAGGTCACTATCGTCTTAAAACTGAAAACAGTTTCCAGAGCATAACTTAAGTTCTGTTTGGCCCACATTATTCAAACTTCATAGGATGATTGTCCATATTGGGTAGAAGACCCCTATTGATTTTGGGGTCACAAGGTCAAAGGTCAAGGTCATTATTACTTTAAAACTGAAAACAGTTTCCAGAGCATAACTTAAGTTCGATGTGGCCTACAATATTCAAACTTCATAGGATGATTGTCCATATTGGGTAGAAGACCCCTATTGATTTTGGGGTCACAAGGTCAAAAGTCAAGGTCACTATCGCCTTAAAACCGAAAACAGTTTCCGGCACATAACTTAAGTTCCATTTGGCCCACAGTGTTCAAACTTCATAGGATGATTGTCCATATTTGGTAGAAGACCGCTATTGATTTTGAGGTCACAAGGTCAAATGTCAAGGTCACTATCGCCTTAAAACTGAAAACAGTTTCCGGAGCATAACTTAAAGTCTATTTGGCCCACAATATTCAAACTTCATGGAATGATTGTCCATATTGGGTAGAAGACCCCTATAGATTTTTGGGTCACAAGGTCAAAGTCACTATAACTTTAAAACTGAAAACAGTTTCCGGAGCATAACTTATGTTCCATGTGTGTGGCCCACAATATTCAAACTTCATAGGATGATTGTCCATATTGGGTAGAAGACCCCTATTGATTTTGGGGTCACAAGGTCATCGGCCAAGGTCACTATTACTTTAAAACTGAAAACAGTTTCCGGAGCATAACTTAAGGTCTATTTGGCCCACTATATTTAAACTTCATAGGATGATTGTCCATATTGGGTATAAGACCCCTATTGATTTTGGGGTCACAATTTCAAAGGTCAAGGTCACTATTACTTTAAAACTGAAAACAGTTTAAAGAACATAACTAAATTTCTATTTGGCCCATAGTGTTCAAACTTTATAGGATGATTGTCCATATTGGGTAGAACACCCCTATTGATTTTGGGGTCTTAAGGTCAAAGTTCAAGGTCGCTATTACTTCAAAACTGAAAACAGCTTCCAGAGCATAACTTAAATTCCATTTGGCCTACAATATTTAAACTTTATAGGAGGATTGCTATTTGAAGGAGGTAATACTTTATTTAATTTATGTAATGTCTTACAAATGCTTCGTCCTTACTAAAAAAAAACAACCTTCTTTCGGGCATATAATGCTCCGCCTAGCAGTGCTCTTGTTTGATTACCTCTTGGAAGTAAATGCATTTTATTTGTGTTTTAACATATATTTTATTTGTTTGTTTTTTTGCTTCCTAAATTTTTGTGGGTTTGTTAATGATTGACTAGCATCTCTTTTATAAAAAATGCAACATTAATTAAATCTAAATGATAGTCTAACTGACAATTAAAATGATCGTCTTACAGGTTCTTATAGTGACAGCTCTGGTGTACGAGTGATCAGAGAAGATATAGCTAAATATATCTCAGAGAGAGATGGACATCCATCCAGCCCAGATGATATTTTCCTTAGTACAGGAGCTAGTGACAGTATCAAGGTATTGACAATATGTTATGATTTTGAACTTTTATCAATATTTAAACACATTCCTAAGGGGCAGATAACTGTCAGTTATTTTTTTGCTAATTATTTCCCCTTCTTGACTTGGAATACTTTCCTTGCCTTAAAAACTATCAAAGATATTCACATTAAACTTGAGATACTTGTTCAGTATCAAGGACAGGTAAGTTTTGCCAAGCACTTTCACAGAGTCATTTCTCATTTTCTACTTTGCTTTTATTATAGTGTCTTGTACTGAGAAAAGTGGAACATACTGTCTGTGGAGTGTTCTTGTTATATTGATATGTTTAATTTAAATAAGAAGGAAGAACTTCTTGAAGTTGACTTGATATGACATGCATTCTATTGTTTTGAGTGAGTTTTTTGTGCGAGGAAGCTTGTTCTTTATTGATATTTTATATTACAGTGTAATTAAGAGAATAATATGCCTCTTATCCTTGTAAAACTCTTTTTATGCTAAATATTTTAAACAAACTTGTCCATCTTCTGATTTGGACAAAACCATTCATCATTTTTCTGGAAAATTTCAAAATAAGGAGTTTCATACAGCCCAGACTGTGATCAAACCTACACAGATGTGTCAGCTGACTTTGATCTTTATTTGAAACATGGGTAGATTCAGTCACTGTCTGCAGACAATGTATTAATTATTGTCAGAAAAATTAAATGTTTTATGTGAAAATAATGATATATACTCGTATATTCTTACTTTGCAGACAATAATGAAGTTGATGATGACAGGAGAGTCAGGTAAAGATAGGGCTGGAATCATGATCCCTATACCTCAGTATCCTCTATATACAGCAACCATTGCTGAATATAACGCGCATCCTGTAAGTAACCATATACCTGTAACACAGCTTTACCTATGATAAATAATTGAGCCGCGCCATGACAAAACCAACATAATGGGTTTGCGACCAGCATGGATCGAGACCAGCCTGTGCACCCGCGCAGTCTGATCAGGACCCATGCTGTTGGCTGTCAGTTTCTTTACTTCTTATAGGGTTTGTAAGCGAACAGCATGTATCCTGATCAGACTGCGCAGATGCGCAGGCTGGTCTGGATCCATGCTGGTCGCAAACCCATTATGTTGGTTTTGTCATGGCGCGGCTCATATAATCATTATTAAAGCTGCATGCCTGGTGATGAGAAAAATGCAGAAAATCAACGTTAAGAAAAATGTACCAAGATTTTAAGAAAAGTAGGATATTTACAATTCAAGTAATAATTTACATGTCATATGCAACAAATGAGTGATTTTGCAGTATTTATTTCCTCTGTGACTAACACAGTAATGGAATTTTTGCATACTTTGACATTTATTTGGTTATTTAAATGACATATAAATACTTTTTTTCTATAAACACAGGATTTATTTTCATCTTGCGGTATGAAAATTATTGTATTTCACTTGTGGCTACCGCTACTCATGTAATATTTATATTTATACCACTTGATGAATAGATATACATAAAGAATTACTAGTAACAATTGTTTGGGGTCATAATGAAAAAGTAGATAAATATATATAATATATTCATTTCTATCTTTCAGATAGGTTACTATTTAGATGAATCAAACACATGGGCATTAAACATTCCAGAAATGAAGAGAGCTATTAATGAGGCTAGAAACCACTGTATACCAAGAGCTATTGTCATCATTAATCCAGGAAATCCAACAGGTATACACATCTTTCATCTTTTATTTTAAAAAAATTATTAATTGTAGCCTACTGTAAAATTCACTGTATTTTTCATGGGGTACTTACTGTATTTTTGTGATTTTCTTAAATAGGATTTCAAATTTAAGATCCAATGAAATTTTATTGCACAATTACTAATGTGGTATTACATGTTTTGCATTGTGCCTTTTTATGTTAGCGCAGACAAATTCATGAATTAAAGATCCGTTTTGACTAAACCAGGAAATTTCAAGCCCATAAGATAAAATGAATTCACAGTTAAATATTTTATATCAATAGTTATGCTTTTCAATAGTGATGAAGACTAGTTATTAAGATCACCCCCCCCCCCCATATTTATTTAGAGGTTCTTCAGAAAGAATATAATGAAGTTGCTTGATGCATATTTGTTCTATTAACATATCCCTTAACTACATAAAAGATTGCAAAAGATTTTGTCGGAATTGCTCATAAGAATTTGACATCATATCTCATCCTGAACCATTGTGTTTTTTTTGCTGGATTTAAGATCGCACCAACACAGTAAAGGTCACATGGCAACTTTCCAGCTTTACATGTTTTCCAGATAAATATAACCAAAAGAAAATATTGGTTCATTTCCATTAATTATTAGTCTAAAGTGTTATGATTGTTTTCAGGTCAGGTTTTACCAAGACAGAACATTGTAGATATTATAAAGTTTGCCAAAGAAGAAAATCTGTTCTTGATGGCCGATGAGGTAAATTCTATGTAGTAAATAAGGAATGTCAGTGGCTGAGTGGTTAAGGTATATAACTTAAAACCACTTGCCCCTCACCGCTGTGGGTTTGAATCCCTACATGTACTTAGAATTCTTTCATGTGAGCAAGCTATTCAGCTAGATTATGAAATGTTGGTAGTTCTACTCAGATGCTTCTTTGTGCCTGGAATAATGCATGTAAGGGCAACTGAGTATTTGTTTCACAGCTAATATTGCAGCAATGCTCAACGAGGAACAGAATCAAATCAAGGCACTGTTGAGTAATTCAGTTGAATTACCAAATATTGATCAACCAACCTGCTTTGTCAAATTTGTCATATTACGATTCACTGAATAAAATTTGAAGTATTCTTGCATATCAGGTGTTTCCGTTTGTTTGCCAATTCTGGAAATTTCGTCTGACACATTGGATGCCAAATGACTCACTCGCTTTAAGATGACGCCATTTTAGCCCATTTTTGTGTCGCCTCTACGGAGTAGTGGCGACATATAGGGATCACTTCTCCGTCGTCTGTCTGTCCGTCTGTCTGTCTGTCTGTTCGTCACAAAACTTGTCCGGACTACTCCTCATAAACTACTGGTGCAATTTCATCCAAACTTTACAGGAATGATCAGTTTTAAGTCTAGTTATGCATATTGTCAGCATTTTCCGGTTCAATGATTTTTGTCAGAGTTATGGCCCTTTAATAATTTTTATTTTTAAAGTTTGTCCGGACTACTTCTCTTATACCACTGATGCAATTTCAATGAAACTTTACAGGATTGATCTGTAGCTCAAGTCCTTGCGCATATTGCACGGGTTTTCCGGTTGAATGATTTTTGGTTGAGTTATGGCCCTTTGATAAAAAAGGTGTTTTTTTCTGTGTGTTGCCAGATACACAAAAGCTTGTCCGGACTACTCCTCATGAACTACTGGTGCAATTTCATCCAAACTTTACAGGAATGATCAGTACCAAGTCTAGTTGTGCATATTGTCAGAATTTTACGGTTCAATGATTTTTGTCAGAGTTATGGCCCTTTAATAATTTTTATTTTTAAAGTTTGTCCGGACTACTTCTCTTATACCACTGATGCAATTTCAATGAAACTTTACAGGATTGATCTGTAGCTCAAGTCCTTGCGCATATTGCACGGGTTTTCCGGTTGAATGATTTTTGGCCGAGTTATGGCCCTTTGATAAAAAAGGTGTTTTTTTCTGTGTGTTGCCAGATACACAAAAGCTTGTCCGGACTACTCCTCATGAACTACTGGTGCAATTTCATCCAAACTTTACAGGAATGATCAGTACCAAGTCTAGTTGTGCATATTGTCAGAATTTTACGGTTCAATGATTTTTGTCAGAGTTATGGCCCTTTAATAATTTTTATTTTTAAAGTTTGTCCGGACTACTTCTCTTATACCACTAATGCAATTTCAATGAATCTTTACAGGATTGATCTGTACCTCAAGTCCTTGCGCATATTGCACGGGTTTTCTGGTTGAATGATTTTTGGCCGAGTTATGGCCCTTTGATAAAAAGGTGTTTTTTTCTGTGTGTTGCAAGATACACAAAAGCTTGTCCCCACTACTCCTCATGAACTACTGGTGCAATTTCATCCAAACTTTACAGGAATGATCAGTACCAAGTCTATTAGTGCACTGTCCGTCTGTCTGTCCGTCTGTCACAAAACTTGTCCCAACATGAAATTGGCCATTATGAGGCGACACATGTGATCACTGATCGCTCTTGTGTAAATAAACTGTGAAAAAAATATCATTTTGGCACATTTAAGAATGTAAAGTCGTAGCTAAGATGATGTCATTTCCCTGTAATGAATGAAGTTGTAAATTCATATGCTATTGTAAGAAAATCAATTTTGATGAAATGACATTTATTTGTATGAAATTTTAATTTATTGAGGTAAACTATTTGAAGTATGATAGAATATACAAGAAAAAATATCTGACCCGAATTGTGATTCAGAACTAAACATCTGTTCCTTTGGTGGTGGCAACTCAACAAGCTTCATTACCGCTCAATGGTTGGGTACTTGCGGGACGGATATTCCTATCCAAACCGTAACATATGACATATTATTAGTCAGTGATATCACACAAATATGCATGTAAGTGTTTAATTACGATTTTCAAGCATTTGAGAGTGCTAAAATAATCGTTGAATCTTGTCAATGTTTACCTTGACTCGAGTGTAATTTGGGGCAGTTTGACAGTGTGATTATTGTAAATGATTATATATTTGTTAAATTGAACATGATTTTAGGTGTACCAGCATAATATATATGCCTCTGGTTCAGAATTCCACTCCTTCAAGAAGGTATTAACTGAGATGGGACCAGAATATAACACAATGGAGCTGGCCTCCTTTATGTCCACTTCAAAAGGATACATGGGGGAGTAAGTGTTATGAAACTTTTTGATATAGCTTTGCTATTTGCCTATTATAAATTCAAACTTTTGAAAGTTGCATTACTTTTAAGTTTGATGGCAGCTCTGAGACATGAAATAATCAAATTGTGAGGTGTTTTTTTCTAGTTAGACAAATTGAAGAAAGTTTTATTGTAGTACATTGTATAATAAATCATTAGCATGCTAGTTGAAACTAATCTACCAATGCAAACAGTGCAAAACAAAATCAACTGGCACATCTGTGCCATCTGAATATTGTTTGTCTCAATATTTTGACAATGTTCCTAAAAATGATTAATGGCATACTCCCAGTTTGAAAGGCAAGAGAGTCTGTTTAAAAAATTTAGCATGGCAAGGGTGAAATTAAATTATTTTTGAGTAAAGCCATAACCTGATGCAGTAAATGGATTTTAATGATAATAATCTCATATTCAAATACCTGGTATTACTTATATCTTTTATATATACATTATGTACAACAGTATTATATATTTTAGTATTATTTCAACAGTTCATGGTAATGAAGCTGGCCTGAAATTAATCGAAAAATTGATAGCAAAGGAAATGTAGAGAGTATTTGCCCTATGGTGTTATTCAATGCTATTTACAGATGTGGTTTCCGTGGAGGTTACTGTGAGGTCATTAACCTTGACCCAGATGTGAAGGTCATGCAGCTGAAGTCAATCTCTGCTAAACTCTGCTCCTCAGTTTCTGGACAGGTAAAAATGTTATTATGTTAAAGGAACTTCACTGAGGTCCAAAGGCCTAATAATAGAGTGAAAAGCATTGCAACTCTTCATTGTTGTGTCATTTTGCACAATAAAAATGATTATCTTGGCAAAATGGGGAGAGTGAATGGACTGAAATTTTGCACACAAGTTATTGGACCAGACCTTCATCAGTTGATACACAAATCTTTGGAAAATATTTCAGTTAAGTCATGTAAAAAAAAACTCAGTAGAGTCCCTTTAAAATCTCAAGATAGAATCAGTTTTGCATACAACATTAAAAACAACAACATTTTTTGTTAATAAACAGAAAGTGTGGATGATATTTGGAAGTGACTTAAACTTGGTTCTCACAATTGTATGACATATTAAGTGTACTTTCTCTTAAAAAAGACTAAAAAAGATTTTTGCTTGATAGCAAGGTAATGTAAACAAGCTTTTTGGATTTTTAGTCTGATATCAAGTAGGAACATATTTTTGCAGAAAAATTGTTTTAAAACAAATATCAAGACTGCCCTCTTAATCTTGAAGTGAGTAATTTATGTAGAAAAATTGATCCTAGTAGGGAAAGCATCATATTAGAAATCTATGGGTGACTGGTTCACTCTTTGGGTGAAGCAAAATTTCTCTGTTACAATACAATAGTCTTTGACATTGAGGTATTTGTCTCTTATTTATACAGTCTAACTTGCCCATGCGTCCACGTGTATTAAGCGACTTTTGTCTTAAACGACCACTTTAAATTACCCCCGATCATTTTCTCTCTATATCTTTAATGTATTAAACTACTTTTGCTCAACGCGACCAGCGACTGCTAATTAGTCACCTAATTGACATCAATCTTTTCATTAAACGACAGCTTTTACCTGTCAAGTAATTGTGTTTTTAGAGAACGCCGCCTCGTAATGTCACAAGTGTCAACGATCAAAACACAACAATAAACGTGTGAAAAACTCTATTTCCCCATACCATTTTAGCGTATGCAAATGAAGTTAAGTATACGCGTGACGTGTATTATCCAATAATATCGGATAAACAATGCAACGCTCCGCCCATACTGAGATGGTGTATACGCTTCGCTTGTTGACATTTAGACTGCATTGAATTGACCTTGAACTTGATCAGCCATTAAATTAATCGTAACAAATAGATGTAGTTTGTTTATTTCAAATGAAAAAAATGCACAACAGAAAACATCTTCACTAATAGGGTTTTCGTGTTGGAGACAAGGGAAAACAACGGAGAAGTTAAAAAATTCTGGAAAAAATGTCAAACAATGGATCTTGAAACTGTTTTGTCAATAAATATCAGAAAGTTATTTTTTACATTTGCATCCATTTAGATTATTGGAGCGTACTTTTTTTCAACATTTTTATAAAAATGAAGTTGAAAAACGATCCCACCGTATAAAAAAGATGTCATTTATAAATTTCGACTTTTATATCATGCTGACTGTCTTAAGAGACCGTTTCATTAAGCGACCGTTTTGGGTGTTTCCCTTGCCCGGCCGCTTAATACACGTTTGACTGTATATTACATTGTATCATTGTATAATTGTAAATATGTTGGGTCAATACACCATTTGTTGATATATTCCAGGCTGTGATGGACGTTGTAGTGAACCCACCGAAACCTGGGGAACCGTCCTATGATCTCTTTATGAAGGTTTGATGATTTCCTAACAGAAATGCAAGATTTACTTTCAATTATTTATAAGCATAAAACATTTATTTTTGTTAAAACCTAGACATGACTTATGTCTATTGTAATAATTATGTCTGTAATAATAATGTCTGTTTTTGTAAATGTTTGTAATCTTGTTCATGTTAGCCATGGTCGGATACACATGGTTGATTAAAATTAACATTTAATCAAGCCGTGGGTAAAATGCACGATTTGCTTCAATATACAGTAACAGATGCATGTAATATCTACCAATGAAATTGAGTTTAACAGAATTGATATTATTCAACACTGAAAGTAAAAACAATAAGTAACAGTAAATTTTCTATGTTTTTTTTTTGCTGGAAATCAATCACATTTTTAATACTGAACTTTTCACAAATGAATTTAGTTGGTTGTCACAATTTTGTCTGTAATACGGAACGTTGTATAGAATGACAATTTAATTGGTATCACCTCATGAAATCATGATGTAACCAATGAAATAGCTGTCTTTAACACATCTGATCGACTAGATAAAGGCCAAAAATCCCACAGCTGATAAATGTTAATGGTTTGGCCGTGGGTATGCCATGATGATGTAAGCATGTAGTAAACAGTAATATGAATTAAAGGAAAATTACTTCAGTTATATCTATTTTTCTTCAGTAATTTTTCAAATACAGAGAAAATTCTTTTAGCAGAATGTATTTAGCTTGAAATTAATTAATCTAACAATCCTTAACTGAGGTTCTTTCAATTTTATTTTAGGAAAAAGATTTCGTTCTCGGCCAGCTAAAAAAGAAGGCCGAGATGGTAACAGAAACATTTAATTCCATTGATGGTATATCATGTAATGTTGTACAAGGTGCTATGTATGCATTCCCCAACATCAAAATACCAGCAAAAGCCATAGAGGCTGCCAAGGTATAGTTATGTTTTCTTTCTTTTTTGAATATTTTGTTTTTGGTCAGGAAAAGGATATGTGAATTTTTCTGTTACATTTTGCAATTTATATGTATTCTTTGTACAGTTGATATGTGTTTTGCTTACTTTCAAGTTACACATAGTACATGTCATTTTTCATTGTGGATATTTATTGGAAGCACCTAGGTAAACTATCTGTATCTATTTTGCCTAAAACGATTTGGATGCCCTGTTGACATAAAGAACTCAACATTTAGGGATTTTTCTGAAATTGTTATGGGAAGGAGCAAGACTTAGTGATTTGTAACCAATGTTTATGACTTTGTCAAAATATGCAATAATTATCATTCTATTCTAGTTCAATATCACATTTTATTTGCCATATTTTGATAAATGTATGACAATTTGTATTTTGTATGGATTTAGATATTTAACTTTTAAAGAAAGGTTCTCAAATATATTCTTCTTAATTCACAGATATTAAGATTTTTATATCTGTGCCATTTGCCTCATGCACATGTATATTTATGCAAAATATTTATTGTAAATGTATAAATCATATAAAAGAATTATATTGAAATTTGTAACATTTCAGGCCGCTGGTCAGAAGCCAGATGCGTTCTATTGTTTCCAGTTATTAGAGGAAACTGGTATCTGTGTGGTACCCGGCTCTGGATTTGGTCAAGTAGACGGAACCTATCACTTCAGGTATAAACTTCAATACAATCACCTTTGTATAACTCATTTCATTTAAACATTCATTTATGTTCAATTGCGAAACAAAATTCTTGGAATTTGTCATGATCTTTAAAAAAATCTTTATCTTGGAACATACTAGTTGGTATCAAATGAGGAAGCTTAGTTGTGACTTGAGTTGGGCTTGAATCTATAATCTCTCTTGAGTTGAGAGGCAAACACATTGACCAAGTAATTAGACCCCTTTTCCCCACCTTTTTCACTTTGAATCTGTTTAATGTTGATGATGTGTATGGACAATTTAGTTCAGGTGTATTGTCCTGTTTATTTCAATGTTTTCCCTACAATGTTTGGAATGATGTCATTCACCTGAAAGAAAATGTTAAAAGTCCATTATGCCCCAGAAATGCATATTTTTTATTTTGTCGAAAGCATTTTATTTTTTGGTGTTTGGTTGTATTTTCTAAAAAAGGTTACTTATTGGCCAACTTCCTGAACCACCCTTCGTTTTTGTAGCTTTTTAGCGTTATGTATAGTGACAGAGATTAAAATTTTTTGTATGGAAGTCAGAGAACCACTTTGTTTACATTTTATTGCTTTTATGACAAACAATTTCATATTCAACACTACTTTCTTCAGGTGATAAACATCTAACATGCTCTAGAACTATTAATTAAACTTTAGAAAACTTGTATTTGCCCTTTCTAAAGAAGGAACAATTTTTTGTGTGTCTGGTAATGAACAATTTATTGAACATTTTTTTCAGAACAACGATATTGCCCCCTACAGAGAAACTGCAAGGAATGTTAGAAAAATTCAAAGTGTTCCATGGACAGTTTTTACAGAAATACAAGTGAAATATTCCAGTACTCTAGAAAATATGAAACTGTTTTTTGTTGTGAAAGTTTCATATGATCATGTATTAAATTAATACACCAGTGTTTAACTTTCGCACCGACAGGGTTTTCATTTATCAGATTGATTGAAAGTAAAATTTGAGTGCTAAGTCTGTTTATTTTAAAATGGGAACATGAATCTTATCTTGATTTTTTTCGTTGCATTACATAAAATGAGCCGTGTCACGACAAAACCAACATAATGGCTTTGCGACCAGCATGGATCCAGATCAGCCTGCGCATCCGCGCAGTCTGATCAGGATCCATGCTGTTCGCTTACAAACTCTATAACAAGTAGAGAAACTGATAGCAAACAGCATGGATCCTGATCAGACTGCACGGATGCGCAGCCTGGTCTGGATCCATGCTGGTCGAAAAGCCATTATGTTAGTTTTGTCGTGACACGGCTCAATTATTTATTAAACAGGTATGATTAAAGTGAGTGGACTGCCAGATTAGAGGTATCAAAGGGTCTCCTTATTGTTTATATATTTTATCGACAACAAATTTCAGATTCTCCCTAAATTCTTTTGATCTGATAATTATATGAAAGGATTTATCTAAAAATTACAAATTTAACTAAGAAATACTGAAGGCCACTTTAATGATAAATTAAAAAAAAGATGAATTTATTAATTTTCATATGTAAAAAAATTGTTAAAATGCTAGAAGAGTTGAAATTTATTTTAACTTAGTTAAATAAAATAATGTAAACTTTCTAGAAAAATTGGGCATTTTAAATTTTTATAACAAAGTACTTTTGAATCAGCTTTTTACCATGGATATTTTTATTCAAGATTTGTATTTTCGTTGGTTTTGTGAACACATGCACCAGAAATGTTGTGCCTGTTTGCTTGAAAATTTAGACTACCTTTAATTATTGACATATTTTTTGCTACTCACTGGCATGTTTTGAAGAAATGTTGACTGTTTTAATTGACTTACATGTGATAGAGGTTTGTGCTCATAAATGGAAATATGATGTTACATGAACTGAAGTACATGATGGAATATGGGAATGATAACAAAAGTTGTATTTTTTTTTTTATCTGATAAGCATAAATTTTAGATATATTATGGACTTATTGAATCTCTAATTAGCTCACCAGAGCCGAAGGCTCAGGGTGAGCTATTAGTATCAAAGTAGGATGGTCCAGCGTCCGTCGTCGTGCCTCAACAATCGTCTTCTTCTCTGAAACTTCTGGACAGATTTACTTCAAATTTGGTCTGTAGCATCCTTGTGACAGTCACACTTGAATTTGCTCATGTCATTCCAATTGGCCCCTTTCAGGGGTCAGCAGAGCTAAAAATAGAAAAACCTTTAAACATCTTCTTCTACAGAACTAATGGATGGATGATCACCAAACTTTGTCTGTAGCATTCCTGGGTAGTGTTTTATCAAGTTTGCTCATATTAATTTGATTGGCCCCTTTTAGGGGTCTCTAGGGCTAAAAATAGAAAAAAATTTAAACATCTTCTTCTACAGAACTAATGGATGGATGATCACCAAACTTTTGTCTGTAGCATTTTTAGGTAGTCTTTTATCAAGTTTGCTGATATGAAATTGATTGGCCCCTTTTAGGGGCAGCTAAAGCTAAAAATAGAAAAACCTTTAAACGTCTATTTCTACAGAACTAATTGATGGATGATCACCAAACTTTGTCTTTAGCATTCTTGGGTAGTCTTTTATCAAGTTCGCTAATATTATTTTGATTGGTGGTCTTAGGGGTCTTAAGGGCTAAAAATAGTAAAACATTTAAACATCTTCTCCTACAGAACTAATTGATGGATGATCACCAAACTTTGTCTGTAGCATTCTTGGGTAGTGTTTTATCAAGTTTGCTCATATTAATGTGATTGGCCCCTTTTAGGGGGCCCCTTTTAGGGGCCGCAAAAGCTAAAAAAAGAAATACTTCTAAATGTCTATCTCAGAGAACTAATTGATGGATGATCACCAAACTTTGTCTGTAGCATTCTTGGATAGTCTTTTATCAAGTTTGCTCATATTCATTTGATTAGCCCCTTTTAGGGGTCTCTATAGCTAAAAATAGAAATACCGTTTAATGTCTATTTCTAGAGAATTAATTGATGGATGATCACTGATCTTTGTCTGTAGCATTCTTGGGTAGTTTTATCAAGTTTGCTCATATTCATTTGATTATAGCCCCTTTTAGGGGCTGGTAAAAGCTAAAAATAGAAATACCTTTAAATGTCTATTTCTACAGAACTAATAGATGGATGATCACCAAACTTTGTCTGAAGCATTGTTGGGTAGTCTTTTATCAAGTTTGCTCATATTATTTTGATTGGCCCCTAAAAGTAAAAATTGATATACATTTAAACGTCTATTGCTACAGAACTAATTGATTGATGATCTGTAGCATTATTGGGTAGTCTTTTATTAAGTTTGCTCATATTAATTTGATTAGCCCCTTTTAGGGGCCGCTAAAAATAGAAATACGTTTAAACATCTTTTCCTACAGAACTAATTAATAGATGATCACCAAACTTTGTCTGTAGCATTTTTGGGTAATCTTTTATCAAGTTTGCTCATATTAATTTGATTTGCCCCTTTTAGGGGCCGCTAAAGCTAAGAAAAGAAAAACCTTTAAACATCTTCTACTTTAGAACCAATTGATGGATGATCACCAAACTTTGTCTGTAGCATTCTTGGGTACTCTTTTATCAAGTTTGCTCATAATAATTTGACTAGCCCCTTTTAGGGGCCACTAAAGCTAAAAATAGGAAAATAGAAAAAACCTTTGAACATCATTTCCTACTGAAATAATTGATAGATGATCGCCAAACTTTGTAGCATTCTTAAGTAGTCTTTTATCAAGTTTGCTTATAGTAATTTGATTAGCCCCGTTTAAGCTAAAGCTTAAATACCCCAGGCCATGGCATTTATTCAAATTATTGTTTAAACATATTCTATGCTCAAATTTAATATTAGAATATATTGACATTCCAACACTGGAAAGCAGTTGTTTCTGGTGAGCGACTCAGGGCCATGATGGCCCTCTTGTTTTTTTATGTGCTGTGCACTGCCAGTTTTTGTTTATCTGAAGAATGCGTTGCATAATTTTGTAATTATATTATGAGCAGAGGTCTGAAATTGGAATAATATTCGTTGTGGATAATTATAATCATATGCTTTATATTGTTTTTTGTTTTTGTTTAGTTGTTTAGAAAAGGTATCTTTAAGATATTACTACTGTTTTAAGACTTGTTTTTGAATGTAGAAAATTGTATGATTGTTTTTGACTGTAGAAAATTGTATAATTTTTTTTTGAATTTAGAAATTTGTATGGTAGTTAATGAAAGTAGAAAATATTACGATTGTTTTTGAACCTAGAAAATTGGATGATTGTTCTTGAATGTTGAGAATTTTATGATTGTTTTTGAATGATGAACATTTTATGATTGTTTCTGAATGTAGAAAATTGTATGATTGTTTCTGAATGTAGTAAATATTACGATTGTTTTTGAATGTTGAAAATTGTATAATTGTTTTTGAATGAAGAATATTTTATGATTGTTAGCTCACCTGTCACAAAGTGACAGGGTGAGCTTTTGTGATCGCTTTTCGTCCGGCGTCCGTCCGTAAACTTTTACTTTAAATGACATCTCCTCATAAACCACTAAGCCAATTTCATCCAAACTTCACAGGAATGTTCCTTTGGTGGTCACCTTTAAAAATTGTTCAAAGAATTTAATTTCATGCAGAACTCTGGTTGCCATGGCAACCAAAAGAAAAAACTTTAAATATCTTCTTTTAAAAAACCATAAGAGCTAGAGCTTAGATATTTGGCATGAAACATCTCCTAGTTAGTGTCTACCAAGTTTGTTCAAATAAAAGCCCTGGGGTCAAAATTGGCCCCGGCCCGGGGGGTCATTGATTTTCCCTATATGCATATAGTAAAAACTTAAAAAAATCTTCTTTTAAAGAACTCAAAGAGCTATGGCTAAGATATTTAGCATCAAACATGTTCTAATAGGTGTCTACCAAGTTTGTTCAAATAAAAGCCCTGGGGTCAAAATTGGCACCGCCCCGGGGGTCATTGATTTTCCTTATATGTGTATAGCAAAAACTTAAAAAATCTTCTTTGAAAAAACCCAAATAGCTAGAGTTAAGATATTAAGCATGAAACATCTTTTAGTGAGTGTCTACAAAGTTTGTTCAAATAAAAGACCTGGGGTCAAAATTGGCCCCGCCCCGGGGGTCATTGATTTTCTTTATATGTGTATAGAAAAACTTAAAATCTTCTTTGAAAAAATCCAAATAGCTAGAGTTTAGATATTAAGCATGAAACATCTTCTAGTAAGTGTCTACAAAGTTTGTTCAAATAAAAGCCCTTGGGTCAAAACTGGCCCGGCCCCAGGGGTGTCATTGTTTTTAACTATATGTGTATAGTAAGAACTTTAAAAAAATCTTCTTTTAAAAAGCCCAATGAGCTAGAGCTTAGATGTTTAGCATGAAACATCTTCTTATGGGTGTCTACCAAGTTTGTGCAAATAAAAGCCCTTGGGTTAAATTGGCCCTGCAACGTTGGGGGGGGGGGGCCTATATACAGGTGAGCGACCTCAGGGCCATCATGGCCCTCTTGTTTTTAAATGTTGAAAATTGTATGATTGCTTTTTAATTTATTTTTTTTACGAAATATATACCATGCTGAGCGATTTTGTTTCTGACCTTTAATTTTTATTGACCAACTAGATGTGGATTTTTTGTCAAACATTTCTTTTGCTCTGATCTTTTTTTTAAAGCTACATATTTCATTTCTACTTTTTACAAATCTTTTATAAGCTTTAAACCCCTTTGTTATAAAATTAAAAATTTGCTTTTTTAAACACATTTTTTATCCTCATTCCCCTTTTTTTACAAGGAAAAAACAAAATAAAAGAAAAAATTATGTACTGAAAAAACATTATATTATATTTGGGAAAATTTTTTCCCCCTTTTAAAATGTTTTAGAAAATCCAAAAACCCAAAAAAGAAAATGTTTTTTAAAAAAATAATTGCTGCATTGTTATTAAGGGCATTTCTAATATGTTTGAAATAGGCAAAATCAAATCTTATCTGCTAAGATGGATTTTAATGGAAATATATGTAATACTGTATTAGTTCTCACTAAGTGGTTATTCAAAACTTTTAAACTTAAAAACCATGATTTTTTATCTGTAATTGGTAACTTAAGAATGATTGTACAATAAATCATGCTTTTGCAAAGGTATTTTATGTAGGTACTCAATAATAGATATTGTATAACCAAATTCACCAGTCACTATTACGAGATTTTATCTACAAAGTGTACTCTGTTATTGAATAGTTGTTAAAGCTATAGTTTATATAATTGTATATTTTGTACTCATGATTTATTACATGTATTGTTATGGTATTAAATGCTGCAGTAAAATTACAAAGTGTTTCCGTTCTCATGCTCTCTGAAATAGTTTTTTTTCTGAAAAAATATATAATTGATAGTTTTTCAGTCACTCCATATTTCCAATCTGTCCTTCCATTTTCCACCACACTAGCTCACACTTTCTCATTATCATTTACTTAATGCATGTGCTACATTGCTTATATGGCGGCCCTTGAAAAAAGGGGACAATTGACCCGGTTCAGACATATGAGAACGTTTGATGATATAAGTATGTTTATATATTTTCCTGTTGATCTTAAATGCTTAATTTTTTTTAATGCTTAAAATCACAGACTTAGATGTGAATTAAAGTCCAAGTTAAAATGTAACCGCCATTTATATCATGTTACAAGTTATGACTATATGTTGAACTTTAAAGATTTTCCAGATATATGGTATGTTGATACTTTGCTTTGATCCTTTACTGCCGGGTCTAGTTCGCAGTTTAATGGAATCCAGGTCACTTGTTCTTGTTTCCAAATATTGACCAGTGTCATTGGCATGTAGATAAATACAAAAACATTTTTATGGGATTGGTTAATGTAAGGGTCAAACGTCATTCTTAAATAAATAAGAATTTTCTTTTTCTGCTAATGAGGAATGGCAAAATCCTGGGAATATCTAGAAATTGTAAATAGCGTGACTCCGAGTGGATTATAAATTTTTCGGACACAAAAGAGTGACTCCGTGAGGATAACGAGTGATAATTTGTATATTTAGTGTATATTACTTTAACTTGTTGTTAGATATTTATTTAAATGTTATTTAAAACCTTGCAAGACCTTATTTTAAGTTTTGTGGACGATTGGACTGAAGCTTAAAATGTTTTTGTATTCATAGAGCCTTTATTTTATAACTCGATTAAATAAAATAAAATTTGAAAGACACTGAAGTTAAAATTAGGATGTTGTACATGCTCTTATAATTTAATAAGGTTTTAGTGGTGCATTAGACACAGTGGTTTTATAAAACATTTGGTTTCAATTTCCTAGTTGGATAAGTGAAGGGAGGGGTGTAGGTGGAAGAGTAAAATTGGGTAGACTAAATTTTGTTCAAAAAACGCGCTTTAATGAGAAATGATTGTATTGTATGAAGTGTATTGTTTTTATGCACACCTAGTGTGCCTATCTCTTGATACCCACAAGTGAGATGGATTTTGGTGCAGGTCTTCACAGGAAATCCCATTTGCTTTCTAAAACTGTTATTTATCAGAGAATTCTATATTGTTTTATTGTATCGTGTCACAGATTACTTACATTCACAATTTATAGACTGAAATGTGACTTTGATTGATATATTTCAATACATCAAAAAGTCTGTGATGTCCCATAGTAGAACGATAAGTAGGTCTAGGTTGGATGGAAAATTGTCTCGTTTTTCAAATGTTCATATGTTTTGAAATGTTTTACTCTCAAGCAAAAGTGCTTACTACAGCTAGATCTAAGTGCAAAGTAATCAAATACATTATGATATTTAATTGTTTAAATAGTGGGTTTAACACTCTATATGTTTGTAATAATGTTGAACATTTGAAATTCGGATGACGTTTTGAAGATTTGACTGATGTCCTTATAACAATTAGTTAATTCATATGTTCTCTAACTTTTTTTTGCATTCAAAACCAAGGATGAGGGTCCTCATGACAAGTACAAGTGCACCTGAACCATGTCTTCATAATATTTCTTTCTTCTGAAATGTATAACAGTTCACCTCATCTACATTTCTTATCTAGACTATATCTATTCACGATTAACAAACATATCAAGGGATAATGATCGATATTGTATATTTCATGTATTTTGATCATTTCATTATTATTATTATTATTATATATGTTTGTATAGAATATAGGAGTCATGTTGTCTTATTTCTAAAATTAATCAAGCATATGTTCTGTTTTGTTCTATTCCGAAACTTTCTCATTTACTGAAAAGAAATTTATGTCAATATCTTGCAATTGTGGGGATGCGGATATTGCAGACATAGAAAACAGGGCCTGTTATCTACAATATTTGGATAATGTAATCACCGACCGCGTGTAACGTCGTAGCGTGCAAGTCTCTCATTTTGAACTGTAATTGTCAAAAGTAAAGATAATCTATTTAAAAAATCAGCAAATAGTTTGAAGCATGTAGTGAATATGTTGATTGTGTGATATATAGCTGCGGGAAAAAAACTTGTAATGATTGGAAAAAAGAAATCATGTCCTGGTTCCCTGGCTTCGTTATCGGTGCGTTATCTCCCCGAACCCAATTTTATGACACCCGTTTTTTCCTTTGTAACGGATTTATTATAAAATATGTATGTAGGCCTATTTCTTAATTAAATGTCGCCGGCGGCCGGCACATTTATAGCGCGTTTAACAAACATGCTTGATTTATTTCGCGGTATGTTACGCCAAATGAATTTTACATTATAAACATACAAACAGACGTATGGTCGCAAATTAATGGAAAATAATATTGCGCTAAGTTATTACGGTCTTTTTAAAAAGAATTGGAGCTCTTAAAATATACACGGCATACGGAAATATAGATACTTGTTTAACCGGCGTTTTTATACTGTCAACATTAATTTTTATTTCCTATTAAAGATGTAACTGCCACTTAAACCGTGTTTTACCGTACTTGTTGTTAATTGCTTAATTCTCTCAAGTCAGACTTATTTTATGGACTACATTTGAAAGAAATTAGCTTTAAAAGCAGTGTTTAATTTAGTATTCTATCAATATTTGGACAGTGTTTTAATTTTACACCATGGAGTGGACATCTATTGCGATAGGTAGTGCTGCTGTTGTTGCTACAGTTATATACGTGATGAAGAACAGACGGACGGACATTAAAAGGTATACTATAATGTATAATATTATATAATCAATTAGATCTGACATTGTCTTTAAAAAAGGATTGTTTATCTATTTGTACGAATATCCTGTCTACTATAGAAAAGGATGTAAAATACGCAGTTATCTAGGGTTTTTTTTTCTTTCTTAGTAACGATACATTACCCTAATATGGTTACGATAACGAATCATTTATCATGTCACTTTTGATTAAGAACAGTTATGCATTGGAATGCACGTACATATAGTAATCGCAATTTAAGTGCTGCTAAGTAATTAAGGCCGCCTCCCCTTTATAAGGCAGAAAAGGTAATTACGTGACCACTTAATTCAGACAAAGGGCAATTGGCAAGAAACACTTTCTTAGTTAAATTACGTCTTTCGCATATTACTTTAAAGTCTTTAATTAAACGCCGAAGTATCCTATTTTATCTTTGATAGTTACTTCTACGGTAATACGTGATATATATTACGAAATGTACAAATTTGTATATTATAATGAATTCTGACGAACTGCCTCGGGCATTCTAGATGTAGACGATTCATTGACAGCGAATAAAGTAAAAGCATTTTGATCAAAATCTATTTTATGTCTAGCTATATAAATTTATGGCTAGGTTTTTCCAAATGGCAAGATGTCTTCTTTACGGATATATTCAATTTTAATGTGTTGTTCTCATTAATAACACATTAACATCGTGTCGCTTTCATGTTGGGAATTATCGTAAACTACAAATTCGAAATTAGCTGTCAAATACTTTGATCCTATCGATAATTTTGCATAACTTCACCTCTAGTGTCCAGGTATCAGTTGGTATATGCTGTGATGACGATTTTTCTGTCCCTGCTTATAAAAAAAAACTTCTACCGTTCAAAAGTGTTCACATATAAAAAAAACCCAAACCAACAACAACAACAAACACGCTTTGGCCTTCAATGAATAAACAGTTTGCACCTTTAACTCTGCCACTACTCGCACACCACACCTCTCAAAGTTTACCAATCAATAATAATAATAAAGAAATAGATTAAAAGTAATCAATATGAAATCTAGTATTTCTGGCAAGATAATTATGAGATTTCTACGCTAAAAAATTATGTCTCTATAGAGTTGGCCAATATAAAGTTTATAGCTTCTACAGGTATAAGAGTAAAAGAACTTTGCGGAAAAGTTGAAAAAGCTTGGATAAAGCTGTATTTTAACATGTTTAATATCTCATATATCCGAACTGTATATATATAAATATATAATATATACATTTGTACGTATAAAATATACATTTTACAAATTCTTATCCAGCCATAGGGCTTATCAGTTAATAGGAAAACATGAAGGGTACAGGTTATGTTTAATGTTTACAGCAGCTTATCAATACACCATAGTTTACACATAACATAAGAAATAATTCAAAAAAAAGGTCCATTCATTTCTGTCTAAAATGTATTACATTCCAGGAAAAATGCAGTAGCAACCTCCCAAAAGAAAAAACAAAACAAAAAAGCAACAACAACAAAAAAACAACAACAACAACAGAAAACAATTGAAAACTTTATAATCAAGCAAAATATATATAGATATAAGTGTTTTTTATATGTTACTTTAGGAGTGTGAACTTTGCTACAAAATCTAGATATAATATGCACAATTCAATGCGAATGCGATCAGAAACCTATTTGGTAAATATGTTAACAGTCCGTTCTGATGTTGAGCTTGCGAATCAAATTATCGGAGCGGACATTGACCCTTCAGTTAAAAGAAAACATTTGTCCGGAACGTTACTTACTTGTAAGCAGGCGATATTTTTTTATTGAGAAACACTGGCAAGTTTATAACTTTGTGTATAAATGCTTTATGGTAATTTGTACTGTGTTATGGTAAATTATTGTAAATTAGAGAGAGAGAAAAACTCACTGAAAAACGTAAAGAATGTATGTTTAAGTGGCTAGACTAATCGTTGTGGAAATACCAACGTTGTGGCGATACAAAAACAGGATTAGAAGGATTTTATAAAGTTAACAAGCTGTTTTGTTTTATCATATAAAATGGCTTTCTTTAAGAAAAAGTAAGTGAGTAAGTGTTAATATACATATAGTGGTTAGCATACTGGACCGGCAATCTACAAACCCGTGGTTTGAGTCCCGGCTGCGGCGTGCCAAATTTTCGTGTGATTTTTCTGTGTACATGTATAATTTCCCGCTCATGACTTTATTTCTTTCATTTGTAATATATATAGGTATATTTCTACTAATATTATATCTGAAGCAGTTAAATGTAGAAGACGATTTCATTTGCATGCATAAAATTAGTAGAAAAGTATTTAGAGGTCGCAACTGAATTTGTTTGACATGAAGTATATAAAGTTTCACTTGTCAATTTTGCAAGTCAAAGAAATGAATGTCGGAACCGAAACGTGTTTTATCTTGATCACATTAAAACAAGCTGAGTATTTTCTCCGGAAGATTATTATAAGCATGTTATTAATTAGAAGTTTGTGGCTGTTTATATTGCAGAGAATGCGGAAAAGATTACCCGAAAGATACTGTCATTCTGCACCAGTTTCCACGCGGACCTTATGCTCCCAGCATGTCAGGGTTCTGTATCAAACTTGAAACTTTTCTTAGAATGGCCAACATACCATATCAGGTAAATACACCTTTTTTGTCGAGGGAACTTTTCTACATTATTGTCAATCATATAATATTTTTTGATAATGTTTTTGATTATAAAATATTTTTGATTACGATTTTGATATGTTTTTCACAATGGTATTTTCTTAGATGATGATGATGATGATGATGATGGTGGTGATGATGATAATAATAATACTAATAATAATGATAAAATAATAATAATAATAATACTACTAATAATAATAATGATAATAATAACTTTATTTACAGAAAGTAACACATTAAGACATAGACAGATTTGTAACACCTTAACAATGCGGCCTTCCAAATAAAGTCATATCAATTGATGAACATATAACATATAGAAATGATTAAATATTAATCACAATGTTAAAATATATATCTTAACACACATAATGAAAATTCATACAATTCATTTTTTTTCATTTTATTAATAACTATCATTAAACATAAATGAGCCGCGTGATGACAAAACCAACATAATGGGGTTGCGACCAGCATGGATCCAGACCAGCCTGCATCAATCTGCAATTAAGACAGAAACCCTTTATTTGAAACATTCAACAGTAAGAAAAGAAAAAAAAAGGAAAAGAAAATAAGATAAGATGTAATTTGAAGAATAAACGTTTTTTTATCCTCTGGCTGTCTTTTCTGAAGTATTAGACAAATCTTTAAATCATTCACGAAGCACACAGCGTATTTTTATATGTATTATACCTTTTCTTAAAGCAACATCAAATTTTCATCACTTATTGAAATGTTTAAGAGTTGCAAGATTAAAAAGGGAGCGGTGGCCTAGTGGTTAAGGTGTCAACCCAGGGATCGTGGGTTCGAAACCTACTCTGGTCTCGGTTATGTTTCTTCATATAACACCAGTACTGGTTGGTTCCAGGAAGCGGACTCGAAAGTGATTAATACAACTTGCAATAATTTGTTTCGCAATCGAGATTAAATACATGTAAATATGTTTAAGCAAATCTAGAATAAAGTTTCGTTCTTTATTTAAGAATGTCCATGCCTATAAAACTGGCCCGAAAGGGAAGTCTCCGTGGATAGAGTATAATGGTGATGTCATGGCAGATTCCCAGCTAATAATGTCTTTTCTCAGTGACAAATTAGAAATCGACCTCGACAAGACGTTGTCCAAAGAACAAAGAGCAACGGCAAGAGCTTTTCAGAAAATGGTGGACGAATATACGTACTGGTAAGTATTTACAATCTCCTTGTTCCAAACCTGTTTAAATATAAATGCATAAATATGGCATGTCCGCCAATGCAGATGAGCCAAAGTGAACGAAGACGTTTTAGTGAAATACCCTTCCGTTAGAACATACTGCGTTTCTCTTTCCCATTCAACAATATTTTGATCCAACCGGTTTTGACCGCTTATGGTTCATGTACTACTATTGCAGCACCAAAATGTTTTTCTGTCATGTAACACAATCTTTTTATTATACATGCACTTCTATTCTATACATAACTGAAATTTCACACAAAGGTCAGTTTTACTGGAGAGATGGGTATATCACAGAGGGGAGTCATGTAAAACAATTACAAAGCTGCCGTCACTAGTGGTGTGGGAGATTGGTAGAAGGACAAAGAATATGGCATATGCGCACGGCATTGGTAGACATACGCAACAGGAAGTGGATCTCAATTTAGAGGCGGATTTAACTGCTCTTTCCGACTTTTTAGGTAGAATTTATAAATCAAAATGAAAATTTTACTTATACTAAGAAATTCATGTGTCATTTGCAGGATTTTTTTTACAAAGGATATATTTCTACCGACTCACCCTTTTATAAATGTTTCCTTGATAAATCCTATAAACACTAAGCATAACAAAACAGAGTCTTTGCCGAATCGTTATCATTTACATATTTTTTCTGTAAAGATTTATTATAAGCAAAATATTACTGCACTAAATTGAAATTACAATATATGGTATCACATATCTGGAAAATGAAACGCAAAAAGCAGAGATAGGCACGGATACAGTTATAATGCCATATGTATATTCAATGTTTACAAGAAAATCTAAAAGATACACAGTCATGTCTTTATCCGTCCAATTTCACGAAAAGAAAAATAGCATGTTGATATATATTAGGAATGTAACATTGTTTACAAGCTCTTTTACATTTTTTGACGTCTAAGGTTAAAAACGGTTGAATATACAAGTTTCTTCATGCTATTTCTTCCTTATCCTTATAGCTGAGCCTCGACATGACAAAACCAACAAAGTGCGTTTGCGACCAGCATGGATCCAGACCAGCCTGCACATCCGCGCAGTTTGATCAGCAGTCTGATCAGGATCCATGCTGTTCGCTATCAGTTTCTCTCACTCCAATAGGGTTTGTAGGCGAACAACATGGATTCTGATCAGACTGCGCGTATACGCAGACTGGTCTGGATCCATGCTGGTCGCAAACGCACTATGTTGATTTTGTCATGGCACGGTTCAATAATTATTGTTTTGACAACAGTTTGTGTCGGAAACTAGCTCAAAACTCACTTAATTTGATTTCTTAAAGGCCAAATTGCCACAGACATAGTTTTTTTTATTTCTCAAACGCTTTTTAGTTTTGGTCTTCTATTATAGTTTCCACAAAGTTACTTATTGGCCAAATAGCTGAACCATTTTTTGCTTCTATTGCTTTCTAGAAATTAATTGTACAATTATAGTTATTTAGTAATTTGTATGGAAGTCAAAATATTACTTTGTTTACATTTACTACTATTATGATAAATAATTATACTTCCAGTTCTACTTCCTTCAAGTAAAAACATCTAACATGCTCTAAAACTATTACTTAAATGTTATAAAACCCGTGCTTGCTTTTTCTGAAGAAGTACAAATTTATTCATATTTTAGGCGTAATGTGCCTTTAACTATGGCCATGTTAGTTTGAACATATTTTTTAAAGATAATCTGTTTGAATCAATCTGGAGGCATGTTACATTAAATGTTAAACTGTTCTATTTAAAGGAGATAAGAAGTTTATGTTTGGAGATGAGCCTACGGAAGTAGATTGTGCAATATTTGGACAAGTTTCACAAGTTAAATACCACGTGCCGGACGCTGTGAAAGCGAAACAATTCTTAAAAGGTATATATTATACAGTGTTAGTTATTTTCATAAGTCTTACTTTGCATGGAAAATCCAGTACGCAGATTGCAACGATGTGTTTAACATTAATGAAATCATAGGGGAAAATTCCTGAGTTTAATTTAATTAAGAAACATTATCGGTTTAATTGTTTTAAATAGTAAGAAGAATCTGCAGGAATTATTGTACAAAATTCCAAGCTTTTAGTATTGTACACTAGAATTGTATATACGTGTTTTGATTTAAGATTGAATTGACCAATACATATAATATTTTATATACGTATTTATCAAATTATGTAAATATTTCTAAGCATCTTAGACAGTTATGTTTACTATTCGAAAAAACAATTCCAATTGTAAATTTTACAGATTGTGTACCAAATTTAGACGCTTATTGTGAGAGAATGAAAGAGAGGTTCTGGCCAGACTGGGACGAGTGCGTCACAAACGGATTTACTAAAGAAGCAACTAAGTGAGGCAGTCCAGAACGGAGACTTAACGTCTGCTTGATAGGATATAGGTTCGGGGTCACGTGTTCGAGTAACTGGCCCAGCAACAATTATTTTGTGTATTTTTTTACGAAGAATACGATTAGTCAATTGCCTTTGTTCATATTGTTCATAGTTATTCGATCTACGAGACAGATGACTTCTAATTTGCTAAGTTTATTCTTACTATTTATGCAATGTGATTAAACATGCTATGCTTTTAACCAACCATTTGTGTTTGGACATACATTTGTATGTGAGTTTGTGTTATTAAACAGTGTGCTTATACCAGTTGAAGATACAAATGTACTTGTTTTATCTGTAATCATCAGTGGTATCTAATATGTAAATAAAATATAAAACTTCTAAAAACCTTCATTGGGCATAATATATAGTTTTATGTAAAGTATTATACTCATGAAGGTTAAAAATTTATTGGGTTTGCTTCTCTTGATATAAGTATCGCTCATAGATGATGATTTCATAGATCAATGAACAAAACGGGTTTTGACAGGGCATACTTCAACAGCAATGAACAGCAATGAAAAAATACCCTTACGATTGCTGAATTAATTAAATGCACGTTGATGAAGGTTCCGGCTTGCTCTGTATGAATGTATGTATTTGTGTATGTATGTATGTGTGTGTATGCGCGCGTGTGTGCGTGTGTGCATGCGTGTGTGTGTATGCGCGCATGCGTGCGTGTGTGCATGCGTGTGTGCGTGTGTGTGTGTGTGTGTGTGTTTAATTAGGATCCATCCGCCCTAAAGCCACTAAATGCAGCTTTCGTTGTTGACTATGTACACTGGACATGACACCAATCATGTCCTTAAAGGGTTAATTTTGAAACACAAAGTGGTGATTATTTACCTCCATGCAATTTCCACGGATATGAATTTGGAGCCAAAAGTAGGTAACTGTAAGGCCGCCAATGAGAATCTAAATGTACCGTAAATATGAAAAGGAGGTAGCCCTGAAAAGGGCTGTTGGTGTCAAGCAAAGAACGTGTCTTTCAAGCCACCACTCTCAATGCTAGTGGCTCACGCTCCCTAGTACACGTTCTTTGTCGTCCCTGCTTACTTTACAGAGTCACTCCCCTCGGTATAAGTCAGACCATCGGCAGCTAGTCTGCAGGTACAAGTTCTGGTCTTTGTTTATTTTCGCCATTCCGAGTTCATTAAATCTTCTGCCGATACCCTGTGCCTTCTCAGCGACGTGCACGCAACGAGGTTGGGTGAGAAGAAATCAACAATACATGTAGTTTATATACCAAAACCGAATGACTTCATACCGTTGAAGTATATACAATGTATTATATTTTATAGCCATAAATCTACATTCATAATTATGATAATAGATAACTTAAATTAAAAGAAGCAGTGGTAAGAAAAGTGGTGCTTTGTTGTTCTTAGTGATTAAAAAGAAGAAAAAAACCAAAGTATCTACAGTTTTAACTTTGATCAGCCCGTTCAGTTTATTTTAAACACATTTTATTTCAAACAAATTTTATTTCAAACACATTTCATCTCAAACAATCATTACAATACATCAAGGACATAACAAGGAAGAAAAGATTAGAGCCCACATGGGATCGGCATGAAAGATCAACATGCCGATCCCCTGTTTATACCGATCCCCTGTTGGTTAAACTATTACAGTATAGGTATTTGAAAAAAATTTAGTTTATTTCTATGAATAGTTTGGGACTGTCATTATTTTCAAAGAACCAAACTACAAATTAATTCAGAAGGAAATTCGCGTGGAATAAAAAGAAGAAAGCAAAAGAAGAATATGATGGTTCAGATAAATGCCCAATGAGTATCTTTTTGGAAACTATAATAGGACACCAAAAATAAAAAAGATTTCAAGAAATAAAATAAAGGCATTTCTGGGGCCTTTAAAGTAAGAATATCAACACACAGATTTCTTCAGATACTATTTTTTGTACATTCGTGCAATAGGCCTACGACATACCAAAAAAGATATTTAAGCAAATATAACCGCTGGAAGTGATAACGTCTCGTCTGACCGAAATTATTTTTAGGAACGCAAATTATTTGCGAATCCGTACTATTTGAGGTACGCAGATCTTTTTCCGATCCGCATTATGTTTATAAAAAATTAAAACTATAAATAGCAAAGTGGGAAAACCCTACATATATTGAAATGTTTTGAATTAATGGAAGGTAAGTTGTAACGTTTTTCTTAGTAGTATCGCATCTAATGTGCATTTTGTTCCATTCTTTTCACAGATCGTTTTAATATATTGTAGCCTGGGTTAGTCATTTGAAAGATCTTGGCCTCCAGTACAGTACAATATTTGGCACGCTAACTTATATTTTCTGTTTAATAAATATACAGTACATTTTATACCACCATACTTGATCAGAACTTGGTACAAAGCCAAGGGGGTTATAGAAGACGATGATGACGTCTTGCGACCTCAACTCCATGGAGTAAAGTAAAGTAAAGTAAAGTATAAGTTAGCGTGCCAAAAAATTTAAAAGTACATGTACACTGTATTGAATTTCTCTTTGTTATTATATTGACTGACACATTAGTGAAGCAATTACGATCACATGTTTTAACTACTTCGTAAGCTTATAAATACACATGTACATTTGTGTATTTGAATCATTTATCGTATTATGATACAAGTTAGTTTGTATCTATATACGTTATAAAGTAAACGGATATATATAGTAATTTTGTTCTCGTACATTATTTTACAACAGTGACAAGACACCTGAGCCGAATGCCAGTGAGCTAATATAGAAATCTTCGATCGGCCTATCTTATATGTTAAATTAATTCAACTAAGATTTATTAAATGAATAGAACCATTTTTATTTCAAATGAAATATTTTGAAAATAATGTATACTGGTATACGTTATAAATATATACATTTGTATGTACATAATTTCCACGTGATATGAAATAAAACATTTGTAAAATGTGAAGACTTTTGGTAATTTCCTTAAAAACTTAAAAAAAAATAAAGGCCTTTCTTTAATTTGTAAACACTGTGGTACGTTAGAAAATACAACACCGGGTAGGCTAATGTATCTTAAATTATATATTTTCACAATTAATATTATATATGCATTTATAAATACTGTATTTATTATCATTATTATTATACAAATATGCTTTTGAGTCCTTTAACAATTATTTGGGCTTAAATTATTTCAGATGGGTGCTATTTCAGAATACATACACGTCATCTCTTCCTTGGAAGTATATCCTAGGATATTTTATTACCACAAACGATATAGTGACATTCTAAGAAAGCTGAAGAATATAACAGGTGAGTAGGGGGATCTGAGAGGGCATTTATTAGCTTCCTGTCCCATCTATTAACTAAGTAAATATTCATGTCATACAATGTTATTTATTGTTTATTATTAAAATAGGTTAAAACTTAATTTGAGCCGCGTCATGACAAAACCAACATAATGGGTTTGCGACCAGCATGGATCCAGACCAGCCTGCGCATCCGCACAGTCTTATCAGGATCCATGCTGTTCGCTATCAGTTTCTCTACTTGTTATAGGGATTGTAAGCGAACAGTATGGATCCTGATCAGACTGCGCGGAAACGCAGGCTGGTCTGGAACCATGCTGATCGCAAACCCATTATGTTGGTTTTGTCGTGACGCGGCTCATTTATGTTAAACTATTAAAAATTGCTTCAGCTGGTGCTACTGGGGCGTAGACGTTAGCTTGCATGCATTGGTCTGCATTTACCATTCCTGAACACATCATATTTAACCGAGACTGAATCATTTTAAACTTTATCCTGTTTGGCGCGATCTGTAAGGTTTTAACGTTTTTGAATACCTGTCTTTGATAATACTTTCATAAAAGGAAAAAATAATTTGAAACTACTATTCTGGAAATTCACTTCCAAAGTGATGCACTAGTTCATGCATACATCTCACTGGATTTTTTTCAACCGATTCTCTAGTATTATCGAGTATTATTTACATAATACATGTTATATTTCTCACTTGTAGGTAAATATGCTAAACTCTTTGAAAGCGAGCATCATGACTTTTTGAGCAGTCCCTTTGACCACGGAATAAAGTTGAAAATATTCGGCGAGAACGATATCCGTCCTCACAACTTTATTCCCGTTGAATCTAAACTATATAAAGTTGATGTGGTCAGTAGGAAGGGACCGGGAGATAAGTCTTATGTTGACAATATAGTTGCCGTTGAACCAGTATGGCTGTCACAAACACGAGCGGACATTGAGGCGAAAGATGGAAATGAGCCGATGGATTTGTCGATTTCTGCTGATCATTCCTCTGTTACTGTAACAGTCTGTTATGCCAATATTCAACGTCTTGATGAAGAAGGACTTGAGGTTGGTAAAGATTTAATTAAAGATTGCTTCTGCTTGTCACAATATAAAGCTAACCGTGTACCAATCTCCTACGCAGTGATCTCTCCTTTCAGGATTAGATACTGGTCGTAGCGTAACCGGTGCGAGGAGTTTGAGCGTGTACACCTAAAATAGCTAAAATATGCTTGGTTCACAAACTTGTAAAGTGTATACTCCTAAGTTAGCTAAGCGCGTACACCTAAACTCTTGTAAGTACTATATGGGCTGTGTGAGTAGTGTGTCCGAGCGGGTAGCATGTACGAGGTATGCTCGAGCTCGTGTGCTGTATGAACAGTGAATGTATGCTGTGTGTGAGTGCTGTGTTAGTACTGTGTATGTTGTATGAGTAATGAGTGTGAGTGATGTGTGTATTGTATGAGTAGTGTGTGAGTGTTTTACAACTAATGTGATTACTGTGTGTGTGTGTGTGCACTGAGTTGAAGAGTATGTGTGCTGTGTCAGTATTGTATGTGTTGTATGAGTTTGTGTGAGTGCTGTATGTAAGTGCTGTATTTGTGTGTGTGTGTGTGCTGTGTGATAGTATATGTGTTTTATTTAAGTAGTGTGTGCGTATGAGTGTGATGTGTGTGTGTTGTGTGAAGAGTGCGAGTGTTTCAGAGTACTGTGTGTGTGCTATGTGAATTGTGTGTATGTGAGGGGTTTATCAGTACTGTGTGTAGAGTGTGAGTGCTGTGTCAGTACTATATGTTTTGTATGAGTGCTGTATGTAAGTGCTGTGTGAATGTGTGTGTTCTGTCTGGCAGGTGTGTGTGTTTGGTGAGGAGTGTGAGTGCTGTGTGAGTGCTGTGTGTATGCTGTGAGAGTAGTGTGAAGTGTGTGTGTCCTGTGTGAGTAGTGTGTGTGCTGTGTGAGTACTGTGTAAGTAGTGGCCTGTGTGAGGAGTGTGAGTGAAGTGTGTTTAGTGTCCTTTGTGTGTGCTGTGTGAGTGCTTTGTGAGAAGTGGCCTGTGTGAGGAGTGTGAGTACTGTGTGAGTGGTGTGGTGTGTGCTGAGTGTCCTGTGAGGACTGTGTGAGTGCAGTGTGTTTAGTATCCTGTGTGAGTACTCTGTGTGTGTGTCCTGTGTGAGTAGTGTGTGTGCTGTGTGAGTACTGTGTAAGTAGTGGCCTGTGTGAGGAGTGTGAGTGAAGTGTGTTTAGAGTACTGTGTGAGTGTGTGCTGTGTGAGTGATGCGTATGTGCTGTATGAGTAGTGTGCTGTGTGAGAACTGTGTGAGTGCTGTGTGTTAAGTGTGCTGTGTGTGTGCTGTGTGAGTAGTGTGGTGTGAGTAGTGTGTTTGTGCTGTGTGAGTAGTGTGTGTGTGCTTTGTGTGTATTGAGTGTGTTGTGTAAGTAGTGTGGTGTGTGTGCTGTGTGAGTAGTGTGTGTGTGTGCTGTGTGAGTACTGTGTGAGTGATGCGTATGTGTTGTGTGAGTAGTGTGCTGTGTGAGTACTGTGTGAGTGCTGCGTGTGTGCTGCGTGAGTGCTGAGTGCTGTGTGTGTGCTGTGTGTGTGCGCTGTGTGTGTGCGCTGTGTGTGTGCGCTGTGTGAGTGCTTGTTGTGTGTGTGCTGTGTGAGTGCTTGTGTGTAGTGTGCTGTGTGAGTACTGTGTGTGAGTGCTGTGTGAGAACTGTGTGTGTGAGTGCTGTGTGTGAGTGCTGTGTGAGTGCTGCGTGTGTGCTGTGTGAGTAGTGTGTGTGTGAGTACTGTGTGTGAGTGCTGCGTGTGTTTGCTGTTTGTGAGTGCTGTGTGTGAGTGCTGTGTGAGTACTGTGTGTGTGTGCTGTGTGAGTGCTGTGTGTGTGTGTGAGTGCTGTGTGAGTACTGTGGTGTGAGTAATGTGTTTGTGCTGTGTGAGTAGTGTGTGTGTGCTTTGTGTGTGTGTATTGAGTGTGTATTGAGTGTGTGTGTAAGTAGTGTGGTGTGTGTGCTGTGTGAGTACTGTGTGAGTTGATGCGTATGTGCTGTGTGAGTACTGTGCTGTGTGAGTACTGTGTGTGAGTGCTGCGTGTGTTTGCTGTGTGTGAGTGCTGTGTGTGTGTGTGTGCTGTGTGAGTGCTATGTGTGTGTGGTGTGTGAGTGCTGTGTGTGTGTGCTGTGTGAGTGTGCTGTGTGAGTACTCTGTGCGTTGTGTGAGTGCTGTGTGTGTACGGTGTGTGTGCTGTGTGAGTACTATGTGTGAGTGCTGTGTGTGAGTACTGTGTGTGAATGCTGTGTGAGTACTGTGTGAGTGCTGTGTGTGAGTAGTGTGTGTGAGTACTGTGTGTGAGTGCTGTGTGTGAGTGATGTGTGAGTACTGTGTGTGTGCTGTGTGAGTACTGTGTGTGAGTGCTGTGTGAGTACTGTGTGTGTGCTGTGTGAGTACTGTGTGAGTAGTGAGCGCGTGTGTGTGTGTGCTGTGTGAATAGTGTGAGTAGTATTATGTGATATTTTTGTTAGTAATTTTAGTGGAGTAGCGGGGGATCGAACTTGCGACCCCTAGATCTGTAGTCAAACAGTGTTACCACTGCACCACAGCGCCCGCTCTGATTAATGACTGTTTTGGAAGTCAATATATACATAATCACATAAATGACCAACAAATGGATTAAGAAATTTGATTTTTTAACACCTTTATAGTGGCTACAGCGATAAATTCAAACGGTTTAAAGCCTATTGCCGTAGGCCTTATGATACAGAAATCTTTTTAGAATATGTTTTGTTGTTGTAACTGATATATAATCTATCCGATGTTCATTTAAGAAATAAGAATTCTTTCTTTTGGCGAAATTGTATTAATTTGTTTTTAGAATGTTTTGAAATTAAATTCAGCGAACGGTGCGAAAAAAGTCAATGTTATTATGGAAACATAAAGTGAGGAATTTACGGCCATTGATTAGTTAAATCATTTTTAATAAAAAAATATATATAATGGTTATTTTGCTCATTAGAGGCTCATAAACTCTCAGGAATTAACATATGGTTTCTTCATTAAAAGGGACACGTGTGCGTTTAATGGATTTAGAACATGCTGAACTCTGTATCTCACAATTACGGGGCCGAGTGGATAAGTTCGTTTACTTCCCGCGATGGATCTTGTTTTACTTTTAACCGACAACTAACTCAGAATTATCTATGAACTTCTGCAGCAATTCTGGTTCATCATCTAATTACTTTTCATACTATTTACTCTGATATCATTATACATATTAGAAACAAATTTCTTTAATATGTATTTTCACTTGAAAGGGCAAGCTGGCAGTCATGTGGGGTTGGGGGTTGTATATAGGGCTGTTTACTGTTTACAAAAAATGTTCGTTCTCTTTTTTTCTTTTTTGCTATATTTTGTATTTTGTCGCTTTCTACAAACAATTTTGTCGGTTGGTCTGTCGGTTTGTCGGTCTGTCCGTCGGTAGACCACATGGTTTCCGCTGATTATCTTGAAAACCATTTAAATCAAAATCTTTATATTTCACATAGTGATTGGTCATAACTAGTAGATGACCCCTACTGATTTTGGGGTCACTAGTTTAAAGGTCAAGGTCACAGGGGCCTTAAATATCAGAATATCAGAATGGTTTCCTCTCATTATCTTCAAAACTATTTATCACAATGTCTTCGTTATTTTTCTTTTTTCCATAACTGAACACTTTCATGTAACCATTTATGGCAAGTTTCTATTACAAAATTACCAATACCAATTATGAAATTCTTGAATCTGCATTTATTTATTTGCAGAAAGTGACTCAAATGCTGAGACATGTATCAACTGTAACACCAGATAAACCTCAACACTGTTTTCTTCTTTGTGAAACAAATAACAAGTTCACACAAGCAGATGAAAATGTATTTAAATCGAAAATTGAAAACAGAGCAAACTTGTTACCATTGCATGATATTGTCATAGGGACAGGAAATAATGTTAGCATTAAAAACGAAGTTTCCATGTTTCTCGAATCTTTATGTATTCAAAGGTTTACGTATTTGAAGAATATTCTCCAAAACTTTACAAAAGGTCAGAGGTCAATGTTTACAAAGTCATTGTTAGAAACGGAAGCAGTAGCTAAGCAACTAAAACGTGTTTTATCAACTATTTGCGGAATAGCGTTTGAAGAACCCGAAGCAGACGTCGAAGAAAAACTCGCTAATGTTGTGAAATGTATTGCTGTAAATGCATTTTCGGAGAAGTATAACTTGCAAGTATGGATCTGTAACGGTATAGTAAATGCTTACTCATTCCAACAAAAACTGAAGCAATCGTTTTCGAAGGATACCAGGCATCGTCTGAATAAGGTTGTTACAGTTACCCCAGAAAGTGATCTTAAAGTACCATTTGAAACAGTGGTGAATGTTTACTCGAGACGCATCGTTCGTAATCTTCAGAAAGAGTTGAGGAGTGTATTTACAGATGTGGAGAAACATCTTAGTCAATTTTCGTCTGCTGTCAGGAAAATGCTGCTTGAAATTAATGGTTGCTTTAAGAAGTCGTCACTGGCATATGCAAACAAAGAAAGCTCATTTCCGGTCTTGGACGTTGAGCTCCGAAGAGATATACTAAGGTACTACCTGAAAATTATAAGTGTATATTTTCTTTGATTTTATTTTATATAATGATAAATGTTGTCATAATATTTATTTGGCTTTAATTCATTTATTTTATAAGGATAATACTGACTTTGATTTAGCTGATTGGAATAGTCTAGATTTTGTTGATATTTATAATGAAGTGCATATATTCCTTTAGTATGATATAACTGGGTAAGTAAAAGAATATCCTGATGTCGTACTTGCATTTGATTAGAGTCAACTTTGTTAGGATATGATATACATGTATTAAGCCAGGATACCGGGCTTGGTATCTTTTAACAAAACATGAAAGCCATTATATAACCGTATTATTGTGCATCAGACTATCTCCTATTTAACCCTAATCATGTTTTACCCTAACATATAAGCTTTCAGGATTACGTGATCACACTTAATTGTATGTATGCAATAAGAGTTTATATTTACATATATACATGTATATGTACATCTAAATGAAAAACAGCAGTTTATTAGGCAAACGTACTTAAGAATACTATTTTTCTTATTTAGAATCAATGGCGTTTACGGCGTTGGGACAATATATGGTGAAATAGAGGTTCATGCCAACCCCGGTACAAACGTCACAGCTCTCGAGTCTGAAATTCGGATGTTGATGCGAAAGAAGAGTCACGTGTCTAACTTTGCAGTAAGAACATTATATTCCAAACCTGAAATGTATGTGGATTGTCAATATGAAAATGGTGAACCAATCGAAAGCTTATGCCCTGTTCGTAAAGGTACACTTGGCGGTTTTGTTGATGGTAGTGACAATAAGCTGTATGGATTAACGTGTGCCCATGTTGTTAAATGTCATGGTGGGCAAGAAAACAATGTCTTTATCAAAGATAGCAGAAATATGCAGTGTTTGTTTGCTAAAAGTTTTCCATATCTGACAGTTTCAACAGGCGAACCTGCAAAGCCTTTAATTGATATTGCAGCGGTAAGAATTGTTGACGATATGGCTGATAAGTGTATAAAATTCCCTAAAGATGACACTGGAAAAATAAAACCAGCTGTATTAGCAGCGGATAGACCTTCAGACCTGGTAGCAATGAAAGTGTATAAACATGGAGCAATGTCAAATTTGACATACGGTCTTGTCTGTTCGGATGACTACAGTGTCCTTGATGACGAGGATGATGAGAATGAATACATCATGCTCATCGACAATTATGAAGACAATGATGATTTATTTGCAATACCAGGGGATAGTGGTTCTACAGTTTGTACACCAGACGAAAATGAGCCCAATATTATAAAAGTTGCGGGAGTTTTAAGCGCAGGACAGTTTAGACCAACAGGATATGCCATGCCTTTGTATTTTTCGTTTCGTCTTTATGACGGCCTAAGAAAACTTACATCAAAGGCCGGTGGACTTCAGTTTAATTTTCCACAAATTTGTACCTAGTATTACACGAAGGGTGATCAGAAAGTACATAGACGTTGCTCTAAGTGTTATATTTGACATAAGATGACTCTTAAACTTTAGTTGATTGTATTAATAAATGTAGTTTATGAAATTTGCTGCATTATTAAACAGCATGTATGTTAGTACCCGTAGCAACTCAATGTTTATGAAAGAGTACACATTACTGAGGGATAACAGTGACCGATCATTTAGCCTGCAAACACTTAACGGACCGAAGGAAGGCTGAGGTCTGTACAGTGTTGGGGAAAACTGAGATCACTAAAATACCATGAGAAAGTGGTATTTTTATACGGTATTTTACAACACTTTACTGGAACATAATGGTAAAAGTTCAACGAGGAAGAATATTTAAGAAACACAACTTCTAGTAAAATATGCTAGAAATTGTTGGCAGTTAGCTTTGTTTGGATGTTTGGAATATATGGTATAATAACCTGAGTATGCTGTGTTAAGGGTTTATCGGTAGTATTTCTATAGGTGTTGAAGTTGCAAGGACTGTTCAACTTTACGCTCTTTGTGACATTTTTCAAGGCGTAATGACGTGTCGTCGTCATTTAAAGCTACATGCCTCCAGATGAGTCAAAATATTTCAATAAAGTCAACTTGAGAAAAATTTACCAAGATGTATGGAAAAGAAAATAAGTTCAAGATTCAAGTAATATTTTTCATATTATGTGCGATGGATAACGGATTTTTTTTAGTATTTACAACTATATTTTTACTGCGTTATTAAAGCAGTAAAGGCTATTTATGCATATTTTGACCACTTTTTGTTAATCTGCGTAGTTGTTAAGTGCCATTGATATGTGTAAATTGCTCCCTTTTGGTTACTTCACAATATTACACATTCAAATTCATTTTCCAAATTTTCATGAAAATTAGCATGAATCTGGCTGCCCTTAAATGTGGCGTGCTACGGGTAGTGTTTTATGTACTCTATATTTTTCATTTGTCATAGCTCTTATATTTGTTATGCTATTTTCATAAGATTTTCGGAGAATATGCAACAAAATATTGTTTTGTATTAAATTTTGAATCGTCAATAAGATTTAATATTTATTAAATAATAATAATCTACATATTTTCTGATAACCCCTCGTATGTGAAACATAAATTTAATTACTTTTACAAACTTTGATTTATGATAAGGCAGCAAAATACTCAAATCAAAAACTCATATCTGAGGAAATATTATAATAGAGCTGCGTCATGACAAAACCAACATAGTGTGTTTGCGACCAGCATGGATCCAGACCAGCCTGCGCATCCATGCTTTTCGCTTACCAACCCTTTTTTACAAGTAGAGAATATGATAGCGAACAGCATGGATCCTGAATAGACTGCGCGGATGCGCAGGCTGGTCTGGGCAAACCCACTATGTTGGTTTTGTCGTGACGCGGCTTTTTTTGTCGTGACGCGGTTCAATTATAATTTTGATATTTAACAAACACATTTTTACAGGACTCTATTTTCTTTAAAACATGTCAGATCATTCGCATACTCCGTTTTTTCCCCAGAATAATCATTTTAATTGTGCAACATGACTCAAAAATAAAAAAAAGTTTAAAGCTTTTGACTCAAATCGGGCTAAGAGTTGCACAAAAATACCATTTTCAAAAAATCTTTTGCACATTTTTCGTTTTTGTTTTGTTTTGTTTTTGAATGTGCTCTAGCTGATCTATGCAAGAAATTTAAATTTTATGTATTTTGGCTTTTGGACCTCAGTGGAGCAGTTTCCTTAACTTTTTAAATAGGTAAATATTTGGCGCATTAATAAATTGGAAGTAGTTCGAGATCTCTGCAGAAATGCACGAACTTTCTGTATAACAAAAGATATTCAGTGTTTGAATTATCTTATAATGAATGAATACACTACCTTTTAATTGAAATAATTCTTATATTACGTTGATTTGGACATCTATCTTTCAATTATAAGTAATAAATTCACTGAATATTTTCATGAATCAAATTGAAAAGACAATTTGTTAAGACAATTCTAGTTTTGTTTTGTAGGTTTGTGCTTGGTACGTAATTGCATGTGACAATACATATGGAACAGAATTAATGCATTTATTCTATCTTGCTTGATGATATTGGAACTTGCATTATGCTTAAGTCCATCTTGCTTGATGACATTGGAACTTGCATTATGCTTGATTCCATCTTGCTTGATGACATTGGAACTTGCATTATGCTTGATTCCATCTTGCTTGATGACATTGGAACTTGCATTATGCTTAATTCCATCTTGCTACATGACATTAGAACTTGCATTATGATTGATTCCATCTTGCTTTATGATAAACGTTGCATTATTCTGGATTACATTTTTCATTATTTCATTCAAACATTTCGTAGTGACCAATGCTTTCATTGAGTGATAACTATTAAACTGGAACGAGCCATTTGGAATACTAAAATGTTAACGTCATATACCGTTATGTATAAGCTACCTTTCTTCATGCTCTATACAATTTATTTACGGTTTAGTTTTTCTTGTATTACTTTTATGTAGAAGTCATTTAAAATTGACTATTTTTTGTTCCCTGATGGATTTTGTTAAAATGTGACTTATTGGATTTACAGCTCGCATGGCGTGATTACTATTAGCTTTCGCTTATATCCATTATTCAGTGTTTATGCTTAATAAAGCTCGGTGTCTGAGGCTTTGTGGATTATGTTTGATCATCTTACATTATGATAAACAATTTAAACAATGTCTAGCGATTTGTGAACTGTTAAGGGGCGATAACTCTGTTATCGATATCATCGGATTTTTTTCCATGATTCGCCTATCATCGGAATTTTCCGTACATGTATATATTACGGGAAACCGTTAGGGCCATCGTGGTTATACGTTAAAATACAGAGGGCGACAATGCTAAAAATACGTACCAAGCGCTTAATACATAAATTGCAGTGGAAAGAATATAAATACAAGTAGTAAGGATTATGCAATATAATTTTATACATGTATATGTATACAGTCTAATAGAAAAAATATGCTCGTAAACAGTTATTCAATGGGGCAGTGTACAGTGGCGGATTCAGGCCTTGGCTTAAGGGCTGCACCTACCCCCAAAGATACGTTGATGAGCTGGGAATATATACGTGTAAGTTTCATGCAATAGTGGTCATAGTGTAATCCCTTATCAAAACATATAATGCTGTCATCCAGTTGTTAAGCACCTGCCCAGGTATTGCGATTGCGAAGGTCTGTTATCTAATGACTTGGACATTAAAAGCAAAAGTTATTTATTGGCCTTTTAACTTAATAAATGTCTCAGAGTCACTAATAGTGGCGAATAGGTATGTAACACATTAAAATATACATGTATAATAAGGAAAGAAGGAAGTTGTTTTATTTTTGTGACTTGTGCATAGTCAATTATAAATGTTGGCATATGTGTGTCTGATTATAGATCAGACATCCCGCACACACCCACCACATTCACATACATTTGTGCATTATGCACATCTTTCAGTAATATATTTTTATCACAGAAATTTATTGAAGTCTATAAAATTCTTACTAAATATGTTTTATTTAAATAAAAACACATACACATAATGTATAGGAATCTGCTTTCCTTATTACGGGTCAAGTAAAGTTGTGCCTGTATTTAAAAGAAACTTCCATATATATTTTTGTAATAACACTATACATGAATATTCATTACTGCCCACTTACAGTGTAAAGGATTTAAAGCACAATGTTGTGTGAAGCCAAATTATATTTATTTTATTTTTACAAAAAAAAAAAATCAAGTTTGTACTGTACTAAGTCGTGGCCACGAGTTACTAAGTGACATGTGTGTGTTTTTATTTATCTCGTGCGCACGAATACTGTGTCGTGGCCACGAGTTACATAGTCGTGGCCACGAGATAGTTTAAGTCGTGGGAACGAAGATACTATATCGTAGCCACGAAATACTATGTACGGCCACGAGTTACTAAGTCGTTTTAAGTCGTGGGAACGAGATAACATAAGTCGTGCAGACGAGATAAAAATTAAATAAGATTACACCATGATTTTTTTAAATTTAGAAAATTTCTGTTAAAGATTTACGTGCAACATTAATCTTTTGAAAATTACTGAAGTGTTCACTTTGAACTTAATACATGTCTTTAGGATCATAAGGCCATAAATCAGACATTAATTTGACTAAGTTATAGCCCTTTAGTTGGGACAAAATTCTATGAAAGAATTGGTCATTTTTGTGCGTACAAAGGCCTGTTAACATTGTTCATACCATAACTTGAGAGGGACTTAGTCCTGGCTTATTTTATTGGAAAGGGACATTGCCCATGGACATAGATATCCTATAAGGATGTTTTGAGGTCACAGGTCAGATAAACATGACACTTCATGTAAAATACTTGTCTGATGAATGATTTAGAAAGAATAAGCCGTAGTTTATATAACCTAAAAAATCAGTAGATGACACCTAATAATTTTAGGCAATTTTGGTCAGAAATCAGGGTGACAATGACGCTAAAATCTTTGACCAATCAATAACTTGTATAAATGGCACTTTTTACGGGCAACGTGAAGTAGGGGCATCCTTTTTTTAGGAAAATCATATAAATAGTGGTAATTTGATTGGTTATTTATTCTCGGTTCGCAAACGAATTAACTTTCTCGTGGCCACGACTAAACTTTCTCGTGGCCACATGACATAGTAACTTGTCCAACGACTTATTTATTTATCTGCGTGACACGACTTAGTAACTCGTGGCCACAAACTTAGTTATCTCGTTCCCCACGACTTAATTATCTCGTGGCCACGACTTAGTACTCGTGCCACAACATAGTAATCTCGTTCCACGACTTAAATTATCTCGTGGCCACGACTTAGTAACCGTGGCCACGACACAGTATCTCGTGCGCACGAGCTAAATAAAAACACACACATGTCAACCTTTGTGGCCACCTCAAAGTTGATAAAAAATTCAATTTCACTTATCACCACACGCTCAAAAAAGAAGTGTAAACAAATTGTATAGAGAGGGTGAGTTGGCCACTTTGTAGATGAGTTATTAGAGACATATATAATTTTTTTTTTTCCGCATGCTGGCGGAATCTTCAAAAACACGCACTTTTCGTCTGTCGCATCGTGTTTCCTTGTCTTTTTTTTCAGTAAATTTAAATGTTCAGTCCCCAACTAACACTGTTCTGTAATACGTCCCTATATAAAGTGGACCGTAACTTTGTTTACCTCCACGTGCCAAAATACGTGGATCATCCGGAAATAACGGGATGTACCCGACAAAGCGACACCTGCCTGTCATAATATGAAACAACAAATTATTGCAACTCGCATTCATGCTATACTGCTAACTGCTTAGTGCGTACTGTCCACATGCGACTATAATATCGCTATCGTTGTCATCTTTGTTGTCGATGCGCAGTGATCATGTATTGCATTATATTTGTAATCAGTGAATATATTGAAGCATATGAATGCTAAGACACATCAAATTCGCCAATTATTGATCAAAATGAATAGTTTATTTTGACATAATGTTGACAATATAAGTGGCAGATTTATAGCAAATTAAAGATACAAACTACCATGTTACATATAGTTATAAAGAATGTTATCTTTAAACACCAAACATGAAATACGTTGTCCTTTAAAAAAAGATGCAATTAAACATATAGCAATTAAAATATGTGAGTTTGATGGTTTAGTAGGGAACACACAAGGTTGCAATTACATGAAAGTGCATTCAGTAATCATAAGGCATGATTGAATTCAGCAAAACGTATGTTTTCATTGTCATAAAGAAGTAAAGAAGCAAGCATAATGTAAGTTCCGATATCATAAAGCAAGATAGAATAAATGCATTAATTCTGTTCCATAAATACATTCAGTGTGAAATAATATTAACATCTTATTAAAAGCTGTAAGTATTTTTATCACATACCCTTGCCACTGTTGCGAACCCGTAAAACGATATTGAATGGGTATGCTTATTTTTAACGTGACGTCATTAGCGTTATTTACATACTTTGCGTAAAGAAGTAGCGTAAAGACGTGTTAAATGTTAGCGTTACACGTAAAGGGCCAAAATGGAAAAGGCGATTATTTTTAGTGTAAACTGTTTTTGGGGGTTGCGTTCATTGAACGCCGCCTTTCCTTGTTGATCTTGTTTATCATATTTTATACGCCCGAGGAAACATCAGGACGTATTCTTGTATGGTGTGGTTCGTCCGGCTGTCTGTAGACATTTGTTTTAGCAGCATTACTTTAAAGGATTTTTTAATGATTTTGTTTATACAGTAAAATCCCTACTTAAAGACCCACCCCGAATGTGAACCACCCCGCTAATTTAAGACCAATTTTTAGAAGAACGGAAGGTCCGTTGGACTTCAAACCACTTGCCCCCCCCCCAACCCTTGTTGGGTCGAATCCCGACAGGGCTTTTTGAATTCTTTCATGTGAGCGGATGGCTATCCATGCAGCTAGCTTACGGAACGCGGTGTCTACTCCCAGATGCCCGCGTTTCGTGCTGAAAAATAATGCAACGGAAGGGATACCGTGAGGTCTTCCCTCTAGCCAGTAAAGCTGGAACGTCGGCGATATGACCTATACTGTGTCGATGTGACGTAAAACTCAAAACAAACAAACAAACAAACAAACAAAAGAACGGAATTTTCTGTTCTTTATGTCAGTGGTATATCAACTCGGTCAATAAATTTAGTACTGAACATACAATCATTTAATATCTTCTATTTAAATGGTCCTTTAACATTGTCTACTAAAGTACACTTTATAATTAGTACACACTTATAAAATTTACTAACATATTTTGAATTTGGTAATTGACTTGTATAATATCATATAATATCAAATAATAACATAAAATACCCGCCAAATCGTTAAATGAATTCAGTTTTCAACCTACATTTTTTAAAAATATCTCCCATTTAAATGGTCCTTTGACATTGCCTACGAAATCACACTCTATAATTAATACACCTAAATAAAATGAACTTACAGATTTTGAATTTGTTAAATGCCACGTAATCTATGCCTATAAAAGATATTACATATAGGTAATATTCACTACTGAAACCAACAATAAATGTTAAAACATGTATAGCAATTAACTATTGTTCCACAGCCTTTTCTCGATATTGGGATCTTCCAAACTTAGTGGTTAGTAGACAATAAATAGTTAAATTGTTCTACGCATGGTATTTTGAATTAAAGGTTAGTCCGACACGGCAATATGTGACCGTATGACCCGTAGATGTTACTTACCGCACTTCTTAAGTTAATTATCTCATTTAAGGCACATAAAGCCACAGAAATGAATTCGATTTTTCCTAAAAAAAAAGTTAACCTGTGTTTAATTATGTTTTAAAATGGTTTTAGAGCATGTTATGTGTGTAATTCGTGAAGAAAGCAACATCTAATATTTTTTAGGTTATGTTTTACGTCGCACCTACACAGAAGGGTTCAGCTTTACCGGTGGACGAAGACCTCGAGTTTATTACTTTAGGCACGAACGGGCACTTGAGTAAAACCACCGACATCTTGTAGATGGATAGCATTCTTACGTGAATGAAAAATAAGAGTCCCTGGCGTTATTTGAACCCATAGCGGTTAGAGGGAAGAGGTTTGAAACCAACGACCTTAACCACTCTGCTTCGAACGCCCTTAACATCGATTGTAAAAATCGTTTGACTATGTGGTATTTTGTCTTCCATACAAAATGCTTGTTCGCTTTAATAACTTTATTTATGACCAATAACGATCAAATGTGTTCCCGGGGACATTTTCCATCGTGATACGGAATTAACCAGAAGTAAATGTGAAGACATTTGGTTAGATCTATTACCTTAAAACTTATTTATAAAAAATGATAAAGTCTAAAAAATTGTTTTGTTAGGGTCATCCTTACCTAGCTAAAATATGCCCGGCCCTTCCATTTATTTTTTAAGGTCTGTCAAAAGAAAATTGTTACACAGTTAGAAATGATGTTCTTGTGTCACCCGGGGACAATATTTCAAAGTCAGAATCTGCCGAGGGCCCATTAACAATTCTGAAGGACAATTTGTACGACGGTCCTCTTCTTCAAATCTTGGAGAAATTTTCTGGTTTCATCTATTTCAGAATAAAGTATAATTGAATACAACGTATAATGAAAAGGAATTGCCTAACAATTTTGACTCCTTTATAAAAAATGTCAGGAACAATTATTGGGCTTAATTTATTTCAGATGGGTGCTATTTCTGAAAACATACACGTCATTATCTTAGGATATTTTATCACCACAAAAGATATAGTGATTTTCTAAAGCTGAAGAATATAACAGGTAAGAAGGTATATCTGAGAGGGCATTTATTTATAAGCGCTGTAAAATCACTTTAGTCATACAATGTTTATTGCTAAAATTGTTAAGACAATTACAAATGATTTAAAAATTCTCTCTAGAAACAGTTAAAATTTGAAAATTGATGTCTTTTCTTTCAAATGTCTTAACTTTATGATATTATAAAAATCTTTTTTAGATGCATGTCACTTTCGTTATATTGATCATGAAATCTTTTCTCAGTACCTCTGCTCTAGTATGTAGAGTAGTTGTAAGTTCCTTGCGAAAGTGAAGGCAACTATATAATACTGGTTGACAGCCTGCCCAGGATGATGCGGTGGCGAAATTGTGCTCTTGTAAATTCAGTGTTGCTTACTGCTGTGATTCAGAGTGAACTCTTTGAAAGCGAGCATCATGACTTTTTGAGAAGTCCGTTTGACCACGGGATAAGTCCGTTTGACCACGGAATAAAGTTGAGAATATTCGGCGAGAACGATGTCCGTCCTGACCTCTTTATTCCTGTTGAATCTGAGCTATATAAAGTTAATGTGGTCAGTGGGAAATGACCGGGATATACATCTTATGCTGACAATATTGTTGCCGTTGAACCAGTGTGGATGTCACAAACACGACTGGACAATTAGGCGAAGGATGGAAATGAGTCGATGGATTTGTCGATTTCTGCTGATCATTCATCTGTTACTGTAACAATCTGTTATGCCAATATTCAAGTTCACACAACTGCTCACACAGCATCCCCACACAGAACATATACACACTTCTCACACAGCACACACTATTCCGCACAGCTCGGTGTCGCACACACTTCTCACAAGATGTCCACCCTTTTCTATTGGCAGACAATGATTCATTTTTCTAAATTTACATAAATTTTTACTGAAATTAACAGACAGACTCCCAGATATCCAAATAATTTTCAAAGCAGAACCCTGGTTTGTACATGCAATACAAAACTATTTTCCTGAAAAAATGATATAGTCTAAATTTGACAGCATTCTGGTTAAAGCTTATATTTTTTTTGACTGTTAAAACAGCTTAACATGCTTAAACCTGTTTAACAGGAAAAAATAACTATCATTTTGTAAAGATGATGCAGTGTTATACAAAATTTTATATATCTTTCCATCCTTTGACAGAACAACTGTATAGAATAATTCCCTATTTAAACATGTTTTGAATTTGGTAATTGCCACGTATAAGATCTATACATGTATCTGCAAAAATATTATATCTATAAAAGATATTACAAATAGGTTATATTCGTTACTGAAATCAAAACATGTACTGCAATTGACTCTATTATTACATAGCTTTTTCTCTATATCGGGCTCTCTTATCGGACAGTAATTAGTAAAAATTTTCTTTGTCCGACACGGCATATGTGACAATATGACCAGTACATGTTACTTACAACACTCCTTATGTTAGTTATCTCATCAAAGGCACATAACGCCTCAAAAATGAATTCGATTTTTCCTCAGAAAAGAAAAGAAAAGAAAAGCAAACCTGTGTTTGATTACGTTTAAAAATGAGCCGCGTCATGACAAAACAACATAGTGGGTTTGCGACCAGCATGGATCCAGACCAGCCTGCTTATCCGCGCAGTCAGATCAGGATCCATGCTGTTCGCTATCAGTTTCTCTACTTGTAATAGGGTTGGTAAGCGAACAGCATGGATCCAGATCAGACTGCACGGATGCGCAGGCTGGTCTGGATCCATGCTGGTCGCAAACCCATTTTGTTGGTTTTGTCGTGACGCGGCTCAAATGGTTTTAGGTCCTGTTATATGTGTATTTCGTGAAGAAGGCATCATCGAATGTTTTGTTTTTTTGTGGTCTTTTACGTCACATTGGTTGTGTTTTACGTCGCACCAACACATATTACGTGGACAGCTTTACCGGAAGAGGAAGGCCTCGGGTGAATTATTTTAGGCACGAACGGGCACCTGAGTAAACCAGATGGATAGCATTCTCACTGAAAGAAAAATAAGTCCCTGTCGGGATTTGAACCTACAGCGGTTAGAGACAAGTGGTTTGATACAAACGACCTTTACCACTCGGCTACGAACGCCCTTAACATAGAATGTAAAAATCGTTTGACATAAAAGTAACAAACTGTAAACTATTTGGTATTTTGTCTTCCATACAAAATGCAGAATCGCTTTAACTTTATTTATAGCCAATAACGGGAGTCAAAAGCAAGGGATGGTTTAGCTTGGCCAAGGAGTATTATTGTAGCATGCAGACAACTATCATTACAATTGTTTGAATAATGTAAATGATATAATTTACTTAATGGGCCTTTAAATTTAATTTGACATTATCACAAATAAAAACGCTTAAAATGCACGATAATGCACGCTAAGAGCTTCTTACTGATACAGTTGAGGTCAGATATGATGCCATAATACGAGTTAAGCGAGGACATTGTCTGTATATAACATTCACAGACAAATCAAGCAAGCAAAAACAAAGGAGAGCTTATCTATTTAACGTTTAAACAGTGAAGATTTGTCAGATCTTAAAGGACTTTTACACAATGAAAACGTTGCTAATAGTGTTAGTTTGTACTAGCACCGCTATTGGCTCTGTCATTAACGGTCCCGGGGACTCGAAGCGGTTCTTGTCGTCGACAGGTTAGCCTATTTATTTGCTATCTATAGAATAATAAATTTCTAATAATTTGATATTTCTTGTTGTTAACTGTTATAAAGAGTTACTTTACTAAACAACATTCACAAGACTAGCGTTCAGTAATATATTATTTTCATTATTGAAAATCAAGTTTAAGCATAAAAATTTATATATCTTTGTTTTGCTCTTAAAACAATCTGACAAAATGTTTATGATTCCAAATGATAATAATGTATATATCGATGAAATTCCATTTTAGTGTGCAGTGATACGGTAGATAACTGCCAAGCGTATGGTCAAACAACTTGTACAAATGCAGTATACCATCAGTGGGCGATCCAGAACTGTGCAAAAACTTGTAATCTATGTCGTATGTACAGTATATGCATATATCTTGTAATTTGATATTTAATATTTGAAAACTTATAAGCTGAAATGAAAATTTCTCAAATCTAACTGTCCCTGCCCAAAAGAGAAGGATCTGTCTAGTGTCTACCATGTATTCAACAACTAAGAAAAACAATTGGCCGAAATATTATTATACATTGATTATTTAAATACTTCTTTTCTTTACACGCTTGATTGTAATTTCGGATATTTTAAAATATGCCGTTTGTCCGTCCGTTAGCCACACCGATGTGTACTCAATAAGTTGATAACTATTGGGTGCATTGTCTTCATACATAAAAGAGAGATTGGTTATTGTCATGGCAACTATTGAATTTGAGGTCAGTATAAGGTCAAGGTCACAGCGACCTTCAACACGAAAATCTTGTCCGCTTATTTTCTATTTTGTCTACGGTTTTATACTCCGTCAGGGTCAAACCTTTGTTTCCTTGAGCAAGAAACTACATTGATTGATATAAGTACTGGTTGGTACCATGGAAGGATGAAAGGGTGTGTCTATATGGTTATAGCGTCTTACACAATCGAACTACTTTATTGCTGTTAATGCTTCGTATTTAGTCTGAAGGCTGGCCATGCTTATTGATTTAAAGGTCACAATGACTTCAAACTCGACGACTTTGTCCGCTCGATTTCTAAAGAACCAACTGATCTGCAGTTCTTGTACTTAAAAAAGGAGGTTTTTAATGCTCATTAAATAGAAACTAATGCAGTGTTCAAAGCTTTCTCATTCCTAAAATAGAGTTTACTTGATATTTCAGACCTATATAAATATTGATTAAGTATTTATTATAGATATAGGTGATAAAAAAGAAATAGAATATCTATATAACTGAATTTCTGTGGGACTGTCAGTAGAAGCATTGTTATTGTTAGACCAATTTGAAATATTAAGGCAGTATTATGTTTAACAAGAGGGCCATGATGGCCCTGAGGTCGCTCACCTGTATATAGCCCCCCCCCGGCCCAATTTTTACCCAAGGGCTTTTATTTGTTTATTTGAACAGACTTGGTAGACACCCATAAGAAGATGTTTCATGCAAAACATCTAAGTTCTAGCTCATTGGGTTTTTTAAAAGAAGATTTTTTAAGTTTTTACTATACACATATAGTTAAAAACAATGACACCCCTCAGGCAGGGCCAGTTTTGACCCCAGGGCTTTTATTTGAACAAACTTTGTAGATATTTACTTAAAGATGTTTCGTGCTTAATATCTAACCTCTAGCTATTTGGGTTTTTTCAAAGAAGATTTTTAAGTTTTGGCTATACACATATAAGGAAAATCAATGACCCCCGGGGCGGGGCCAGTTTTGACCCCAGGGCTTTTATTTGAACATACTTGGTAGACACCCATTAGAACATGTCTCATGCTAAATATCTTAGCTCTAGCTCTTTGGGTTCTTTAAAAGAAGATTTTTTAAGTTTTTACTATATGCATATAGGGAAAATCAATGACCCCCTGGGGCGGGGCCAATTTTGACCTCAGGGCTTTTATTTGAACAAACTTGGTAGACATTCACTAGAAGATGTTTCATGCCAAATATCTAAGCTCTAGCTCTTACGGTTCTTTAAAAGAAGATTTTTTAAGTTTTTACTATATGCATATAGGGAAAATCAATGACCCCCCGGGGCGGGGCCAATTTTGACCCCAGGGTTTTTATTTGACCAAACTTGGAAGACATTCACTAGAAGATGTTTCATGCCAAATATCTTAGCTCTAGCTCTTTGGGTTCTTTAAAAGAAGATTTTTAAGTTTTTACTATATGCATATAGGGAAAATCAATGACCCCCCAGGGCGGGGCCAATTTTGACCCCAGGGCTTTTATTTGAACAAACTTGGTAGACATTCACTAGAACATGTTTCATGCCAAATATCTTAGCTCTAGCTCTTTGGGTTCTTTAAAAGAAGATTTTTTAAGTTTTTACTATATGCATATAGGGAAAATCAATGACCCCCTGGGGCGGGGCCAATTTTGACCCCAGGGCTTTTATTTGAACAAACTTGGTAGACATTCACTAGAAGATGTTTCATGCCAAATATCTAAGCTCTAGCTCTTACGGTTCTTTAAAAGAAGTTTTTTAAGTTTTTACTATATGCATATAGGGAAAATCAATGACCCCCCGGGGCGGGGCCAATTTTGACCCCAGGGTTTTTATTTGACCAAACTTGGAAGACATTCACTAGAAGATGTTTCATGCCAAATATCTTAGCTCTAGCTCTTTGGGTTCTTTAAAAGAAGATTTTTAAGTTTTTACTATATGCATATAGGGAAAATCAATGACCCCCCAGGACGGGGCCAATTTTGACCCCAGGGCTTTTATTTGAACAAACTTGGTAGACATTCACTAGAACATGTTTCATGCCAAATATCTAAGCTCTAGCTCTTACAGTTCTTTAAAAGAAGATTTTTTAAGTTTTTACTATATGCATATAGGGAAAATCAATGACCCCCCGGGGCGGGGCCAATTTTGACACCAGGGCTTTTATTTTAACAAACTTGGTAGACACTCACTAGAAGATGTTCCATGCCAAATATCTTAGCTCTAGCTCTTACTGTTCTTTAAAAGAAGATTTTTTAAGTTTTTACTATATGCATATAGGGAAAATCAATGAACCCCCTGGGCGGGGCCAATTTTGACCCCAGGGCTTTTATTTGAACAAACTTGGTAGACACTTATTAGAAGATGTTTCATGCCAAATTTCTAAGCTCTAGCTCTTAGGGTTGTTTAAAAGAAGATATTTAAAGATTTTTCTTTCGGTTGCCATGGCAACCAGAATTCTGCATGGAATTAAATTCTTTGAACAATTTTTAAAGGTGACCACCAAAGGAACATTCCTGTGAAGTTTGGATGAAATTGGCTCAGTGCTTTATGAGGAGATGTCATTTAAAGCAAAAGTTTACGGACGGACGACGGACGACGGACGGACGGACGACGGACGGACGATTGACGGACGGAAGCCGGACGAAAAGCGATCACAAAAGCTCACCCTGTCACTTTGTGACAGGTGAGCTAACAATAATGTTGATGACGATATATAGTACGAGCATCTATTGAAATCACGTAAATAAATTTCATCTATTTATTTAATTATTCTTTGTTTGTTTCCCATGCTTATAGATATCTTTTTTCAATTAACTGTAAACTGTAAAATGAGTATTGTTTATCGTCCTACAGCCGTTGGAACCGGAACCGGAAGTAACGGAGGAGGAACCACAAGCGGTAGTTCATTAGGTAAGTCAATTGTTCCACATGTTCTCCACTGCACTCATAATTAAACTTGAAGTCAGGTATAAGAAAGATAATTGCAGTGGAAAGTATGGTAATTGTACAATGTTCATACAGCTTTTAGTCATTTACAGGATGCTTAAACCCTCATCATTGTGATGATATCAGATGATGATGCATAATATCGTCATCGTATTCTGCATTATTGCCATTTACCGGAACGCATATATCATCATCATTTTTATCACCATTGAACAGCAAGATTATGTTCATGTTTTGCTAGTTAACGTAATGCATATATTCTAAGCATGATATCTGTTATTGCAATTCCATACGATGCATATATACCATCATCACAACTTTCATTATTACACTTCACAAAATGCTCTTAAAATAGACAGAATTATTATTATTATTATTATTATTATACAAACATGATGCTGGTATAATATTATGATTTCCATATTTACATTAATAGGATGCATTCATAAAGGACATATTTATCATCCTTATTATTTTCATTTTTACTCTAATAGGATGCTCGCATAATGGATAGATTTACATATGTATCATCATTTTTTCCATTACCACACTAAAAGGATGTTTGTATAATGTACTTTTTTATCATCATTATTTCCGTTATTATCCTAATAGGATAATCATATATTGTACAGAATTATCATCATAATTTCCATTATGAAATTAACAGAATGCTGATATAATGGACATATATTTATCATTTTGTATTATTACACTGATAGGATAATCATATAATGTACATATTTATTATCATAATTTTATTTATTACACTAACAGGATGCTTGTATCATGAAGAGATTTATCATTTTTGTATTATTACACTAATAGGATACTCGATTAATGTACAGATTTATAATTTTTGTATTATTACACTAATAGGAACCTCGATTAATGTACATATTTATCATTTTTGTAATATTACACTAATAGTTTACTCGATTAATGTACAGATTTATCATTTTTGTATTATTACACTAATAGGATACTCGATTAATGTACAGATTTATAATTTTTGTATTATTACACTAATAGGATACTCGATTAATGAAGAGATTTATCATTTTTGTATTATTACACTAATTAATATGATACTCGATTAATGTACAGATTTATCATTTTTGTAATATTACACTAATAGGATACTCGATTAATGTACAGATTTATCATTTTTGTAATATTACACTAATTAATATGATACTCGATTAATGTACAGATTTATCATTTTTGTAATATTACAATAATAGGATACTCGATTAATGAAGAGATTTATCATTTTTGTAATATTACACTAATAGGATACTCGATTAATGTACAGATTTATCATTTTTGTATTATTACACTAATAGGATACTCGATTAATGAAGAGATTTATCATTTTTGTAATATTACACTAATAGGATACTCGATTAATGTACATATTTATCATTTTTTGTAATATTACACTAATAGGATACTCGATTAATGTACATATTTATCATTTTTGTAATATTACACTAATAGGACACTCGATTAATGTAAATATTTACCATTTTTGTAATATTACACTAATAGGATACTCGATTAATGTACATATTTATCATTTTTGTAATATTACACTAATAGGACACTCGATTAATGTACATATTTACCATTTTTGTAATATTACACTAATAGAATACTCGATTAATGTACAGATTTATCATTTTTGTAATATTACACTAATAGGATACTCGATTAATGTACAGATTTATCATCATTATTTCCATTGTTACACTAACAGGATGTTCGTATAATGGACAGACTTATCATCAAGGTCAAACGTGGAAGGTTGGCTGTACACTGAAATGTCACTGTCTTAGTGATTTTTCCGGACAGTACACGTGTAACGAATTGTAAGTCTTTAATATTTTCCCATGGTCATGTCAAGCTTTCAATTAATAAGACGGTATTATATAATGTCGCGATATCCCGGTTCCGCCCAGATTGCATTATATTTGTACATAATACATAAAGTTATACACACAAAAAATCATCATCATTATCGACATACAAACGTGTTATCTTTTACAATATGCATTTTCGCTTTTACAGCTGTTTGCAATGGAAACTGCCCACTCAGTGTCACATGCAGCCGCCTATCAGAGGAAAATGTTGCCCTACACCATATTGTCCAGACGGATTCATCATCAATTTTCCACCAGACTATGTGGCCGAATAATATTTGCAAAACAATGAAATTTTTACATGTTTACCATATTCCACTCTCCCGCTAAATAGATGTTTCAAAAAAGTTTTGTTCTTTATCATACTTGTAGTATATAATTACTATAATGATAGGTAAAAATGCGTTTGAAATATAACACAAATTCATATTAGTAGTGAAGAATGTCCAACGATTTCAAATTGAACACTTCACAAGAACTTCTTTTAAACGCACCAGAGCCTTGCCAAATTGAATATATGAGCGCTATACTGGAGAAAGAGTTAAAACAAAACATTTTTGTATCGTTTCAAGTGGATTGGTTTTCAATGGGCACATTTTCCATAAGTTTTTCAAATATTTATAAAACAAATGCCATGTATCTATGGATGTTGCTATAAAATATTTCTTGGAAAAAAAGTGTTGCCTGTCCTAAACTATTACATTTTTGTAAATGTGAACTTTTTTTATAATGAGAAATAATGTTTTATTCTAGAACAATTTATTATCTGCTATATGTAGATATATCAAATCAGATCATGTATATCAAACTTATTGGTTCTGGAGTTCGATATAATGTTAACTATTAAAGAGTTTTAACTTTTAAAATTCATTGCGTCATCGTCGCGTGGTTTTAAAATTGATCAAACGATATGCAAGATGTGGTAGATCTACTTAATTGTTTCTATACACAACAATAAATGTCAGTAGCGTAGTGATTGTAATCTGTTTTCAAGTACTCTAAATGTGGCATATATTAATACGAATATACATAAAGATCTAAGAAAATCCAAACAGAAATAAATCAATAGGGTTGAAGAATAATAAGAAAATAATTATTTTAGTAAGTGAAAATGAGTCAGCCACTGTCCATACAGACTTAAACAAAAATTAGAAATTCTACGATTTTGGCTTAAAAGATAAAGAAGTAGTTCAAGGTAAAGGTGAATGTCACACTAAAGGTCAAGGAGAATGTACAATTACATCTATTTCCATTTGTATTTGCTTATTTCTGTGTTGTTACAAACTATAAAGTAGTCGATGCTCTCTTTGTGTCAATGGTATTTTAAAATTGATTCTGATTGTAGTGTCACTTTTAAAAAGTGCTATTTTTCGTTCTCAAGTTGAGGCGATTAAGATATATATCTGTAGATTTATTACTTTAATGGTGATCGACTAACAATTGATAATTACGAAAGTTTAGGATAAAATATAAAAACTGCCTAGAATAGAAAAAGACTGCCCACTCTTTTTATCAACTGGGCCTTACCGATACATTCTGATGAATATTTATATACATTTCCGTGTATCACGTGGGTTATTGGATATTCCTTAAATGCTGAATATGAAATAAGAAACATATATTGCAAAATGTAAACTACTTATGTTGTTTTTTTTAACTTTTTCCTGAATTCCCACATTTACACTTGAATTGGCACAGTGTCTTTAATGTTTTGTTAACGAAAAACTCTTCTTTTCCCCTACATATTTAGGGCAATAAGCAATGATAGCGTGCTGTGATTGTCTTTACTATATGGTAGATATTATTTTTCGAGCCATATTGTTCTCTATTCATTTTATTAAAACAAAGAGAAATGGGAGTTACCGATTCCTGTAACAAAAAATTCATGAAACATGAACATACATCAGTCCTATTTACAAATATAAACTAGATTATACAAAATCACGGAGGGTATCATAAAATCACTCCGCGTCGTTTTTGACTCATTTATCAAGTTAGTTTTGTAAATGTCCACAGAACGTTACGATATTTATTTAAAGTCATCTTTAATTCATGACTTAAATAGGGCTTTTGAAAATTGCCACCTTCAGTAATAGGGTCTACTATTTGAGTAAAACCTTATTAATTTGTTGACTGCTGCTCTCTTTTCACCAACAAGAACTTTCTCCAAATAATCAATCACAACTGTTTCCTTCAGAATATTCATGTGTCCTACTTTGTGAAACACTTGATGATGTACGGGCTGTTTTTGTTGTTCCCGAAATCTCAAACACCCTAGAAGGCTGCGAATGTTAACCGTACCATCACCGTTGCCTTGAAGTGTTTCTGGCTTTTCATTTAGCCACCTTGTCCTCTTGTATACGAACGCTCTTGGTGTCGATTCGTCAACACCATGCAAACAGTGCATCTCAACGTCTGGGGCCTTCAATGGCTTGACCAACTTTTCAGTGTCTTCCCGCAGCTTGTACCCTGAATCAAAGAAAGTTTACACTATTTTATTATACTTTGCTTGTATTAATTTATAGATGATTTTTTCTTAATTAACCAAGATTGATATGTTATTTTTTATTAGTGTATATATATATATGTATAATAATCCAGAAATACTGTATCACTGACGTTAATAACCCAATTCGTCTTAAGTATTGAATTATGTGATTGATATAAGACAGCAAACTGTAACTTTGTTATTAATTTCAAATGTGTAAAATCATAACACTTGCCAGTCGGATAGGCAATGTCCTCAAATAGTTGCCTGTAATCCTTAACAGTATAGTTTCTTGTGGGTGTAACGACAAGAACCTCTGTTTCACTCCAGAACTCGTCTGATGGCATTAACCATGCAGTGCTAGGACAACTTCTTTGTTCCCGCCGGACGGTCAAAGGGCTCACAAAACGAACATCTAAATTGTCACCTAAAGTTATAATTGTTTTTATGTACACAGTTTAAGACATGATTTTAAAAAAAACGCGAACGTCCTGATATGTTGATTAAGTCCCGGACTTGTTGTTAATAGCTTGTGGAAGTTTTATTGATATATTTTTCTTATTAAATATACTTCATTGTTCGTGCATATACAGCTATATGAAGCAACTTTGTGTATGGTCTTCAGGTGTAAGGAAGGCGACTTAAGGTTTATAAGTATTAAAACTTTAACTAAATAAAATAAAGTAAAATTAAAAATACATATTTATTTCTTTATAATGTAATAGTTGTCGCAAAAAAACTTTTTATGAAACATGTTAATGTTGAAGAGATGTTAATCATCTTTTCAAAAAGAATTTAATGTCAAAATGTGTCACCAAAATTCTGTCTAACAACGCAGAATGATTCATAGGAGTTACCAAGAAATCAGATCAAATTACCAGATATCATAAGTCGTATAGATTTGGCAGCTCCGCCCCACACACCGGCCAGGGACATAAAACTCTTGATGAATTTATCTTTCCATTCTTTAGTCATATGATTTAACAGGTGTAATGTAAGTGGGTTGCCCATACTGTGAGCTAAGAGGACCACTTTGTTGTTATTGTTCTTATAATATGTTTCTTCTATCAGTGATTTTAGGTTGCCTAGAAATCCCTTCAACTCGTCTGCAATATAAATAAACCACATTGAAAGGTCATTATGGTCCTGGGTTTTGACATAAAACATGTTCTACCATTATTGTTGAATTTCATTTGTGATATTAATTATATATGTTTCATAAAATTAGTTTTTACCCTTATGTTGGTCCTTATTTGTTGCATATAATGAGTTCTTTTACTTATGTGTGCTATTATTTCTTTCATAAAATGACTTCTTGCACTAACAATGGCCCTTATTTCTTTCGTAAATTAGTTCTAACACTTTTGTTTGCCGTTATTTGTTTCACAAAATAAGTTCTTTCACGTATGTTTGTCATTGAACGAGTTCTGCTGATACATTGAACAAATAAAACATACAGAGGATATATGTTTGTTTGTGTGTAAGATGAAAGTTTATTTCATCGAGTGAGCTTTAAAAACAGTATTCTCACGAGTGGCGTAGCCACGAGTGAGAATACTGTTTTTAAAGTTCATGAGATGAAATAAAATTACATCTTACACAAAAAACAAACACATTTTCTTTTTATTTTATGCTTAAAAACAAGTTAAAACGAAATTTCCTTGATATTAACTTTAATATTGAAATCTGTTTTTCCCATTGGTAGCCTCTCTATTAGTCGAATTTCTCATAAAATACAAAAAGTCTTGGGCTGAAAAATAAGTTCGCCAATCAACGTTAAATGGCGATGATATTATTCATTTTATTCAAATTATATGAAAGATCGCTTGTTTTAATAATAAAAACAAACAATTCTAGTAGAAGAAAAAGTCCAACCATATCCATCCATATTTCTGTTACTAACGGCGAATTTATATTAGACTTTGCTCTGTGAAATGTAAGCGGCAGTCTTTTTAAAAAGTTGTTTATTTCATGGAAGGAAAATAATTGTGTTTGATTCAGAGGGATATCATTTGGATTTGTTAGTCATACATCTTTTAAAAGAAAGTAAACGTTTTTGAGGATTGTTACAGACAATTAATAAGTGTTGACAGATGTGTAAACATTCAAAAAACGACTAGGAAATTGGAATACATGGACTTTTTGAAAGGCTGCCTTACAAACTTACGAACGCTGGGTTATTTACTTATTCTTCGGGCTGATGTCTGTCATTGCTTTTCAAGTTTTTAGGCAGTTATTGCTCGTAGGATACTTAAATATGCCCAAATAACATCAAGAGCAGTTCTGCATGTGAAAGGAATTGTATTTTTCAGACTGTAAATTTTGTAAAAATGAAACAAAAATTTGTGAATGGTAATTTGAATGAATTGAAGTAAGTTTTCTTCTTTAATTTCAATTATTTATCAATTTCAGCTTTGCTTTTCTCTAAACAGCCCTGACAATGTCAGAATTGTCAACAATGATAAAATTGAGGTACCGCACGGGGAAAATTTTAAAAAAGTAGTCTCATCTTTGAAAAGTGTGAAATTATATTTTGATAATTTTCACTGTGAAATTATCAAATATAATTTTCACGGATAAATCAGTAATCCACTGAAAAGAATAAAATAAAACTCATTAATATTAAGAAGCGTACAAAATGACATTGGTTGTTATTTCATGTACATAATATTACATAATATTTCTTATGACTTGACAAAAAAGAGAGTTAGATAGATAAATACGAACTTGGCGCTTTTCTGAAGTCGTATGGAGCCCCTCTAAGTGTCACATTTCTTTCGTATCCCCAGCTAACCAATGCCTGGGCTATGTCATGATAATAACGTGCTGAAAAAGACAAAGATCATTTTAATATCTATTCAGAAATCCAAGACATAATTTAAATTCATTTTTCTCGGTTTTTGATATTGGAATAGTATTCCTTTACTAATTTTTATGTTAAAGTGATGCCAGCAGTATAAAAGCCTGGTCAGACGGTGTACTGATGTTTCCGCCGGACTTGTTCAATCAGACTAAAGTTCTTATCAGGTAGATCTGATTGTCACTGTATATGTTTCAACTTCATTGTGATTCGGATTTCCCGAGAAAGCTTTTTTAGCCATGTAATCAAATCGTCCTTTACAGATTAGACGAAGTATGGCAAATTGTTGATTTTTGTCAGAACAAAATGTTTGCAATAATTTGATACAAATAAACTGGAAATAATGGACTCAATTTTTAATGGGCAAGACAGTTTTGCCAGTTTACCTGCCGGCTATATGGACAACGCCATGTTTGTTCTCGAAATCGTGAAAACTCCCTACTCAGTATTTGTTTTCCAGCGGTTAGAATCAGTTACCGCATCGCTTTGAAAATTGTGCAAGCTTGCTGATGATTGGTTGTTTGAAAGGTCACGAGAAGGTGACCTTCTTTTGGTGCCCGTCAGATCCTAATGCGTAGCGTTAATGAGGAGCTGATTTTAATCAGTTTGGGACTTGTCACAAATGGTATAGGGAAGCAATTTTTGATAACCAACATACACCGAATTCAGACTCTGTTGTTCGAAAATGATTCCAAGAACAAGATTATATAAAGTATGATAAGACTTCAAGTTTAATTCTGCTTAAGCTGGTGCTAGAGGACGTGGACGGTAACTTGCACATTCCAGTACCGTCCATGAACAGGATCAATCAAACCGAGCCTTCAACATTTTCAATTTTGCCGTGTTGGCCTTTCTTTAGGGATTCTATTTTTCTCTATTTCATTGATGAAAGTTTTGGAACTGTCAAGCAAAATATTTTTCTTTTTACACCGTTTCTTAACATTTATAGGCAAAAAAACAACAACAACAACAACAAAAATAAATAAACAAACAAAAAACAACAACAAAAAACCAAACAAACACGTCGATAAAAGAACGCTACACAAACAATTTCCCTTTTAAGCATCATTCATAAAAAAATGGACCCTAAAATGTCATGTTTAGAATAAAATCAGATATTTGTTGTAAGTGTAGGATTTCCAGTATAAAACATACTCACTGAAGGGGAGTTTTGCATTGTCTAGCCATTCCACAGTTTTTGTTTCACCAAAGCCTGGGATCTTGATATCTACACCAGGTGAATTACGGGTTGTTCTTGTCACATTGTCATATTCCAGCCTAGTATATACATTTATAAAGAAAACTATTCATTTTGCTAAAGTTTGCCTAGAAGAATCTAAAGGTAGTATATCAAATGATTGACCCGAAAAGAAAATAGATTACAGTTTCATCTACATTACTGAAAAAGCTTTTTTCACACTTTTTACATACTTTTTGGCCTATAGATTTGTACAAATATTTAAACATTGATAGTAGATCTAATTCGTAAAAATGGGGAGGGATGTTGGGGGAGGGGTGTGGTCTTAAAAAATTCTAACCAATGTTTTTTCTTAAATTTAATTTGAATTACCTGCAATCAGACTTAAGTTGCGTATAAATAAATATACCTTGTATCATAGTTTCGGGGCATATCTATAGTTAAATCGTTTACATATATACATGCACAGTGCGTTAACTTGAGTGCAGTGATTAGTTACCCGCACTCCAGAGCATGCCCATTGCTTGGCTCAATTCTACTGGGGTTTACTTATTATGACGGCAGGGAAAGGGATAGCGATAGAAATATCATATTCAGATGCTCGTTCATTGGTTCCTTTTTTCTGGGGTTTCATATTGTGACAACAGGGAACGTGTTTTCATGTTTGACTATGATACAAAGGAAAAATAACATCAAAACACTCGATGCTCTTTCTGTTACTAAAAACATTTTAATATTCTTAAGATCCAAAGTTAATAATAATAATAATAATAAAAAAAGGTCGAATTGGTTAAATACAAACAGATGAACGAAGAGACAGTGTTTTGTAATATGACTAGCTCGAACATTGTGATAATATAGTTTCGTCAAAATATTTCATTAGAAATAATAAAATGACTCGAGGGTATAAAGAAAGGCAAAAAATCCTTTAATTAAATGATACTACATTAGAACTGTATTAAATATTTTACCTCATGTTATCCACAAAACAGTTGATAGCAAGCGGCGATATCTGTACCAAACTGAGCCATAAGTCATAGTAATCATTCGTTTTCTTCCAACAGTTTCTGTGCACTACTCTTGGTTTGTTCAACTTTGCCTGAAACTGACTTCCTCCATCTCCCGGTACTAGGCAAAACACACGGAGAATGTTAAAACATTAAAAAATAGTTTTTATATTATTGATATAATTGATTGCAAATCTTCGGGTCCCGAAGATTTGCCCTTTGGAGGTCTGCGCATGCGTGAAAGGGGAGATAAACATGAAAATGTTTTTAATGGACTTATGTGGGTTACTAAGCAGATTTTAATTCCGTTGACACCAAAATTCCTGAATGTCTGCAAGTGCCAAAAAATCAGTCGCAGACCAACAAAATTAACTCTGGAGGGTCAAAATATGTTCAAAATATGATATTCTGTTACAAGTATTAATAGACCTATATCTAGTATTTTAATTAAAAACATGTAGATTCGAATTGATAGAGTAAAAAAATACCCAAATAATACTAAGTCAAAATATTTCTTTTTGTTAAAGCTTAAAGTATCTTTTATATTGCAGTTTGAAAAAAAACCAAACATAAATTAAACTAAACAGTCTTTTTCACATGAATTAATTTATATTAAAAATGTATATATATATATATATATAAATACTAGGTATTTTATAATATTTTTATACGGATTTCATGGTAAAGGCAAGCGAAATTTATCCTCCTTTCAAATGATTTCCGAGAATACTCTCCGTTTCACTGACCAAAGATTCGATTGTTTAGCAATAAATACACAATAATTTTCCTTGTTCCATATATCAATCAAATGTTGCTTTCATTTATTAAATTTCATCATTTATTTTAATTATTATGTTTGTGTGTCATAATATGGTGTCATTGTTTATTCATTTAGAATTAGTTATAATCATATTTCCTTTTTCATGACTGCAACATAGATATTGGCACGATTTATCTTTAATTAGCTTAACATGTAAGTTTCATAAAGGTTTAAAATAGCTCGCGATTCTTTTTGAACAAGTTGCTCATTCAGTAGATATACTTACACTTCATACAGCCTCAATACATGTATATATGTGCTGTCAAAAATGATCACTTTCAAACACTGGAAGCGAATATTACAGGATCGAGAATATGAAACATTTATACTTTTACTTACCGAAATGCTTATACGTATCATTGAATGATACATGCTTATTATTTTATTTAAAGTCGACATCGAAAATCCAAATGGCCGTCTCGCTCTTAAAGATTGTTAATACATTTTTGAACCATGTACAATAACTTGGCTAAACAATCAACAATCAACAATCGACATTCAATGTCTAGCTAGACAATCAACATTCAGCTCAACATTCGATTTATTATCAAACAATTCTCAAAGTGAATGTTGAGCTAGACAATCAACAATCAGCTAGACATTCGAAAATTTCTTATGTCGAGCTAGACAATCAACATTCAGCTCAACATTCGATCTATAATAAAAATCAAAGAATTTTCAAAGTGAATGTTGAGCTAGTCAATCGACAATCAGCTAGACATTCAGAAATTTCTTATGTCGAGCTAGACAATCGACATTTAGCTCAACATTCGACCTGTTATAATGATCAAAGTATCCTTAAAGTGAATGTTGAGCTAGACAATCAACAATCAGCTAGACATTCGATAATTTCTTATGTCGAGCTAGACAATCGACATTCAGCTCAACATTCGACTTGTAATAATAATCAAAGTATTCTTAAAATCAATGTTTAGCTAGACAATCAACAATCAGCTAGACCTTTGAAAATGTTTTATGTCGAGCTTGACAATCAACATTCAGCTCAACATTCGACCTGTAATAATTATCAAAGTATCCTTAAAGTGAATGTTGAGCTAGACAATCAACAATCAGCTAGACATTCGATAATTTCTTATGCCGAGCTAGACAATCGACATTCAGCTCAACATTCGATCTATAATAAAAGTCAAAGAATTTTCAAAGGGAATGTTGAGCTAGACAATCGACAATCAGCTCAACATTCAATCTTTAATAATGATCGAGGTTTTCTTAAAGTTAATGTTGAGTTAGACAATCAACAATCAGCTAGACATTCGATAATTTCTTATGTCGAGCTAGACAATCGACATTCAGCTCAACATTCAATCTTTAATAATGATCGAGGTTTTCTTAAAGTTAATGTTGAGTTAGACAATCGACAATCAGCTAGACATTCGATAATTTCTTATGTCGAGCTAGACAATCGACATTCATCTCAACATTCGACTTGTAATAATTATCAAAGTATTCTTAAAATGAATGTTTAGCTAGACAATCAACAAACAGCTAGACATTCGATAATTACTTATGTCGAGCTAGACAATCGACATTCAGCTCAACATTCGATCTGTAATAATTTTTAAAGTATCCTTAAAGTGAATGTTGAGCTAGACAATCAACAATCAGCTAGACATTCGATAATTTCTTATGTCAAGCTAGACAATCAACATTCAGCTCAACTTTCGATCTATAATAATAATCAAACAATTCTCAAAGTGAATGTTGAGCTAGACAATCAACAATCAGCTATACATTCAGAAATACATAAAGTTATCTGTATTTGAAAATTGACATTTATTGTTGGATTCACTTAAGGTTGAGCTTTAATAAGGATGTTGTCAATAGGAATATAAAAACTGTGTAACACCCTGCATTAAATTTATTAATATCATGAATTTAGTGTATAGGCCCTTCCCAAAAATACTCGTCATTTTTTTTCGAGATTCAATAGAAATCTTTATGGAATTTAGATACCTGAGCTAGGCATGAGGTATGTGATGCTATGTTTGTTCTATCTGCAGCATACTTACTATCGAATGTCTAGCTGATTGTTGATTGTCTAGCTCAACATTCACTTTAAGGATACTTTGATAATTATTACAGGTCGAATGTTGAGCTCAATGTTGATTGTCTAGCTCGACATAAGAAATTTCTGAATGTCTAGCTGATTGTCGATTGTCTAGCTCAACATTCACTTTAAGAAAACCTCGATCATTATTATTGATCGAATGTTGAGCTGAATGTCGATTGTCTAGCTCGACATAAGAAATTTCTGAATGTCTAGCTGATTGTCGATTGTCTAGCTCAACATTCACTTTGACAATTCTTTGATTTTTATTATAGATCGAATGTTGAGCTGAATGTCGATTGTCTAGCTCGACATAAGAAATTATCGAATGTCTAGCTGATTGTTGATTGTTTAGCTCAACATTCACTTTAAGGATACTTTGATAATTATTACAGGTCGAATGTTGAGCTGAATGTTGATTGTCTAGCTCGACATAAGAAATTTTCGAATGTCTAGCTGATTGTTGATTGTCTAGCTCAACATTCACTTTGAGAATTGTTTGATTATTATTATAGATCGAATGTTGAGCTGAATGTTGATTGTCTAGCTCAACATTCACTTTGAGAATTGTTTGATTATTATTATAGATCGAATGTTGAGCTGAATGTTGAATGTCTAGCTCGACATTCACTTTAAGAAAACCTCGATCATTATTATAGATCGAATGTTGAGCTGAATGTCGATTGTCTAGCTCGACATAAGAAATTTCTGAATGTCTAACTGATTGTCGGTTGTCTAGCTCAACATTCCCTTTGGAAATTCTTTGATTTTTATTATAGATCGAATGTTGAGCTGAATGTCGATTGTCTAGCTCGGCATAAGAAATTATCGAATGTCTAGCTGATTGTTGATTGTCTAGCTCAACATTCACTTTAAGGATACTTTGATAATTATTACAGGTCGAATGTTGAGCTGAATGTTGATTGTCTAGCTCGACATAAGAAATTTTAGAATGTCTCGCTGATTGTTGATTGTCTAGCTCAATATTCACTTTGAGAATTGTTTGATCATTATTATAGATCGAATGTTGAGCTGAATGTTGATTGTCGAGCTAAACATTCATTTTAAGAATACTTTGATTATTATTACAAGTCGAATGTTGAGCTGAATGTCGATTGTCTAGCTCGACATAAGAAATTATCGAATGTCTAGCTGATTGTTGATTGTCTAGCTCAACATTCACTTTAAGGATACTTTGATAATTATTACAGGTCGAATGTTGAGCTGAATGTTGATTGTCTAGCTCGACATAAGAAATTTTCAAATGTCTAGCTGATTGTTGATTGTCTAGCTAAACATTCATTTTAAGAATACTTTGATTATTATTACAAGTCGAATGTTGAGCTGAATGTCGATTGTCTAGCTCGACATAAGAAATTATCGAATGTCTAGCTGATTGTTGATTGTCTAGCTCAACATTCACTTTAAGAAAACCTCGATCATTATTATTGATCGAATGTTGAGCTGAATGTCGATTGTCTAGCTCGACATAAGAAATTTCTGAATGTCTAGCTGATTGTCGATTGTCTAGCTCAACATTCACTTTGAAAATTCTTTGATTTTTATTATAGATCGAATGTTGAGCTGAATGTCGATTGTCTAGCTCGACATAAGAAATTATCGAATGTCTAGCTGATTGTTGATTGTCTAGCTCAACATTCACTTTGAGGATACTTTGATAATTATTACAGGTCGAATGTTGAGCTGAATGTTGATTGTCTAGCTCGACATAAGAAATTTTCGAATGTCTAGCTGATTGTTGATTGTCTAGCTCAACATTCACTTTGAGAATTGTTTGATTATCATTATAGATCGAATGTTGAGCTGAATGTTGATTGTCTAGCTAGACATTGAATGTCGATTGTTGATTGTTGATTGTTTAGCCAAGTTATTGCACATTTTTGAACCACTGATAAATAAAAATATTCTATTCCATGAGAAACATTTAATTATTTTTATGTTATGTCTTACGCGCCTGCATGGTGTAACGCATTATTACACGGGACCAGTCTAGTAATATTTGTTGTACAGTAGCGGGGATCGAACTTGCGCCAGTGAGCCTTCACTATACTGCTGTCCCTGTTCTGGTCTTTATCCAATCAGATACCCCCTCCGCAAAATCTTCTTCTGCACTACATGCTTTTTCTTTTGTTCACCATAATTTTTATTATATATTAAGTAACTGTCCACATTTATTCCCATACTCAAAACTCATATATATCAAATTATATATAATAAACAAAAACTAACAAAACCACGTTCATTCATATCAAAGATCGCACGACTTTAATTAGCAATGTACTTTGTACAAATGTACTTTGTATGAATTAAAGTTGTTTGCCCTCAACATTTAGTTCAAAACATTACATGTACGCTCAAGTGATTCGTGTGTAAATTCAAACCTCTTTAAGAAAAAGAAGAGAAATTAAGTTTCACGATATTCATTTTATGATCTTTGGATTTATAAATAATAATAGCTATATTTATATTTTCATACAAAAATTAATAAAATACATATATTTACTTACTTAAGATGACTGGGTTTAAAATCAAATGCAGATTGACAATTGTGAAAATTGAATATAATTGTAAAATTATAAACGATCCTTTAAGTCCTTTCATTTTTCTATCTCTAATAGCAGTTTTACAGTGTGGGGAGTTCAACCAATAAACTAGTTTGGGTTTTCCACGAAACTAACGCATTATTGCATGACAGTCACGTGACTAAAGACGCTCATAGATCGATAGTTCCGTCAGGGCCTCAAGTGATACAATGACCGAAAGCACTCAATAGTTGTTAACCCTTGCTACAAAAAATAAAATATATTAAAGTACTTCCTGAGAATTGTTGTACTATTTTATTTATACTGGTATGAATGATTGTATAGCATATTGGCGTACTACGTCATAGTGACGGTATTCTATATTTAATTCTGATTCATTTTTCATCAAAGTCATGCACTTCTGCTGCGAGATGATATAAATGGGAATTTTCTTATTTTTTTACATAAATATAAACAATCTTTCGTTGAGGATTTGATTGGAGGATTGAGAATTTTACGCTGTAACGATTTCCATGTACACATTAAAGGCCGATATCTGTTTAATTTTCCACAACTTTATATGTAAACTCACCTCATTAATTGAACAAGCGGTATTATTTTTCATATTGCAACAAAATGTTCACATCTACATGTCGGATCTTAGGAAAGAATACATTAATAATTATAACCACACAGCTTTATCAAAATGTAACAGATGTTTCTGTGATAATATATAAAAAGTTACATGTTCTAATTATTAAATTTATTGTTTTCTCAAGACGTAAGATGTCGATTTGAACATTAAAGGGACTCCACTGAGGTTTTTTGACATGAAGCAACTGAAAATATTTATTAAACTTTGCGTAAAATTTAAGATCATTCGCGCACTTCGTTTTTCCAGAATAATTAATCAAATTGTAAAAAAAAGCTAAAAATGAAAAGCGTTTAAACGCTTTTCACTCAAATCCGACTAAGAAAAGGAAAGAAATACGATTTTCAATTTATTTCAATTTGAAAGTATATTTCTAAACTATCTTTGCATATATTTCTGTTTTATGTGCTCCAGCTCCTTTATGTAAGAAATGCGAATGATAAGTTTTTAGGCTTTTAAACCTCAGTGGAGTCCCTTTAAAGATTTGACTTTTTGAAATTTTCAACGAAATGATAACAATTCTATTAAAATGAAACAAAAATCACAATGACTTTCTAAATGAAACAAGATATGTAATTGACATAATCATGCAATTTGGGGAAATAAGTCTGGAATGCACGTGTTACATATACCGAGCGTCTATACTGAAATATTGCTGTATAAATGTAAAGTCTACAATGACTTTTTAATTTAAAAAATGCCACAAAACAAAAATATTTCACCAAAATTACGTGTAGGCCACTTGTTAAGATGGAAAAACAAGATTTTTGGTAATTCCAAGGTTTTTTCATCATTTTTTTTGTTAACCTTTTACCTCATATAGACGTGTTATGACGGCTTCCCCCCCCCCCCATTTTGAGGCCTCAAACAGTGAGAAAAAAAATGCTCTATTTAGGCCCCAAACACTGTTTTTCGTTTGAGAAAAACTTTTTCGGCGCCGCCCCTATCAAAAAGGTACATAAAGGGGTTGCCAGAAGGGGTATGTACCCCCTTCTGTTTAGGGGTTAGAAGAGAATTTTGGACATGCGACAGGCTAAAAATGGCCTCAGGTCGATTTTAAGGTAACACCAACGATGAAAAGCATTTTACTCTATCTCAATCCATTGAGAAGTTGCAGCACTTTGAAAACCCAATGCAAAATAGTGATTTTTGGCAATTTTGAGACTCCCCCCTGTTGCCTTGGTAACAGGATATTTAAGATTGAGCATGCTGTTACACAGGCTATAGTCCAGTCAACATTTAAGTGCCAAGTTTCATCAATAATGAAGCATTATTCATAGTTTCATAACAGTTTGAACTTGTAACAGGAAGCTTTTCTCAATGAAAACGGCCATTTTTCACAATATGCTCATGGGTAAAAAGGTTAATTACAGCCGGAAAATTGTTGAAGGCAAGTATTTATGTTACTGTGTATTTGAGTTTACACCCAAGACCATATTTTTACCTGATTATTTTTTGTTTGTTTCTGAATCAATGCTTAATTATTTACAAAGGTATGGCAGTCTTAGATGATACCTTTACCTTACTGTTATCGCATATTCGAAATGCAACATAAATGCGTGACCTTTCATAATTCAATTCAATATTGTTAAGTTTGCATTAAAAATAGCCAATGATATATCATATAGGTAAAATGTAGACATGGTCATAAAACAGTCATACAAAATATTTTCAGAGAACTTGTTAAATGTTAACGTTTTCAAATGTAACTTTCAAGTGTAATGATAACCAAGTTTGAGTTTCTTAGATATTTATTACTTTGATACTTCAAATTAAAATTAATAATAAACAAGTCAGAGCCAGCGCCGGGCGTGGGCAATGATCGACATTTTTATCACTATCCATGTTACTTGCTTCCTGGCATGCAGCTTGTAGGAGATTTGACAGTCCTCGCTGTCCTTTAGAAATACGAGTATATGAAACTATATATGAAACACAAGAGTAAGGGTCCAAAATGTATTGAATGTCCATATTTGCTTTCCACGATTTTAAAAGAACTTTATTGTAATTATTAATTCGACATTCATTGACATTTCGTTTAAGGAAAACCTTTGTCTGTGAAAGGGAAGAGCGAATAGCCAATATGTATGTTTCATAATCTATATCCAACTGTGAAAGAAAATCATTGAAATAGATATCTCTATTATCATCTTTGTGTAGATTGTTTAAAAATTCAATTATTTGGCTATAAACATCGTTCAAGTATGATCTGTCAAAGTCTCGCTCTAGAGGGTATAATACTTTTGTTTCAGGCATCGGTGGTATTTGAAAATTGAAACGGCAAATTGCTTGGCCTCTTTTACGACATGTTGGTGCATGACGATGGGTTTGATAATTTACATACTCAGAAATAGAATCATCTTTTGAGCAACATATATATTTTTCAACAAAACTCACTATCGCCTCATCTGAAGATGTTCCATGTAAAGGTGCCCCATTTACCCAAGCAACCATATGAATATGAGGCGATCCCCGTTGCTGAAATTCAACACGATAGAAATAGTCAGACAACTGACCAATTGGATGTGAAACATGCTTAAGGACATGCTTGATAAAGACATTAACTCGATGTTGAAAATATCTAGCACAAGTTACGGGATAAAACTTTATCAGATTGCATTTTTCTTCCCATGAAAGATTGTCGATTTGCAACGATGTTAAAGACTTGCCATTCAAGAGCTTAGACAGAGAATTTAACAAAGGCTTCCATTTGGTTTCTGCGGCAGAGAAAGAACAAAACCAAGTGGGTATACCCAACTGTCTAATCATAGCAAAAGCATCTCTTTTTGCTGCTTCCCAGTAAGGTGGAGAGCCACGTAAAGTGCGTAGAACCCTGTACCCATCATCTTGCATAGTTAACTTTTCAATAAACCCAGGAGTTAAAAGGTCAGCAACTGTTATTTTTTCAGTATTTGATTTGCACTTTCTAACAGCAAGCAAGACTTTATCTCGGACTTGTTTAATCTGAAGCCTCTTGAGTTTGAAAAAAAATATTAGGGACGCACAAGGCTACTCGTCTATCAACATTTCTTAATTCCCATTTACATATGTCACTGTAATGTAGTGGAACATGGCGATCTGAATTATCTACCCTCGGTTGGCCACAAAATATAGTTGGGAAAGACAATATTTCAGATTGGAAATCTTGAAAAAGACCAAGAGGAGAACTGTTTTCACATGGAGCAACAGATAATACTTGATTGAATTCCCTAAAATCTGCAGCTTGAAGAAATGTATCTAGATTGCCAGTCAGCCTGTCAGCAAAACCATCATCTTCAGTCCATCCATCATCAGACTCGTTTTGATTTTCTGCATCATCTTGAAAACTTGAATCATTTGCATCAACACCAGTACGAGACTCGTGCAACCATGTTTCATTCACAGATATACCCTCATTTTGAAAAAGTGTACTGTTAGTTACTAACCACCTAGCTGCCTGAAAAACCTTATTTGGTCTAATATTTTCAAATGCCACGTGATGTTTGTATGACAATCTTCGTTTCAGTTTTAGCATAATTGTTTCATTCTCATCAATCATCCTAGGCAATGATTTGATTGTTCCACTAACATCGGACGGTACATTTACAACATTCCCTTTTAGGCTAATTTGACCGCCTCGAGGCATCTGTCTTAGCTGCATAAAAGGTATTCTTGGTGAAACAAGTCTTTCTTCAAGGTTTGTAAGCTGAAGTTCAACTGGTTGATTAGGAAATTTCAGACCATTTTTAATCCACAATTTAGGAGTTTTCCCTTTACATGTAGATTCCAAACAAGTTAAACAGCAATAAATTTGTTTGTCGAAACTCAAATGGTTGCTATTAAACTTTTCAAAACAGGAACGTTTAGAATCTGAAATTTTGTCCATCCTTCTCACAAAATGACGGAAAAAAGTTTGAGTACAACAACTACACACAAAGTCCGGTCCTTGAGAAATTAGTTCATCAAAGGCAGTTATTACGCTTTCGTGATTGCTCAACAAAGTATAATCATTACCCAAAGTCTCATATGAATTTGAAAAGGAAATATTTCTATCGTCAATGAACTTGGTTAACGATTTAGCTTTCATTAATATTTTAGCTTTTGTCAAATGATTCGTCTTTTGCCTTTTCCCTTTCACATTTCTATTTTCACCAAAAGATTTTTTTCGTTTCGTTATTTGCTGAATTGAAAAACCTTTGCAATCATCATGAATTTTTACGCAAAATGCTGTAGAAGGCAATACTTTATGGGACTTGCTGAGTGAAACAATATGCAAATCAAACTGTGTATACATGTATTACTCGTACATGACCTTAAATAGTAGACGGAGAAACTTACATAAGCTTGGAATAGAAGGCACAACTCCTAATACACTTCTTCCATCCACGCGCAACATAACCCACGGTCATTTCGAGAATGACTATCGAAGATGAAAAATCTGCTCTCATTTTTGGGCTTATGAATAGCAAGTGCCGTACCATTCATTATGATGATAGCATTCGTATTAATG